TGTGATACAGGATTCTTTCTTCTCCATCGAATTAGAGGAAGATAGATGGGGAGGAAGAAAAGAGGGACGAGGAAGAGGAAGATGAAGAGAAGGGGAGTGGGGAGAGGAGGCGCTGCTGTCTAGAAGGGCACCATATTTTGCAGGAGCTGGGAGATGGATGGCGATTTCCACTGCTCCATTGCAGCTCTGTACTGTGGCTAGCAGCCCGCATGCAACACATCATCCGAATAATGCCATCGACGGTCAGAGCCCAAACCGGAACCCACATTCTAGCTCCATATCAGTCATCTGCTGATCTCGAATTGTTTTTGACTGTCAACTGAGGTTCGGTCATAATTAGCTCAGGTATTGAGGAGCCAGGTCTGGAGGGCAAGATCCAAGGCCTCAGGCTGAATGGAAGATGAGTTTGAGTCTGGAGAAGCCGTCAGGGAGTCTAGGGGAAGGTCTTTGAATGGAGCTGGGCAGCAGCTTTTAGTGCCTCCGGAACCAGCGGGAAGGCTGGTTCAATGTGAATGCTGGCTCTTCAGCTCGCTAACGATGCCAACACTTCCAAGTCAACTTACTTCCCTCAACTTCCATGGTCTCACCATACAAAGTAATTACACCTGCCCCCTGTGTTTGCCTTTGGTTCCTGTAACCAAAGACCCGAGACAATCCCCTGACTGTGACCAAAGATGCGTCAGGACTCACAGCTTGGACTCTTTCCGCCCATAGTGAGCTGGTCTTGCTGATTTAGACCTGCAGAGAAACAGCACGTGAGGGCCACAAGTGTGTGACAGAGCAAAACCACCGGTCACAGTCTAGAGGTGGAGGAAGAGCTCCTAAAAGGTCCCACAATCCTACTGGGAGAGCTGGTCTCCCGGGGTTCCACCTCTTAAAGGACCTGACACCTTCCAATAACACCACTCTGGGGACAAAGCTCTTGATATCCAGACCTCTGGGAGCTACAGCCTGATCTGAGTTTCTCTGGAGACTAAACCAGAGGATAATAATAATGCATGGTTCATGCAGGTGCCTGAATCCCAGTGTTCCTCCACAGAACATGGTCTCAGGGGCTGGAGAACAGCCAGTGAGGCTGGAAGTGGGATGCAGAGAAGTCCCAGAGCCCAGTTGATTTTATTGGCTGCAGTCTGCATAATAGTGCTGATTTGCCTTGAAAGTGGGCTGAGGCAAACACAGGTTCTTTTACAGCAATCTCAATTAGTAATATTAACTCTCAGATCATGTATTGCACATCACACAGTAATTATATATACGTACACACATGTAGGTCACAGAACGGCCATAGATGGGGTTCAATGGCTGCAGTGGGGTTCAAGGACTTCTCAGGGAGACCTTACCGGAGATAGGCAGAGTGCTGTTGTTAGGGACTCGAAATTACAGCAGGGATTAGATCTCGATGATGCCATGTGGAGAGTTACTGGCGACACTACCACCTAGCACAGTGGCCAAGATTCAGGGCTGTCAGGTCTCAGAGCTGAGTCCAGCTTCAGGGGCTCAGGGCCATGGAAGCTATGGGCATGGTGTGGAATGGGATCCAGAGAGATGGAAGCTTGCCTGAGCTGTGGCGGAGACCAAGGTAACTAAAGCCCTGAGGACAGTCAGGAGCTCTCTGCCTTTCAGCCCCTTGATGCTCACACTGGGTAGTCAGATGTCGGGGAGGGTGTCCCCATCGCTGTGTTAGCTCCCTCTTCCAGGTAAGACTGTTGCAACCTTGCTCAATCTAGTGTGTTTTGTAAGTTCTAGACTGGCTGGCTTGCTTCCTTTTTTGCTCATTTGTTTCTTCCTTCCTCTCTCTTCTCCCACCACACATATTTTTTCAATAAATTATGCATATCTCACAGAGACCAGTTCCTTATCATCATCATCATCATCATCATCATCATCATCATCATCATCATTGTCATTACTCTGTGTGTGTGTGTTTGTGTTTGTGTGTTGGGGGGGGTGCACTGGAAAGTCCTGGTATAGGTATCAAGATCAAATGTTCAGAAGTGGGTTCTTTCCTTTTACCTTGTTTCTGCCACTCCGTATCCAGGCTAGTAGGCCTGCAGTTTTCGTGAGGATTCCTCACTCCACCTCCAATCCTTGCCTCAGGAGTGCTGGCATCACAGATCTGTCCGTAGAAGCTACTGTGTCTGACTTTTCATGGGTTCTGGGCTTTGAACTCGTCATCAGGCTTGCATGGCAATCATTTTTACCTGCTTAGCCATGTGACCACTTCCTGGGCCTCTTCCTGATACGGTTGAGATTCACTCATGTGCTCATATGCTGCCAAGCTGCCTTGATGAATTCCCCAGTGTTATTTTGTTACATTTAGGAACAAGCCATTTGTCAGTCATGCTGACATAGAGAAGTCAGTGGTGGTGTCTACGTGCACAGTGAGGTGCAGAGTCGTTCTGTGCCTGCATTTGTACTCAAACGGGAGCCAGATGCTGCTTTTAAAATAGTGTCTCTTGGGGTAAGCCCTGTCTGAAAACTCCTGCTGTATATACTGTGTTGTAGTTTAGAACGAGGCCCAGCATGATGGCAACATCAGGAACGGAGTTGGCAAGCCTCAGTCCTGGAGTTGGAAACAAAACTGTGATGGGACCTTGAGAACATGGTGCTTTGTGAAAGGAGCCAGTTGGAAAAGGCAAACCTTATTGTGCAGTTCCTACTGGAGAAGTCTAAGCCCTGGACGCAAAAGTAGATGAGGAGCGGCCAAGGGGTGGGGTGGCATGAGTTGGGAGATCTGGGGCTTCTTTCAGGACTCTCAGGGTTCCCCAGAAAGTAAAAATCCTGGATCCTGGTGGCACAGAACTGCACATATAATTGTTTTATTCCACCTTAAACACATTGTCCATAATACAGTTTATATGTTTTGTTTTTTATTTTTCCTTTATACAATCCAAAAGCAAAACAATATTACATAACCAAAATATTGAAGTTGGGGGGGGGGATACTGGAGAGCATAAGATACCCCACTCCCCATGCTGCAGGGTTTGTGACCCAGATCACTGAAAGGCTGTGCCCAACACTATGGCCTTCCTGAATTGCACTTTACAAACACTGGGCTTCCTGTTGGGGTGGATTTTGTCTGTCTGTATCTGGAGTGTGACAGCTTAAGGATTTTTGGTTGCTATTGTCTGTGTCACGTTTTATTACAGGGCATCACAGCATAAAATGCATGCTATCGGATTTTATTGGCCCAACCGGCACCCCATCCCACCCCCAAACCCGTGTCAATCAACATGTTCTTTCTGGCTTGGGCAGAACAACCCTCTCCAACATGAGAGTCAAGCACTGAAGAATTGCACAGCTTATTTTAATTCATTTAGGACTTGACAAGGTATAACTGTTCAATTAAAAGGAAACAGTCCCTGGAATTAGCACCCCCTATGGGTCATCAAGGAAATGTCATCCTTCTCAGCTGCGTATGGCCACAGTGAACAGTCAGCCAGAGCGGGGTGGGGCTGTCTCTGCCAGGAGCCCTGAGCTCTGTGTTCTCCTCCTGCCCCAGCATGCAGTCTGTCTGCTGCCCGCAGTAGTAACTGGGTGAGCAAGGCTCTGGAGAGTGTGTTTGGGCAGAAGGGAAGGCCCATCTTTTCTAAAAGGGAGATCCTCTTAACGTTGAACAGTGAGCCTGAGCCACGTCGCTAGCTCTTAGATTTTTGTTTTCAAAAACATGTCTGTGTTAAGAGGTAAAGAGCCATAAATGAAAACAAAACAAAACACCAGAAAGCAAATAGCCAGGAAACGTGACCCATTAGGAATGTTCAAAGTAACTTAGGATGCCCCCTCAGAGGACAGTGCAGGAGGACATGCCATCAGAAGTGTCAAGGGAGCTGGTTCCACCAGTAGACTGAACCATGAGAGAGGCTGGGGAGGTGGAGACGCAGCAGGCCAGGGACCAGAGCTGAATTCTGAAGTTAACCACATGCTGTAGTCCACTGCCCCCATGAGGACAAGTCTGTCCTCTGCAGACCCGAGCCTGTAGTGGTGAGAGAGAGAGGCACAGGACACGAGGTGCTAGCCACTGTCTAGAGTTCATAACCAGAACTTGTCTTCCAGGTTCTCCAACTCCCTGTCTATGCTATAGCACATGGACATATGCCACAGTATATATTGATGGCCCAGCATGTGGGGAATGTGACTTGCACCTAGGTGGGTGCAAATTTTAGCAAATGGCTTTAACTGTGCTCCCCTGCACCCTGAGGACTTCTCCCTGACATCTGCCACAGCCCTGAGTGGGTCAATTTACAGCACATCTAGTCTCTGATGGTTTGTCTACCTTATGGGCTCCCAGAAACAGGCTTGGATGATAGAGAGGGCCTTTTGGATAAGCCGGAACACTTAGCAGTCAGCTGTGCCAAGCATATGACAGAGTCTCTCTGCCTTTTGTCATCATCAGGAGCATCAGGAACAGTGACAGTCCCCGCTCCTGTCTCACGTGGCTGTGCGAGGCTGAAAGAGCAGATGGATCGTTCTCCGGTCGGCAGCAGGTTGGTGTCTGGCCTTAGCCCCTGAAGAACTTGCCTCTGAGCTGATGAGCAGCCTCTACTTTGCCTTTCTGACTCTGGTAGATGCTGCACAGTCATGAAGAATTGAAATATGTCATTGCAATAAAAAAAAAAAAAAAAGAAAATAGACTCCATGCCTGTGGTAATGTCATCTCTCAGCGGCCAGCCTCATGAGTGCACGATCATATAAATAACTAACTTATTGCCTTAGCAGAGGCCGACAACATGAAGCCATAATACGCAATCTTGAAGTTCCTGTGGAGTTCCAGGGGGTCCCCAATGGGGGGGGGGGTATTCTCTTTGCTGGAAACTGCCCCATTTCATTCCGTAGGCAGTGCCATGGACAGGTTGATTTACATTTCCCCAACCAAACCAGAGTCCTCAGTCCTCAGAGACCTCAATCTCACGGGCCATTTACTAGGTTGACTTTGACATGGAAAACCTGTGCCAGAGCAGTGATTGGAGAAACTTTTGTGACCTTAAACATTTGTGTTGCAGGACGCCCCTTCGACAGGAGCCCTCTGCAGCCCCAAGAAGGAGGTTCTTGACTGTGAAGGACTGCTGTGCTCTGCGGAAGACTTGCCCAACGTGCTGCTTCTGAGGTCTGTCACGAGGAGGTCCCCACCAGGGTGGTCACATCCCCACAGACCAGCACCCAGGCAGCTCTCAGGGGGTCTGGCTTTCCATTTCCCCACCATTACCAGAACACAGGAGGGTGGTGAAGGCCACACCCATCTTGTCTTAGTCACTACCAGTCATTTGATGATTTGGGTCTCGGGGTTCTTCCCAGCTGTGACTGGGAGTGTGCTAAGTCACTGTGCTCAGGTGATATGATTGGCTGCTCTTTGCCACCTGTATCCAATGTCACATGGCCCCTTTGTCTTTTAGAGCAGTCAGGAATTCCGACCGCAGCACTGTCTGTCTGTTGTTGGGGGGATAAGCACAACACAGGCAGAGGAGGGACATGTGAAATATTCCTGATACTCAAGACCCTCCCATGCCCATGAGAGCATTCTCCATCTGCTTTGAAGGGCTCTGTCCTTTGTTCAGACTGCTAGCCGCCTAAATGTTCATCATTGGTGCCTCCTGCAACAGTTCCCAGTAAGCCAGGGAGGGAGTCCTATATTCTTGGGAGCTGGCTAAGTAGTCCCGGACTCTTTCCAGCCCCCAGCTCCCAACACAAGGAGCTATGTGTGGAAATGGGAAACTGGGGGTCAAGATAGCATTGTACAAAACCAGTTGGTGGTGACTCATGGGAAAGACTGGCTTTCGGCTCATGATTTCAATGATAGATAAAATTATTTTATCCTTTTTTCTGTAACTAGATTAGTTGTGCTCCAGTAACTGACCTCAACCTCCAGGGTGTTGATCCCAGTCTTTAGGGAGAGCTGGCCTCATCTCTAAAGTGATGACCTTAGTCTTTAGGGGGCTGACCTCAGTCTTTAGGGAGCTGACCTCGGTCTCTAGGGAACTTTCTGGCCCTCCTTTCAATGTCTCAACCAGTGGTCAGAGGTGCCTGTCTCACACGTGGCCAGTGATTCTGGTATTGCAGGTGGGGAGCCCACTGAGCATCAGGGCCCTTCTTCAGGGTCCTCATGCCTGTTCCCTGACAGCTATCCTAGACAGTCCACTCACATCTAACCTCCCACCCCCATACCCTCTCTATTCCTGGACTCTGCAGACTGCCCTGAAATCTGGTATCTGCTTCTTTCTCTTAGTTCCTCAGATCCCCTTCCTGGCATCGCCTGTACCTGCAGCCTCCTCACATCCTGGTACCATCCTGAGAGTCCCTCTCCCCTCACTCAGCATCCTCCCGGGTCCATCCCGGTGACACAGCCTGAAAATGCTGGGCACTTTGCCACCTGCTACTTCCCAGAAACAGGTGCTCAGGCACCTCCAGCTCTGGGCATCCGTGTTCACCTGGCTCCCGGAGCTGTTCTCTGTCTGCTGATGGACTTTGGGGACAGTTGCGGAGCTGAGATGAGACTGTGTACAATGACAGATCCAGCTGCAGTGACTGGCTACCACCGGTACAGGAAAGGTAGGGTGCAGCGTGTCCTTCTCTGGAAGCCTGGGGAGGAGATGCCATCCCAGGACACTGGCAGTGTTCAGATGCTGGGAGGGAGGGAGCCACATTCCACCCTCTGGATCCTTCTGAACCAACCTGGTGGCTTCTGTATGGCGGAAGCTTACACTTTGGACTATGGCCAAGTCTTCATATACTTCAGCTTCATGAATCTTCCCTCAGAACTGTGGGGTAGGAGAATGAGACCGAGAAACAGTCCCTGGGTCACACAGTCAACAGGGCCTCCTTCCTAGACATGGTGACATCCCCAAGTCCCTTACATTCCTCAATGACCCACATGTGATAGGGCACACTCTTTCTTTTGAGTTGAAAATTCCAACAACTTCAAAGTAATAATAACAAACAATGACCAGTGTTTGTATGGACATTTTGGTGTTAGTTGGGTAAATCTAAAGCCTGAGGGACGAGTGTGGGATGTGAGTGGAAAACTTAACTTTCCGGAGTCATGGAGGAATTGAATTTTTTTTCTTTCTCTTCTGAAAATCACTGTTTTGAACATGGTCTAGTCTCTGTGCAAGTGCACACAGCTGACAAGGTGCACACCGAGAGTCCTCTTCTCACTAACCCGCAGGCAACCACATCTTTGATTTCTTACATCTCGTGTGCATGTAAGCCACGGTCAGGCTTATTCTGCGATCTGTAAACAGGAGTGCATTAAGCACAATGTCCAGGTCTCTGCTCACTTAGGTACAAATCTCCACCTTAGAGCAACTCCTCAGTCAGGCCCAAAAGGACTTCCCTGCCCTTTCAGGTGGCTGCTGTATGTTGACTTAACTGCCCAGGTCTGTTTAACTGGATTTTATTGGTGGATGTTGAGATAGTTCTTTCAGTATTAAAAGTAACATTGCAGTGAGTACGTGGCAGCTCATAGTAAAGCAGACATTGTGCCTCAAATGCCATGTCCAGTAGCAATTTGCCAAATTACTGCCAAATTGCTCTCAATTAGAGCCGTCTGGTCTACGCTCTGTGAACAGCACAACTGTCAGTCTGAGAGATGGAAACTGTCTCTTTCTGAAGCTCTGTGTGTCATTATCTTCATTCAAAATTAAAGTACCTTTTTTAAAAAACCATGTTTAGCCAAAATGAGCACTTTTGTGGCTCTGTACAACATGACGTTTGTATTTTTCCATTGCTGAGAAAATTAGTCTTTTTATTGTGAGGGTAACAAGTTGCAAATATTTTTTTCTTCATTTATTGTGTGTCAGCTTTGCTTTTAGATGCTTTTGTGTGAAAATGTTGTTTATTTATTTTGTTTTCCATTTATGGAGGTGCTAGAGAATGAACCCGGCTTCCTGCGCTCTAGGCAGGCATTCTACCACTGAGCTATAGATCCTAAGCCCCAGGTTCTGAGATACGTGTCCCAGTTAAAAATGTGTTCCTTTCTCCAAATTTATAAAGCAATTCTTTTATGTCTTTTAGTGTTTTCATGATAGAATTTTGCACACTTAAGTAATTAATATTTTGAATACATATCCTGGTATAACATTGGATGCACGTTTCACTTTCCTGAGGTCAGGATGCCTGCTCAGGCGGATGGAATGACCCATTTTTCAGAAGCACCTGGAATGCTCTCCCCCCACCCCCTTTTTACAAGCTGGGTTCCTGTTCTAGGCCATCTGCAGACTTTCTGATCCCCTTTATCTGTCCCACCGGCTTGTGTGAGTCACTGTTATGCTTTCCTAGGGTCTCACCATTGTGGCTTGCTCTCCTGGTGCCTCAACTTCTCTGGGATTATTTTGGTCATATTTTCTTGATGATTCTTCCACATGAAGACCCATACTGACTAATATGAAGAGATTGACAATTCTATCTGAATAGTGTTTAACTTAAAAATTAATTTATGTAGAAGCCCTATGTTCCCAAATCCCCCTTTTAGAAGAATGTACCCTGTTCATTTCTATCCTTCTTTACTCCTTTGGAAACATTTAAAATTTTCTCCATATGAGAGAATGAACTCCCACAAATCACACACGCACACACGCACACATGCATGCACGTGCACACACACACACACATGCACTAAAAATGTAAAAACTGTTTTTTAGTTGTTTCCATATGAAACTTACATTACATGGCACTTCATTTCTTTGGTGCCGTCACAAGTAAGCGATTTATCTTCAAGCTGGTTGCCACGGCATACAGAGAGGTGAGGAAGTTGCTCTTTGTTTTGTGGCCTCCAGTCTTGCTGAACTTTGACACAGACGTCTCCTGCACGCGTCCTCAAGTGTTTTCTTAGCTGTGCAAACACACTGTTTACAAATGCTGATGTTATCACTTCCTGTCTCCGGTGATCAGCTCACAGTCCTTTCTCCTGTCTAATCGCTTTGGCCCGGATTTCCAGAGTGTTGTGGATGACGTTAGCAGACAACGTTGGGTGTGTTTGTCTTCAGAACTTTCTGCTATTTTTTTCTCTAAACTCCATGCTAGAATTCGGATGGATTCAATTTATCCTGGCACAGAAATTTTCATCTTTTATTAAGGACTGAAAAAAATAATAAAAGAGTTGTTGGATTTGCCAGCTCCTTACAGATTCTATCTATTGAGATGACTTTATGATTGGTTTCACCTTTAGAACTCACAAGTTTCAAGTTATGTTACTTAGTAATAACATTCCCAAATTCCTAGGAGAGGGAAATCGTATGATTTTGCCTTATTATTTTTAAAATGGGGTTGAATTCAGTTTTCTAAATCCTACTCAAGGGTTTTATGCTGGTGCTCATAAACTGGGCTGGAGTCCAGTCACTGGTTTGGGGCATTAGCATTAGATTTTCCCATGAGTGATACATGAAGAGCTTTCTATTTCTCTCATCCTGGAAGAGCAAAGGCATCATTAAACACAGTTATTGTCTAGATGAATGTACGTACTTACTCTCTTGTTGCCTCTGGCTAACTCGATGATACCTCTTTCTGTTGATATTTGCTATTTCTCATGTAGTTAATTCTTTGAAGTTCTAGGTTCTTAGAGAAGTACACTTTTAATACAAGTCTTCAAGCTTAATTATAGAGACATCAACAAAGTGGGCCCCTCTGGTTCTTAAATTTTTGTTGATATTGACTTATTTCCTTCATCCTTTTTATTTAATTTCATTCTTCTGAATCAGATAGGGCTGATGTGCAGTCCTTTAGTTAAGGAATCAGCATGGATTGTGTTTGTTTGTTTGTTTTGATTGTTTGAGACAGGGTTTCTCTGTATAGCTTTGGAACCTATCCCAGAACTCACTCTGTAGACCAGGCTGGCCTCGAACTCACAGAGATCTGCTTGCCTCTACCTCCTGAGTACTGGGATTAAAGATGTGTGCCACCATGCCCAGCAGATTGTGTTTATTGTATTTTTTTCTAGTTGGTCAATTTCTGTTTTGATCTTTTTTTTCTTCTTGTTTTTGTTTTGGTTTTTGTTTTCTCATTTTTCTAACATATCCATATGTCCTATGACCCTTGTTGGATTGTTTCACTATTAATTTCCAGTCATTGTGTACCATAATAAATATTTTTTTCTCTAGTGTTCTGACTTTTTAAAGTTTTGAGGTCGTCTTTGTAGTTTAAAATGCAATCAGTGTTAGAAATGAGAATTTAAGACTGCTCAGGAGGTTATAGTGGGCTATGCCTTGTGTCCATCCTGACAAGCTGGGCTTAAGTGGCTCCTGAATCTTCTAGGTGCTGAGTTCCTGTGCTACCTTTCTGCCTGAGACTCATTACCACCTAACCCCACCAATAGAAAGACTAGTAAGAGTAAATGAGAGTGGGAGAGAGGGAGGTAGAGGAGGAAGAGAGAGAGGGAGGCAAGAGAAAGGATGGGAAGGAAAGGGGGAGGCTAGAGAGAGGGAGGGAGGGAGGAAGACATACAGACTTTGAGCAAGAGAGCACCAGAAGGTATGGTGACCCACAGAGCTGGCCCCTGTGCTAAGTAGGGTGGTCGACGTTAATTGATCCCGTTTACCACCGACTACTCATTGAATAGAGATATAAGTGTGTTGTTCCCTTATCTCCTTCCCGTTCCTCATTTATCATAGATGTCAACCATGTCAATGATTTTTATTAGTCTTTTGGTTCATGATAAGAAACATTAAGTAAAGAAGAGTTGATTTTGGCTTACAGTTTGACAACACACAGCCCACCACAGTGAGAAGGCACACTCAGCAATGGCCTTGGGTGACAGGAGCATGAAGCAGCAGGTCACATGGACCCCACACATTCAGGAAACAGATGACGAATGCTAGTGCTCAGCTCACCTTTTTTTTTTTTTTTTTTAATTCACTCTGGGATACCAGACTATGGGATAATGCAGCCCAAATTCAGGGCAGGTCTTCCCTCTGTCAAACCTTTCCAGAGCTATGTGGTTCTACATACAGTAAAGTGACAAGGAAGTGTAGCCATGCTATTTCACAACTCCAGCCTTCATTTCTTTCCTTTCCCACTTCTGTTTCCTATGTAAACTCTACATCTTCATGACATCGTGCTGATGCTCTGTCCACCACCACTCACCACACATGGTTTACTCTGGCTCTGTGGAGACAGGCTCCATTCTCATCCCTGGTTCTTTCTTGCTGTCCCCATTTGGCTCACAACAGTTCAGCCTCCTGCTGACTTGTGGGGAGAACTCACAAGAAAAGTCTAAAGTTGATGCTGTTGTACTTGAGTGATAGTTTACTGGCCTATAGGTTCTTGGGCACGTGTTGTTTTCTTGAGGACTCTAATCATTCCTCCACTTGATTCCATCTCATAACAGTAGTTCTCCATGTGTGACTAGCTGCTTCTTCATCATCGTCATCATCATCATTATCATCATCATCACCAGAGTCTGCCTTGAAATCTACATTCTTGCACCCACCTTGCACTCCAGGTCCTGACACCTATGTCTTGGCTACCCTTCTTTTATGTGGTTGCATTCTTTCTCAGGCTGGGATGGTTCCTTTCTCCTTAGAGATGGCTTGCTGGTTTTGTCTCTTTCAGAATGGTTGTTTTTATATATGTAATTTCCACTAGCCTCACCAGAATGCACACCTTGAAATCGGCCGTTCTAGATCTACTGCCTCTGGTATACAGTGTACTTCCACGTAAGCAGACATGCATTACCCTTTAGTATGCTTCAAGGAATATTTGTTTGATCATGTCTCTAAATTGTTTTCTGCTCCAACACTATAACTTTGATTTGTGAGAATCTGTTACAGAGCTGTTCAGTCTCTCTCTTATTTTTTCAGTCTCATTTGTTTTTTCAATATTTCTACTTTCTTTTGATTGCCCCCTTTTTCCTTTTGTGTCCCTTCTATTCTCCAGTGTGATCTTAGAAATGTTCTCACTTCTGCTCCTGGATCATTTATGACAGTAGATGATGGGTCTCCAGTTGTTTCATCTTCCTTGAACTATATATTTTTTTCTGGAGGATGATTTTCATCCACTGAGTGCCCCCTAAAGCTCTCCTCCTAACTCTTGTAGTATCTCATACGTTCTGAATGGTGTTTTCTTCCTCTCGTTCCTCATTCTCCTTCCCCCTTCCTTTGTAATGTTTCTCCTAACTGACTTCATTTTTGCAGGACTGGCTGTTTGCAGGTGATGTTGCTTGAGAAATTTACAGTCACCAAGTCCTTCTGCTGTTGTGTTCTCTCTTTACAGCATCTTCCCTTTTCCATCTCCAACAAGGTGCCTGCCCATCCATGCTTGATGTTTTGCTGCTTTGGGCAGCTCGTGTATCTCTTTTGTATGATGAACATGCATAGGGCTATCTTGCATCACTCCCCCAAAGGCATTTCACTTCAGTTCATTCTTATCCCCTTTGCATTTGCACAATGCCTAGAAGACTCAGTGGAAGGCTAACAGCATAACACTCAAATCGGGCATGCTCTATTACTGTTAAACACCTACAACTTTAGTAAACCTATGTGAATCGATTTTCTTACTGCCTTAAAAATAAAGTAAGAGGTTTGTCTTAGTTAGGGTTTCTATTGTTGTGATGAAACACCATGACCAAAAAGCAAGCTGGGGAGGAAAGGGTTTATTTGGCTTACAATTCCATGTCTCTGTTCAGCATTGAAGGGAGTCAGGACAGGAACTCAAACAGGGTAGGATCCTGGAGGCAGGAGCTGATGCAGAGGCCATGGAGGGGTGCTGCTTACTGGCTGCTCCTCATGGCTTGCTCAGCCTGCGTTCTTACAGAACCCAGGACCACCAGCCCAGGGATGGCAACGCTCATCAATCACTAATTAAGAATATTCCCTACAGGCTTGCTCACAGACAGATCTTATGGAGGCATTTGTTAACTGAGTTTCCCTCCTTTCAAACGACTTTAGCTTGTGTCCAGTTGACATAAAACCATCCAGCACAGAGTTGGTATTCTATCATTTCCTAGAGGTTAAGTTTAAAGGTAATTTGCAAACAAATTTGCCTAAGACCTGAAGCCAAATTCCTGAGTCCAGGCACAGGTCTTTTAACTGTTAGATAACCAGTTTCCTGATGCTGGAGTGATGAGATACGCCTCTTCAAATGAAGTGTGAATAACAAGTTGATTCGTCCAATGCACAACTCTTAATTCAGTCCTGGTCCCTATGACTGTGATAGCTGGCCTAATATCAGTTTCCCTTTCTATTTATTAAAATCACTTTCTATTTATTAAAATCCACATGCAGAGAGGCAGGCAGATATTTGTGAGTTTGAGGCCAGCCTGGTCTACAGAACGAGATCCAGGAAAGGCACAAAGATATACAGTCTCTGTGTTTCTAACCCTGTCTTGAAAAACCAAAAAAAAAAAAAAAAAATCAAATCCACATGCAGATCTCTTTTGGATTCTATTGTGTGAAGCTGTGTTTGATTTGTAAATGTACTAAAGTTATTAATGATGATTTAGTACTTATGGTACAGCTTCTCTAAGTTGGAAAAGTGTGCCTTTAAAAGAGATTTGTTTTTAAATTATGTATATATGTGTATGCATGTGTGTAGGCATGTACAAGCGAATGCAGGTTTCTGCAGAGGTAGAGGAGAGCATGGGATCCCCTAGAGCTGGAGTTACAGGAGGTTGTGAGCTGCTCAGTGCAAATGCCATGAATCAAACTGAACTCTAAGCAAGAGCAGTACATACTCTTAACTGCTGAGCTGTCTCTCCAGCCCTGGATGTGCCTGTTCTTACAGAATTAATTAAATCTCCATTCCATGTAGGACACTGAGCACGCTGCTCCCAAATCCTGCATCGCACCATATTCACTGAGTTTCCTCATAGATGATATTTTTTTTCTCTGCTACATCTCTCCCACTTTGCATGCATCATGCCACCACCTACCGCTCTCTAGGACAGCAAAGGCCGTAGTAATTCCTAAGGAACAGCACATACTGGGCCTTGAGATCATTGTTTTCTTTGTTTGGCTTTAGTTTTCTATCCTATGCAATGTCATCGATCACTTCATAAGCAGTCATTATGCATGTTCTTCGTGAACCGGGGTGAGCTTTGGGGGCAAAGGAGACAGGATATAGTGAACTTGGAAATGAAACGCAGCACAAGAGCTGTGGGCGATCACTAGATGAAGTCACTCCTTCTGCCTGTGTCATTTCAAAAGGGTCGTGGCAGGTGTGAATTGGCCAGTAGGAGACAAGACGCTAACACAATGGGGATTTGTAAGCTGAGAGAGGCTTGGGAAGGGGACCTTCGGTCTGTGTGGATGATGAATGAGGTCTGTGAGGGACTGAGCTGGGAATGGGTGACTGGGACCAGCAGCAGACATAATCCTGTGACACACCAGGGGTCACCTAACGTTTCAAAGTCAATGTACAGTAGGATCAAATGCATAATTTAAGAAGAGTGGGTAGGAGGTTGGGGTTAGCCATCTGCTAGAGGCCTCTCTAGTCTGCAGAGCAGCATCAGACATCTGCAGCTGTGTTAACAGAGTGGATGCCTCAGTGCCTTAAATTCTCAAAGAACTAAGAACAAAATAGAATGCAACCATGAGTTTCACCCAGTTTTTTAGGGGCTTCTTTGGATCTAGGTGGGCCTCAGAGGATTCATGATGGTTATGTAGGCAGCTGCCAATCAACCAAATTGATGACTCTTTCAGGAGATGAGTGACCCCATAGGACAACTGAGTTTTGTTTCTTCTTCAGCAAGCTTCCCATGATAATGGTGACCTGTCCAAAGACAAGACGAGGCAAGTCAGAGGGGCTATGCAATTGACCACGAGACTTGCGCCAATCTAAAAGAGGAAGAATAGTTCCTACCACTTTAATGGAAAATATAAAGTTGTATTATAGTGACATTATAAAAACTTTAGGAACACAGTCAGGGTTGGGGTCCATTTTTAGTCTATCATAATCCTTTGACATATACTATTTGGATGTTTATTCAAGCAAATGTATATATCAAATACACATACATATTAACCTAGCTATTCTGAAATGACCAGTATCTATTTTAATACATCTAATAATTTCTGATGCACAGATATGCCACATCATTTTCAGGGTCTAGTGGAAAACACGAATTAACTGACTGTTAATATTATTAAGAATTTCCAGACAGTAGAACAGTAAGCTACACCAAGGCATGCTGAATGTGGGACTCTGTGTGCTATGTGGCTGCATGCCCATGAAATGCCCCTGTTGTTGTAAGGAATTAAAAAAAAAATCTTATTTACAGTATCAGTTCACAGACTAGTCACCCTACTGTGATATCCTGAAGGTGTTAACTCTTATATCTGTTTGAAAAACCATCAAATGTCTATTTTTTCTTCTTTTTCCAGAAGGAGTCTACAAGCTCAGGGCTGTTATCCGTAGCGTTCATGGAGTTGATGTGGAACTGGGACCTTATTATGTGGACATTGGCCGTGAGAATGTGTCTGTGTTCATGAATTCCAGCTCGATCCACGATGGTGAAGTTCTTTCCTTTGCTGACTCCTTCCCACAGCAGAAAGGTGAGGCCTGTGCATGGCAGCTGAGCACACACATCTCTGCTGTGTGTGTAGCCTGACTCGGCTTTAGTTTCGCTGTCCAAGTTCCAGCCACCCTATACAATACAGTGCCATCCATTCATTTTGACCTCATGTAGAAAATAGGTACTGTGAAATGTTGTGTGTTGGGGGAAATAAGATGGAATTGTATAGGGATCCAACCTTAGGCAATTTGTAATCCAGTAAAGATATTTAGTGAAGTGTATAAAAAAATAGGAGAAAGGACAAAAAGTGCCTGAAGAGAAGCATGGCCATGGGGCTGACAGGTCCCCTAGACGATGTGTCGCTGCGGGACAGATACTACCTGAGGTAGGAGTTGGTGCATACAGTGAGCCATGAGGAGCAGGTATGGAGACATTCTGGCAGATGGCGCAGCCACAGCCAGCGGTATGTGGTGCTAGGTGCTCCTAGTATATCAAGAGCTCCCTAACTCCTGCCTCCTCACCCTCGCCCCACACCTACCTGAAGGTGTCCCTTCCCCTGCTGCCAGCTTGGGGGAAGGCATCAAAAGCTCACAGTCCAGAAGGAGTCAGAAGAGGGACTGGAATCAAGGGTTCTGAAGGAAACAGTTGGGACACATTATAGTAGAGCCAGAGTGGAGCAGGAAGAGCCCAAAGTGTTTCGTTCCTGTCGATAGATACAGGCTTATAGGAAAAAGAGAACCCAGTGGGAGATACATCCCAAAGAACTCATTCCTGAGAATCCATAGTTCTTATATCACATATGGACTGTGTATCCCTACAGCCCTCCTGGGGGAAAACTCCCCAGCTAAGTATTACATGACGCAGAGGAGGACTTTTAAACCTGCTAAGCGGCTCACTGTAACCAGCCAGCTGACGATTCCTATTGACTTGTCTTATCAAAACTTTGAGTAAAGGGGGTGAGCCCAGGCCACGTGTGTCTGTGCTAAGATTTAGAATGGGGTGATTTGAGTCTAAATCCTGTGCTAAAGATCAGTAATTGGACACCCTTGTGCAAATCCATAGCTTTTCTTTCCTCACATGTTGTGAAACCAGATTGTGATCAAGATTAACGTTTAGTCATCATTAAGGAAAACATGCCAATCTTATTGGTGGGGCACTTTTAAAAAGAATCTGTATCCAATCCATTTTATTTATGTTATAGATAAACATTTTTCTTTATAAAAAGAAATTCATAAAAAAGAAATAATAATTTTTAAGCCCATCTCCATTTTAATATCCCAAATGAGTTGGTTTAAATCTTCTTAGATATCACAGCCCTATTCTAGGATCTGATTCAATTTTTTGGTACTTGCCTTCCAATATATGCATATATATGTGTATATGCACACACATGCTCATAAAATACTGCATTACATTTTAGAGGACTTAGATGAATGAGGCTTATTGTTGGACCCCAACTAAGAATCTCTATGGTGTGAAGACTATTTAATAAATACACACAAGACAAGCATGTCTAACATAAAGCCAGCTAACAAAGGAATCAATGTATTGCAAAGGCTGGAATGTATTCATTACTATGTCAAGTTCTCTGAGGAGACAGAAATCATTTAAAGAAAATCATTTAAAGAAATCATTTAAAGAAAATTTTAAAGAGGAAAAGCCCGTCACATAATTCATGTTTGCCAGCCACCTCATTTGAGTGTATGCTCCAGATTTCAGATTTTATTAAAATTCAAAGAGATAAAGTTGACAATGAGAAATATTGGCCTGTGTGTGTGTTTGTGTGTGCGTGTGTGTGTGTGTTTAAGTGGATTAAAATTTCTCCTGTGTCTTTTCTCATTTTAGGCACCATCGTGATGCATGGCTACTCGTCTGTTTCTTCATACAATGTGTCCTTTATTTCTCAGGCCCGAGTGGGCAGTGGCCAGGCTTGGCTTGGTGTGACTGTTGGGTATAAGCTGCAATGTGCGTCTGTGTTCTCATTCTAGATATAGCCCTTCTGCCGTAGCAGCTCAGCGCAAGACCCATCCTATTGGCCCTTCAACAGGCTCTTGTATACATGCAGTTTGTTCTGGGACTTTCCTAGAAACCGTAGGCTCTGAGCTCCCACCAGAGTATGGGAAATGGGGGACTATCATGTGGTCATCTGCTGCCCCCATCCCACCTCCATTCCATGCCTTCCAAGCACAGTTCCCAAAGGAGATGGCCACGTTGCCCTGTGAACCATTACTGATGGCCCTCAGACTTGGGTTCTACCTCCTGCTTGGACCCCACAGATCTCCCTCACTCCCTGGCTTTGCCTTACACTCACCTTCACGGGCTCATTCTGTGTTCACGCTTCAGTTAGGTGGCAGTGTTGGGGGTTCTCTGAGTGGCTTCCAGCCCTTTGTGCTGATGGACCCCTACCTCCCTCTCCTTGTCACAGCTGTGTCTATCTACACCAATGGAACTGTGTTTGCTGCAGACACGAACATCACATTTGTGGCTGTTACCGGTGAAACTATACCCCTGGAGTTTGCATGGTATTTTGGAGATGACCCACCAGTGAGGACAACTTCCAGAAGCATTAGAAGAAGGCTGAGCATCCCTCAGTGGTCTGTCAATATGCTCTTTAGTGCTGATACAGCCAATGGTCAGGATAAAGATCACCCCGTCACTATCACAACAGTTTTATTGGTGCTTACATTACACCCAGCCCCTAAGCACTTCTGTGTATTTAGCTTAGCCATAACATGTAAAAGAAGAGGGCCTCACCTCCCCCAGTGTACACTAAGTTCAAATCTCATCTCAGCCCTCAGTATAATCTAGACTGCATTTCCTGTAGAGAAGGGTGAGGTGATCACCTCATAGAGACATGAGAGAAAGGGAACTTGAGAAGAATTCCCTTTATCTTGGTCTTGATACTACCTCGTTATATAATGCCCATAACTTAAGTTCTCAGCTCTGTCTGTCTGCTGAAGTGATATGGAGATTCTTGTCAGCCTTGTGTTCTCATCTCACCTTGTACCCCATCCTCAGGTACCATGTGATGGTCAAGGCCACCAGCAGGATCGGCAGTGTGGTCTCTGAGTCCCACCTCATCAGGGTACAGAAGAGAATCACGGCCAATCGGCTCATGTCCACTGCCTCAGCCCTGGTAAATGCCAATGTGTCCTTTGAGTGCAGGCTCAACTTTGGCACTGACGTAGCCTACTTGTGGAACTTTGGAGATGGGACCATTGAGCTTGGCAGCAGCTCCTCCAGCCATGTCTACAGCAGGTGAGCCATGAAAGACAGGTGACAGCTGACTGCAGGGGCTCATGGGGCTGCCTTCTGAAGGACCGATGCTTAAAACCCCATAGTCAATCTTGCGGGTGATGCAGATGACAAACGTTGATGGAAACTTGCCAGGCCTGGTTGGGCCTCTGGGGGAGCTTGCAGTCCAGGGAAAGGAGGCAAATAGAGGCCTTTGTTCCCGGGAGTTCCGTCAGCAAAGAAGGTATGGGGTGCAGAGGACACGACCCACACAAGTGACTTTGTAGACTACAGAACTATACTCAGACATTTGCATGTGACCGGAAGGGGAACTTCCAGCAGGAAATTCCTAGAGGAAAAGTGGGGAGGGGGAACCAACAGAGACCCAAGACAAGGGCATCAGTGGGAGAGGCGTGCAGTAGCAGGTGGGTATGATTGGGAAAGAGAGAGGAGGTAGACAGGGGGGTAGAGGAAACTGTAAGGGCTCTGAGGACACACTGTAATGGGTCTCCGTCTGAAGGTAGAGTATGAATAATTCAACCCACTGCTTACCCAGAACAAGGCATTATAGGGATAGTTGTGTGTCACTTAATCACCAGAGGTATCTGAGAAGGCATTATTTGTTGGTTCTTTTAGTGTGCAAATGTCATAAGTGTGTTTACACAAACTTAAATGCCACAGATCTTACACTGTGCGTGATGCGATCAAGAGAGGATGTAAATATTAGATACAGAAAGCCACCGTCAGGTAATGTTGTTTTACAGGAAACATTTCTTTTTGTAAGTAGATGTACATTCTCTGAAAGCTATAGTTTATAAATATATAAACCAACCACATAGCCATTTTTATCATCTTCCATATACTGGCCATCATTGTTCGTCATGAGCTGCCTAATTCCCACAATCCTCCTATGCTACTTCTCTCCGGAGTCAGGACCTTCCATTCTGCCCAGGGGCTGGATGAAGGTGCAGGTTTGAAACCCATTCTGTTCCCTTTTAGTGCCCCAAACCCTAAGGATGGTTCAGGAAATCTGACAGCTAGAATCAGAAGATGTGCCCAAAGGCCCAGAGTTCCAGTCAGGAATGTCCATGACTAAGAAAAACTTGAGGCCCAACCTTTGAGTGGCCCTGTGATCAGCAGCAAACTGGGTCATGGCTACTAGGAGCAGTAGGCCCTCGCCTGAGTGTGATGTTGTTCGGAGCATGTAACTACCAGTTGACTGGCACAGGGTTTTATCCACACAGGATAGGCAGCTCCACCACGTAAGCAGAGAACAGCCTCCGTGGAGATCACCTTCATGACCCAGGCCTCTTCTGCCCCTGCTCTTTGGGTTCACTTGCCATGAGATAGAACAACCACAGGTCACAGATGTTTATAAAGAGGGAATGAGGACCAGTGTACCACACAACCTTGACCTCTCCATGTCTCTGCTCTTCCACCTCCTTCCAGGGAGGGAGAGTTTACAGTTGAAGTCCTTGCCTTCAATAACATCAGCTCCGCCGTCCTAAGGAAGCCGCTTTTCATCGTGCACGAGCCTTGCCAACCACCTCCGGTGAAGAACCTGGGGCCTGAGAAGGTGCAGGTAGGGCTGGCTGTTCTCGAGGAATCATCGCACTGGCCTCACTGTAGGCTGCTTCCAAACTGCTGAGCTCGCTGGGGACCGAAGGGGGCTCTGTTGAGCTTGTCCTGCTGTGCTCAGTACAATGGAGTCCCTGTGAGGGCTCTGAAGTGGGTCCCTGAGCAGGGAAAGCCTGGCGTGGGAGGGAGGCCTGGCTTCTACTGCGTGAATAAGTCTTTTATTTACCCATATGACTGACGTTCAGCGCAGCTTGCTTTGAGTAGCTTTTTTCTTACCTTTCTTTTTTGATTATATAGAATGATGGCATTTTCAGTCAAAAGGAAAATCGACACCAAAAATTAAAAGAAATGACCAATTATATGCTGTGTACTAACTACAGAGTAGGAAAAATAATCAGGCTACCTTTTATTTCTTCCACTCCTTTGAGGGCTTTGATTTCAAGCGGTTTTACTTTCAGGTCAAAGGTGTTCAGCCTGACACTTGGGAATCAAAATTCGCTGCTGAGCATTTGCCAAAATACTTTCTCTGATGGATCAGCTGCCAGCCCCGTGCTTCTCAGGTCCCAGCAGCCTCAGAGTGCAGTAGACTTCAAAGAGAGTATGAGGTTGCCCTGGGCAGGCTGTGGCCTTCAGGTGTCCATGTCCCTGGAGGCAAGACCTCTGTAGCTCTGGAGGCCAGCATTCCATGATGCCAGGCTGTTCTGTGCTGTCTGTGTGAGGGATGGACCAAAATGAGGGGTTCTAGGGAAAGACCACAGCTCACAAGGCTCTGGCTGGAATTCTTGCTCTGTGGCAAAGCTGATACTGTCCTTTGTTTGATTTTGTTTTGTTTTAAGGAATATTTTTTATTATTGTTGTCTTATTTCATTTATCTTTATTTTATTTTGAGATTGGGTATCACTATTTAGCCCAGGCTGTCCTTGAATTCGTTGTGTTACCCAGGCTATCCCAACACTCTGTTTTCCTACCTCAGCTTCTTGTATGTTGGAATTACAGGCTCACACTCCCACACATGGATCTACTGTTTGTTTGTTTTAATTTATACTTATTTTCAACTGATACATAGAAATAAATATTGTACAAATAAATGAGCTTAGTTTTTAATCTGTAAAACATTTTCATTTGAGTTTTTCTATAAGAAAGGAAAACAATATTGATGACTCTATTTTTAGTTTTTTATACTTCTCGTGTTTTCTAAAAGTATAAAGAAAAAATGGAATTGTACAAAATCCAAACAGCAGAAGATAGATGTATTTATTTTAAATGTTTTTCTATTGCTTAGAAACATTATCTTTATTATTTTAAAATTATGTGAGTGTATGGCTATGTGCACATGAGTGCAGGTGCTTGCACAGGCCAGCAGAGGGCAACAGATATCCTGGAGCTGGAGTTATATGAGGATGTGCATCGCCCAGCATTAATACTGGGAAGAAAACTTAGTTCCCCTGCAAGAACAGGAAATACTCTTAACCCCTGAGCCCTTTCTCCAGCTCCCTGCTATTGTTTTGTTATATGTAGAAAAAGAGAGAGAGAGAGAGAGAGAGAGAGAGAGTCAGTCAGAGTTTTGAATATGTGTGTTTATCACAAAATATGAATCATTGTGTTATAGTACGGCCATGGTGTCTTATTACATCATCTTGACTGATTTTTAGTGGTGGCATATACTGGATCATATGTACAAATTCTACACCATTTCTTAGCGTCCTCATTACTGAACCTTGATTGTTCCTAACTTTCTATTACTACAAATAGCATGTGGCCCTCTGTGCACACATCTTTAGCATGCAACACTCTGGTGCACACGTTCTTCTTCATGTCCTTAGTATTTCCATGTCACAGAGCTGAGGGACAGAATGCCTCCCTGGGGAAATTTGTGTCTCCCAGGTACTGCTGTGTACCCAAGCTTGTCAGCATGCAGAGCCACCTCCTACTCCAATGAAAATTGTATATAGTTTTAATGTATTTCATCATTTTGATTATAAGGTCTAAAAATTGAGAGTATTACAATTTGCCATTGCCCGCTTGCTTTGTTGCAAGTCCTAAAATGAAATCAGGTTTAGAGTAGAAACAATGAAAAGGACTAAAGAGTGAATTAAATGGTGTAGAAAACTCAAGAGGTAAATTTACCAGTTATAAGACTAATACAGTCTTTCTTTTCCTGTGTTTTAAGCATTCTGGTCTTTATATCATTTGTGTTTCCTTTGTAATAAACTATATTTTAACTAAATATTAAGATTAAATGTCCCAGTCAGTAGTGGGAGGAGGGCAGCCAATACCTCCTTTTACCTTTAAATACATTTTATTAAAACTTTTCCATAGATTTTATTTTGGTCATATTCGTCTCCGTGCCTCCCCCCCTTCTTCCAGATGCTCCTCATCTCCCTATCCACCAAACTTCATTTTCTCTCTCTCAAAAGAACTAGAAAACAACAAAAATCAAAACACATAAACAAAAAAGAAAATCAATAGCAAAAAAATATTAAAACAAAACAAAAACACACAAAAATTTGGAGACCGTTTTGCGTTAGCCAACTACTCCTGAGCATGGGGCTTGCCCTGGAGTGCGGTCCTATGAGGAGACGAAGGGGGAACTGAAACAGGAGGGTTAAATGGGGGAGGAAAATGTGGTGGATGGGTAAAAGAGGGAATATGGGGAGGGACACTAACATTATAGTTGCTGAATTCTTGAAAATGCCACTTCTCCAGAGATTTTTCTCTTTCCAATTAAATGCAACTACCTCCAGGGGGAGCCCTTGCACCTAGCATCAGCCCCAGAACAGGAGGGGTCCCTGGCTGGACAATCTCCCTCCTAAGGTTGGCTCACCTGGAATGCTTTTCCACATTCAGGGACAAATCCCAAAGTTGTGTCATGATGTTGAGGGGCAGATTATGCTAGTCCCAGGGGATGGGGAAAGGGGCATAAAGATCTTGGGAAGAAAAGCACAGCTCTAAGTACCGTAATAAATATACAAACGAATAACAGATATACAATTAAATGAAATTCCAATGTAAGCAAATCTAGTAACCTTTTCCTTTGACATTTTCCCATCAGTTTCATGCTTGAAAGGTTGTTTTTTCCTGTTATGAGGATGTAAGTATAAATACTTGTTTTTCTTGTTTTTATATTTTTAGTGTCTCCTTTTGTCTGCAAAATAAGTGCACTAATGCTATCTAAAACCCAGTTCCAGGTCTTATCCTGTAATTTCACAGACAAATGGTTGGGGGCTCACAAGTGACACTTCCCAACAGCTTGCTGTACCCTCAGGGTTGGTGACCATTCGCTGACATGACCTCTCCTGTCAATTCGCAGATATGGAGGTCTCAGCCCCTGAGACTTGCAGTGACATTTGAAGCTGCAGTCCTCTGTAACATTTCCCAAGGGCTTTCCTACACCTGGAGCGTTGTGGGTGCTGAGGCGACTGTTGTCACCCTCCCTGCTGCTGTCAACACCCACAGACAGACCATCACGCTCCCAAGCTACACCCTGGAGTGTGGGAACTACACCGCTGTGGCCAAGGTGGGCTCACTCACAGCTCCTCAAGCCCTGTCAAGCCAACTGACCCTTTCCTCATGACCCAGAGAGGGAAAGGGAGGTCTTTTCATTTATTTTGGTTTGGTTTGGTTTATTTGTTTGTTTTAAAAGTGTGGGTAAGATTTTAAGAGAGATCTTTTATTTCAGCTAGAAAAGTGGTTCAGTGGAGAACACTAGCTGTACTATGCAAGCAAGAGGAACTGAGTTCAAATACCCGACACCTAGGTAAAACAGGCAGCCATGGCAGTGTGCAGTGTGCACCTGTAACCCCAGCATTTGTGAGGGGAGACAAAGACAGATGAATCACTGTCTAGGCTGGTGCATACAAACACACACACACACACACACACACACACACACACACACACACACACACACACACCTGTTAATTTCCCCAGAGAGTATATGTTCTAATGTTGGCCAAGTAATCAATGAAAATCTACCTTTTTAAAGACACCTTACCTGTGCACCTACTTTGAATAAACCCTGTGCTGATGGAGGGATGGAAGGATATTGACGCTGCCCATTTAGGGGTTAAGAACGGAAGATGTCCACTAGAGGGCAGGGCCGTGAGAGAAGTACCTAGTGTGACCCTCAGCCAGTTCTGTGTTAGGGGCTGGAAAATGATATAGATATATATCATTATATAAATGATATAGGGTAGAAAAGGGAAGTCATCGCTTTGAGTGGCTTCATGAAGGAGGGACGTGAACAGTATTCACAGATGTAGAAACAGGACAGAGTGGCCACAGGTTAGCCTTGTGCAGTGACTAGAACCAGGAAGAAGGCTCTGGGGTCAGATTGTAGTGAAGTGGGAAGACCAGGATGAGGAAGTGCTCTTTGGGACCCAAATCTCTGCAATGTGTGTGTGGGGGGGGCATGTTTTCACTATGTGGGGTACCTAGTCCCATTGAGGATTGGTCCTAGCCCAGGTCTCAGGAAGCTCATCAGAAAGTGCCCAAACACCCAAACTTACCTTTGTATCCCTCAAAGAAACAAGTCTACAGGGCCTGTTGGCGTTGTGAACAGGGGCTCATTTTCTCACTGTTCCTTGATGATCTCATTAAGAACTAGAGGCTGACAACTGGCTGGGTGACACAGGGCCATGGTTTATGCTCTGAGAGGCACTGTGTCAGTTGCAGGTGGCAGGAAAATCCTGCTTCTAAGCAGGATGTATGGTTCTCTTTGGAAATATTGACTGAGAGGTAGCAGATTTTATTTTCATGAGAGCAGATTCCTAGAGTGATGCCTTTAGGTCACCTTGATCTTGTCATAGTCTAGAAGAAGCTCCTAGGTTACTGTGGGAACTGGCCTTTTTCAGCCCTCATGTGTTGGTGCCCTGGTAGAAACATGGGAAGGTAGAGAATGTTCCTAGGTGGTGCCTACCTAAGGCAGCTCGCCTTCTCAGACAAGCCCCATACTGGTGTGAACTTGGCTTTGCAGATGGCTAAGTACTGATGTCACTTTTAGAAGACATCACCATTATGTTGGACTCTTCATTAATAGCAGGTCAGAAGGAAAGAGGTTGAAGCCAAGAGGTCCCCTTCTGTACATGTCAGGAGACTGTGGGTCTGGGATTCTAGCCAAGGAGATGGGTAAAATGCTTGAACGAATAAGCCCAGGCTCTCATATAGCTGCTAGAAGGGTGAGGGTTCATGACTGGGGCCAGTACCCATCCCCTATTCACTATCTGTTGGCACATCTGCTCATTAGCTATATCTGACTCTCTAGTAGGTGCCCTGTCTGTGTCTTGGATTTGGCGACCCTCTGATGAAGCATTTTTCTGCCTGCTCTCATCGGTTTGTGATACTCGGGTGTCAGACCTCAGGTTCCTGCCCCTGACACCGTTGCCCCTTCCACAGCAGCTCCACATTGAGCTACTGGCCTTCGCAGACATGACAGCTGCTCAGAACTTGCTCACCCCTGCAATGTGTAGCAAGAACAGGCTGGGGTTTAAGAACAGGCTCGGGTGTATGAGGATGCTTCAGCTGCACGTTGGTTACTTTTCTCATTGTGGCAAGATGCCAGACAAAGGCGACTTAAGGCAGGGTCGATTTGGGCTCTTGATGCAAGGGTACATACAGTTCATCACAGTGGGGAGGTATATGACATGAGTGTGAGGCGGCCGGTCACATTATATCCTCACTGGGGAAGCAGAGACAGTGTAATGCTCACTTTGCTCTCTCCTTGGCACTCTTCCTGGATCACAATCTATGCCCTGCCTACACTCAGGGTGGTCTTCTCTCCCCAGTTCACCCGTTCTGGAAACACCCACAGGAACACACTCCAGAGTGTTTCTGTGATGACTCTAAATCCAGTTCAGTTGATGATGAAGACTAATCCTCATGGCCGTATCATCCATCCATCATCTCTAGTCCTGCTCAGGGGAGTGGCCAGCAGGCAGCTCAAGTGACCGTGGGAAGACAATCCAGAGTGGAGGCTGAAACCCAGAGAAAGGCACAGCAATATTTGGATGTATATTTTTTCCAAAGAACATTAAGATTTTTAAAGAATACTTTGAATACCTACCTTCCTTGCAACATGTTTTAGTAATTCTAAGCTTAAAATATTCTTCTTGCATTTAAATTATATTTCTCAGAGACCATTGTGTTTTACCCCCACCTCCTTGACTGTCTCCTGAAATGCACAGAAGGGGAACCTGTTGGCTTCACTGCCAACCCCTTTCCTTCCTAACAGATGGAGAAAGGTAAAGGGAGCCAGCAATGCCAAGACCATGGAGAAATTTACTGTTGCAGTAGAGGTTTGAAAACTGCAGACATTGGAATGCACAGAGAGCATGGGTATTTGAGTTATCACAAAGTTTACACACTTTGTCTTACTTTGCTTTCTAGTGCCATGATAAACACCAAAATCAAAAATAAGTTGGGGAGGAAAGGGGTTTATTTGGCTCACATATCCTGAATCACAGACCACTGAGGGAAGTCAAGGCAGGAACTCAAAGCAGAAACCTGGGGCAGACACTGAAAGAGAGACCATGGAGAAATACTGCTCACTTTTCCTGGTTCATTCAGTTTGCTCTCTTATACACCCCAGGACCACCTGTCTAGGGATGGTGCCACCCACAGTGGCCTGGGCCCTTGCACATCCATCACCACTCAAGAAACTGCTTCACAGGCTTGCCTGTGGGAAAATCTCAATTTTCTCAATTGAGATTTCCTCTTCTCCAATGACTCTAGCTTGTGTCAAGTTGGCATAAATACTGACCAACACACACCTAGATAACTGTACACTGAGGCAGACTTAGATATTAAAAAAATCCACGTTCTTCCCTCCAGCCATAACCTCAGATGAACACTGTAGTTAGAGCTGAGGGCCAGTGCCGCATGTATAGGTCCAGAAAGCATCTGCTTTGCTCTCATGTGATACCCCCTTGTCTGTGGTCTCTCAGGTTCAGATCAAGGGAAGCATAGTATATAGCAACTACTGTGTTGGTGTGGAGGTTCGAGCCAGGGCTCCTGTCAGCGTGATCTCTGAAGGCACACACATCTTCATCCCCAGGTCCACCACAACCTCCATCATTCTCAGAGGGTTCCAGTCCTATGACCCTGACAGCCCAGGGGCCGCTCTCAGGTAAGAACACAGAGCTGTGGAGGCTCTCAGGTTCCTACTTCTTCAAACTCTGGCTCAGGAATATTAGGAGAGTTAGTCTGGGAATTCTGCCAACATAGTTTGAGACATTTATGTGTAGCAGCTTTCTTTAGTTGAAATGCTTTAGTCATTAGCCAATATAGGAAAGTGTGAGTAACTTGTTTAAGGTGATGCTTAGAATGCGACATTGGAATGCACGTTGTAAATGCTCCCCTTTCACTGGGCCTCCTTAGTCAGATGCCCTTGTGTGGGGGAGGCAGAGTGCTGCCTGTAGAGTAGTGTGGCTCTGCTCTGCAGTCCCGGGCTCTGGCCCAGGCAGCCCAACCAGCAGGCCTTTCCCAGTCTTCTGAGGTGGTCCTCTTCCTTCCGGCATTCACCCTCCACTCAAGCAACCCTCCCATAGCCTCAGACTCACGTCCTCCACCAATCTGCTCTGTGCTGTGCATGGCCACCACCTGTGTGCCCCTTTCCTGTGCCTCAAATCACCCAACCACAAACTCCACCTCTTCCCACTGTCCTTCCCCACCTCCGTCTTGGAAACAATTCTTTTTTTTTTTTAAGTTAAAAGTAATTTTTATACAATATATTCTGATCATGGTTTCCCCTCCCTCGTATTATCCCAAATCCTTCCCCCTCCCCACACATCCAAATCCATGCCCCTGCCCCTGTCTCTCAAACAGGTAAATAAACCAGAACAAAAAAAATAAGAAAGAAAAAACACAAGAAGCCTATCTACACACTAACACACACACAAATAAAACCCATGAAAACACAAAATCAGAAGCCATAACATACAAGCAAAAGCTCAGTTAGGTTTAAAAAAAAACCATCCAACCTCCCAAAATACCACTGAATTCATTATGTTTTGCCCATCTACTGCTGCCCTTAAGTGTGGTTGTGTACACAGTGAGACTCCATGGGAGGAAACTGAATGTTCCCTTTTGAGCATTTGTCCATTGGAGATAACTTCTTGTTTGGGATGGGGGTTCATGTCCACTTCCCTCTCTTAGTGCTGGGACCCCAAGGAAACATTTCTTCCAGTCACTCAGACCAAAACTTTCCTCAGAGTCTTTAGCGTCTTTTTCTCTCACACTTTGTGTCTCCTCCGTCAGGAAATCTCATTAGGTCTCCCATAGGAACCAGCGCCCCGCCCCCACTTCCCTTGCATTGCCTGGGTGGAGCCACCAGGGCCTCAGCTTATGTCCATCCTCAACTGCAGCCAATCCTCCAAGACAGGATGGAGCTTCCTAGAAAAGGTTAGAAGCCCTTACTTCCCTGCTCTGACCTTCATCACCCCCCTTTAACTCAGAGGGGAAGCCACTGTCCTGTCTGCCACGAATCCTGTCTTAACATTTACTCCCCACTCAGTGGCTGCTGTTCATGGCCCTGCTTCATTGAGTTTAAGTTCAGAGCAGCAGGACCCTCACTGGATATATCCCCGTGCCCGATAGACAGCAGAGAGGTCCCTAAGTTGTTGTAACCCCTGCTGTGATCCTGTGTGGTTGCTTCGTTAGTGCATCGGAGGCGAGAGGTGCCCTCCCCCATTCCAGCTGTGTACATGCTGTAGACACAGCTCTCAGCTACCAGTTCTTCACCCTCAAGCCAGACAGACCAAGGCCGTGTCTCCATCATCTTCACACCGTCAACTATTAGGACTCATCATAGTGTCTGAAAATGAGAGCTCTGTGCCTCCTGCTAATGTGCTTCTGGGCAGTAAGGAATTTTTTCAGGGGAATCATGGGACAGTTTCTCTGTGCAGCTTGAGACTGGACATGGAGTTCTGTTTTGCCCCAGGAATGCCTCTTCCCAGCGGAGGTTAAGAGGCTGCTGCAGTACCGCCTCAGAATACAGTACCTGCAGGCTAAACACGGAAATGGACTTTCAAGACTCAACAGCAGTTCAGGTTTAAGAGACACTTATGGAAGCAGGTTGCCATGGTGAGGCTGGCCCAGCTTGCCAGTGCATTTCCATACTGTTTCCTGCCTGCCACATTCCTGTTTAAACGTGTCTCCCTCTGTGGATTAAGATCTGCTCAAAGCTGGGGTGATGCCGTCTCCACTGCACGCTGATGGTGCAACCATCTTTGTCTTGTGGCTCAAGCAATTATCATGTTACAGAGAGATGGTGAGATGGAAAGAGAATCAGCTCGAGGTTCCTGCTGGCCCCACTTTTCACCAGCTCTGAGTGAAACAGGGCAGCTCCCAAAGGCCTCTACCAAGGCGTTTCCTTCCTAAATGTGGGATAGTGTGATCTTCCTGTCTTTCCTCCGTGTGGCGTTGTCTCAAAGACGAGATGCAACGCTGGCAGAGTCAGCGTGAGGGAGTCCTTCTAGGAACTGCAGGGCTGTGTTACTTATGAGCAGGAGTGGACAGTGGTTCCAGGGTCGGGGTGCAAGACACAAGGCAGCCGGAAGCAGAACTCTAGGTGGAGTACGGTGGTCTTTGTGCCAGGGAGTGGGAGAGACAGGCCCAGCTCCTGTCACTGATGTCAAGGAGTGAGGCATATCATTTCTTCCCAGCCACATGTGCCTTTAACACACAGTGATGCTGACCACGCCCCTCCAATGGCTTCTTCAACAGGTATCACTGGACCTGCACTGCAGCCAGCTCACCAAGGTCCTGCTTTGAGGACTCTACTCCATACCAAGTGGACACTCAGGCTCCTGCCATTTCCTTCCCAGCAAAATGGCTCAGTGAATGCTGTGACCAGTTTCTTGTGACACTGACAGTCTCCAGCAATGGACAGAACTCTTCTCAGGCTGTGATATTCCTGTCCACCCATCCTGACCCAGACTTCAGGTACCCTTGCCCTGGTCATATGTAGCTGAGCACTCCGGCTGGTGGCGGCGGCTTGAAAGGAGTCTGTGTCCATGGAGACCAGTGTAAAGTTAGGCCATGTGGGGACCACACCACTAAGGAAGAAGATGGTGGCCAGGGAGGGGGTAGTGTCTTGGATAGCTCTGCTGTCCCTTGGGCTAACAGTGACACATCAGTGACTCTAGATGATGGTGCCAGTGAGCCTGTCCTGTTGCAGCACCCATCCCCAAGATGGAAGACCAGTGCTTGAGGATGATGTTAGAGGGTGCTGAGGGAGTCTGATTTCCAGACTTGGGAGTCTTCTGGGGATTGCAGGATTGAAGGGATGCAAGTGTAGGTCCAGTTGTGACATCTTGGAGCATGAGGGATTACAAAGAGACGCTAAGAACCCATAAGCTCTTCATCACCAAGGCTACCAAAGTACTCATGTGTACAGCCCCAGAGACCAAAAGCAAGTACCAGGACTTGAGTTAAGCAGCCAGGATATGCAAGAACAGGATATGCAAGGATATGCAAGCCTCTGGTTTCCCCCCTTCAAGGTCTAGGTTTTATGGGACTGAACAGGGGCTGAATTCCAGGGGAACCAACTTTGGGGATAGCACACGATTTACACATTCCTGAGACTAGCACACCCGAACACTTGTGAATAGTTTATTTCTGGGATTTTTCCATTTAATGTTTCAGATGTTGGTTGACTGCAAGTAACTGAAACTATGGACAACAGCTACTGCATACATGTACACACACACACACACACACACACACACAGAGAGAGAGAGAGAGAGAGAGAGAGAGAGAGAGAGAGAGAGAGAGAGAGAGAGAGAAACATGTGACAGACTGATTCCCTTTGAGGAAGCAGCAGACCTGCCCTGCCCTGGTCCTTCTTGCCTCCTCCACTTGGTGTTACATAGTAAAGCCATGGCTTGGGATGTGTCATGAATCCTGCATACCACTTAGAAAGTCTCCTCTGTACTCAGCCTTTTAAAGAGTCCTCACATCCTATAGGAAAGGAATCCACATGACAAGGTCCAACATAGTCTCTCACACCACCTGATGTTGTCCCAAAGAGCCAGAGTTCATGAAATGCTCTTTGGGGCTCAGCGCTGGGCCAGCAAAGAGCCTGGAGAGATTGCCAGGGTGTAGCTATAATGACTTAGAAATGTGTGTATGAAATGTGAGACTGGGTAAGGTATGGTCCCTGTGGGCATTGTAGGGCATGGGGCAGCTCATGACCCAACAGCCCTGCCCAAGTGAGAGGCAAAGCTGAGCCAGATGGCTGTGGCAAAGGCAGGTGTCTTGGAAAGGCCCAGGTGTAAGTGGTTTGTAGCTGGAATCAAGCATGTGGTGAAAAGGTAAAGAGATAACTCAGGTATTGACTTCTGCGTTTGGACAGCATGGCCAGAGCTGAGGCTGAGTGACAGAGAGGATAAAGCCCAAAACTATTTGACATGGAGGAAGTCTCACAGCTTCCCTGAACTTGGGGAGGTGTGGATGTGCTCATCTGGTGTATTAGGTCAAACCATGCTGTGTTAAGTCTGGAAGCTGGTCACATAGTCTGTGCTCCCCTACACAGGCTCTGATGATACATTCAGTTTTCATAATACAGGGCCAAGACAGATGGTCCAAACATGGCCATCCCAAATGAATGCAGCCTAAGGGTGCACATGGTATTTTCCTACAACGTCAAAGTGATTGCCTGTTCCAGATTCGTCCACATCTCATGGGTCAATTTTAGAGACATCCGTGTAAACTGGAATGAAGAACTGTCTCTCAGAGCTGTGTGTGAAGACTGTGGAGATGTAGCCAACCTCACTTATTCCTGGGATCTCTTCCTAGTCAATGCAACAGAAAAGAATACAGTGGAAGGTAACATGGTTACTCTTTTTCTGAGGAATGAAAATGCTCAGGGTTGTTCTGTGGTTGATGAACCATTGCATCTAACCTACCCAGGCCTGGGACTTCATCCCACTTCAGCCCTCCAGACACCTAGTGACGGTCTAAAAATGGTTTCTCACATATGTGCTCTAAGAAGGCTGGGCCCAGACTCACTTGGATTGTTTTATTGATTGAGAATCACAGGAAGCCATTGCAAAGGATCTGTGATGAAACTCACAAGCCAGAGAACTGTGGCCCTTGGAACTGTGACGTTTGTATTGGGTCTGTGCTCCACTTTCCTGACATGCAACTCCTAAAATCTTTGGCCTCTTCTGTGCGATACTGCTTTTATATGCTAATGAGCTGACAGATGGCTAGGAGCTCCTGAGTATCTTTGAGATGAGGCTTGACCATCCCAAACATTGGGGCAGGATGTGTAATCCACCATGTCTGTGTAACAAAGCTTCCAGTGGAGCTCTGTAAGGATCACTGATGGAGGGTGGAGTTCCAGAAAGGGGTGGCAGCTCGGGCCTCTGCTCACACACCTCACCCTGTGAACCTCTTAGCCTGTATCCACGGTAACGTCATTTACAGTTGGTCTGTGAATGTGTTTCCCTGAACTATGTGAGCTTCTGTAAGAGGGGATGATGGGAACTCCTGTTTAGATTCAAAGGACCATAAAACCGGGTGGACATTCATAGGTGGGATAGATGGAGAACCAAGCTCTCGGGCTGTGTCATCTGATGCAGTGCCCAGGCAGACAGCGTGAGGACTGAATTGGAGGACACCAGCTGATGATGCTCAGAATGGCTTGCCGCTAGTGGGGAGACATTTCCATATCGTTTGGGCATCTAAGAAGCCATCTGTGCGGTGAGACTGGATGAGCTGAGTCTGAGCCCATCTTCCCTGCACACTCCCTCCTGACCTGCCTCTCTGGGACAGATGCCCAGCAGGAGCTGGTTCTAGCTTTCAGTCTATACCTCCAAATTGCTTAGGTGAATGATGGTGATCCAACGTGTCACTCTAAATGGGAAGCTGAGGCACACTGAACATGGGAACAGAGTTTATTTAAGTCCCAGTGAAGGTGACTACAGGGAGAAAACAGGAACTGTCGTTACTCAGAGTAAGTGCTCCTGAAACGACACCAGAGGGTCTCTGGTGCTTACACCCTAGGGCAGGCGTTACATATCAAACTGGTTGTTAGAATTGCATTGGTCAGTAGCAAGAGCACAGGATGTGGACCAGCAGTGATGTGAGGCATTCCAGAAGTAAGGGAGGGGCTTCACTATGATATGTGTTGTTTCCTCCATGTTAGGATGGCTGAAGAAATCCACAGGCTGATCGGGATGACCTGGGGGTCTGTGTTCTCAGGCCTCACATTTGCCTGGGCTGAAGAATGTTGTGAACTTGTCCTTATCCCCATGTTCATCCTTTCTCATACTGTTTCACAGAGTAGTGGGATGCTGAGGAGTGAGGCTGAGTTTCAACAGGTAGTGACCCAGAAGAGCTGGGTTTCTATGCTGGACATCCAGCACTGCTCAGCCCCCACTGGCTGGCTGCCATGTTTTCTTTAGTCCATCTAAGGCTCTTAGAAAACCTTTTAAAGCAGAGCGTGGAGTACAGCTGCCCCCCAACACTCACACACACTCACACACAATGGGGACATCTAGTGGGATTGTGTCCCACATTGCAGGAGAGGGGCCTCTGAATTCTTTAAGACAAACTAGACCTCCCTGAATCAAAGCCCAGAGTGTAAGTGAGGACCTGTGGCAGCGACGCTGACAATAGTTAGGCTACAACAAGGCCAGTGCTGCCTGAGGGTAATGTGTTGGCAGAGAACTCTGAATAGGGTTCCCATCATCCTCGCTTACAGTAGTTCAGGGAACACAGGGAAACAAATCACTAGTTCACTGTAAAGGACACCACAGAGGACAGAGGTGGAGAGGTCTGTCCTGGTCAAAAACAAAAGCTGCCTTTTAAGTGAGTTATTTCTGTCTGTGAATTTTTGTTGTTTTTGATCCTTTATCATAATTCCTAGAGATGCTTTTTAGAATTGTTTATTGAATCCTCAATCCTCAGTGAATCCCCTCAAGGGAGGGGAATGATGATTGGGAGAAATTCCTTCCAGAATACAGAGTCATTCACACAGTGGGCTCGCAGAACCTGGTAGGGTGACCCTCTAGTCTGAATGTAGACAGGAGAGAGAAAGTTCCAGGGAAGGAATTGGGAGTTCCTTTTCCTACTTGCTCATATTTAGGTTATATATTGGCTCTCACAGCACCAGTCCAGAATCGTGTGCCAGGGCCTTGCTCTAAGCATCAGGTTTCCATGTTAGGCTCATTTAAAGTAGCGTAGTGTTTCCCGGGAAGATGTGAACAAGTGTTCCTTCACCCCAGCTAGGGCACCAAGATACACCACTGATAAGTCTGTTCAAGTCAGGGGCATCATTGAAAGGCTAGTGACAGGCGTGTAGGTGACTTAAAAACAGGTATGCCACCCAAAAGACCACCCCAGCATGGGTGATGACTCATGAACGCTGCCACACTGCAATCCCACCCTACACACTCTAGTGCCCACCCCCAGATCACCTGCAGTTTGGAGAAATGGCTGGAATCCCAGGTGAGAATCCTGGGGCCCTCTTCCTGCTTCTACTAGGGAGCTTTGGCAGCCAAGTCCTCACTGTCTCTGTGCTGTTCAGCTTCTTGTGTTTCCATGACTACGGAGGTTACTGCAGCAACCTCAGGCCCATGAGGGCAATGGTCACCCCAAGCTCACAGAAAATATCTTTACCCACCAACCTATATGTGTTTTTATTTTTAATGTGTGTGTGTGTGTGTGTGTGTGTGTGTATGTGTGTGTGTGTGTGTGTGTGTGTGTGTGTGTGTGTGTGTGTGTGTGTGTTGGATGGGGATGTCATAGTGCATATGTAGAAGTTAGCCACTATTACAAAACTTCTGGTTATGAGATTAAGGTCACCAAGCTTCTGCAGCAAGCACTTTTACCATACCAGCTGAGCCATCCTGCACTGGCCCCATAGCCTGCATATTTAAAAACAAACAAACCATATATTATATTTTCAGTGCAGAATTTTAACCCTGTCACACCTGTGTTTAAGTTCCCTTCTGTAGCACCGTGGGGCTGCTGGGCGCTTCAGCATTTGGGGCCATTGTGAAGTTGTCTAAGCCAGACCTGCAGTCAAGCCCCAGAGGATCAGAGACACTACACTCATCAGAGCGGTCACCTATGCCCCTGAGCTGGTCAGCTCTTCACAACCTGGGAAGCATTTCCACTGAGTCCATGGCAGGTGGCCACCACATTCCTGCTGGGGGTCCCATGGCAGGCTCAGGGGAGCCTATGGAGGATTACGGCTCACTGAGTCCAGCACCAGGTTCCCTGGAGGAGGAAGCTTTTATGATGAGCACCCCAGAGGGAAGCTGGTCCCCTTCCAGCTCCTCCCCTGCCTTTGATGGTAAGTACCACCATCTCTACACATTGTCCCTTGTAACTAGACACCTGGGAAGCCGTGAATGGAATGGGACAGTCACTCCCACTTTTGTCCTGAGTCTAAGAGTACTATGTTCATACTCAATGCAGAGCCCAGTTTCAATCTCAGGGTAATAAAATAGTATTTTGTTTTTGTTATTTTGAGACAGGTTCTAATGTAGCCCAGGCCTTCAATTCCTTATGTAGCTAAGGCTTGAATCCCTGATCCTCCTGTCTTCAATGTTCAAGCACTGGCATTATTGGCATGTGCCACTGTAGCCCAGCTTAGAGATAGTTTATTCTTGACCCAAATATGAGTGACAGTGGTCCAGGAACACAAAGATTATACCCTTAAAGATGTGTTCCACAGTGAAAGTGGTTACATGATATTTGATTAGTTGTTATTGTTATACAAAAAAGAAAGTTGTATCAAATACATTGGCAGGGAGAGGGAACCACAGTCAGGTAGGGGAAAAATCATATGGGTATTGGACTGACAGCATTTTTAGCTATGGATTGGTAGCAAATAGTCCTCTGCTGAGAATACATTTTAAAGGTTTTACTAATAGTCAAAACGATGTTCAGTCAGACATGGGAGTGAATAATGAATGAGGATTTTAAGGGGACTAAAACATGGTTTGGATAGTTTGGCTCTGATCTGCAAAATTCTAACTCTTGCGTAATCATGAAGTTCTACTCCTCTGGCCTTACAGGATCTTGGGGGTGGGGGATGGACTTTAGTCTATAGCATTCAGCACTCACTAATGGTGTCTTCAAATGACATGTAATTTTTTCCTCTTGTATAGATTTTGAAGCCTATTATAGTGACATCCAAGAAGACGTGCCATCCCTAGGAAGACAGCCAGGTGACCACTTTTATGATTGTCCCCATGTAGAAGGGCCCTGCACCCAGGCTCACTAGGCACCAGCCCTCCTGGATGCTCCATGTTTGTCCTTCCATCAGGGCTACCTAAAACTCCCCCAGGGAGTTTTCAAACCGAGACTTCGAGCTCCTCTTCATGGCACAGACCTCTCTCCTGGCTCACTTACTGCCGCACATCTTGAACCCTCTGCTCCCACACTCCCCGTGGTCTCAGGCCCAACAGTAGGTGATCCAGACCCGAGGTGCCTTGCATGGTGGGTCTCCCTGACTGCCATCTCCACCCTGCCTCCTTGCTCATCACCCTCCTTGCAGGTTCCCTCTCCCTTCCCGCTTTGAATTCACCCTCAGCACTGTGATGGCCCCCATCAGTTCACTGTTTCCACCCCTACCTCTTCTAAGCAGGTGGCTTCTGGGCCAACGATGCCCTTCTGTGTCTATCTCGTATACACTTGACATCCTCACAAAAACTTCACGACTAGCTTATTCTCGTGTCCCCAGAACCATCTTGATGCCCAGTGCATCAGTGAACACAGGATGATCAATGTGTCATGTAAAGAGGTGTATGATCAGTAGGTGGTCCATGTTTCTGAAGAACAGACAGACAAGGAGCAAGCACTGACTCTACCTGTCCAGTGAACAGATGGATAATTGGAGCATGTTCTATCTGCCAAATGAATGGGCAGGTGATTAATTTGTTGACAGAACAGGCAGACGATGACTGGTTGACTTATTTTTAGAGTGATTGAATGGTTAGGTTAATACGTTGGTCCTCTGATTCACTGCCTCTGACTTAGAGTTTCTTCAGCCCCTCTTGTCCCTCCTGTGTGCCATACTTCTTTGTATGAGGTGCTCTTCATAGGCGGTCATAGGAGGAAGCAGAAGAGAAACCTGGAAAAACAAAGTGTGTTATGGCCACAGGTCCTAGGGCAGACATGTGGCCCACCACCCAGGGCCTTGTGGGAAAGCCTTATGAGACCCAGCTTCACCAGGGTTTCAAAGAGAGGAACAAGACAGGCAATGTGTGTTTCAGGATCTGGCAATCTGAGTAATTCCAGTGGGCTGTGGACAATGGGAGTGATGCCTGGTACAGCACTGGTACCTAGTAACGTGGCACCTGACTCTGGGATGAGTAAGCAGAGGACAGTTGCCCAGAATGTACAGTGGAACAGAGGGGGCCTGGCTGTGGATTGGGTAGACCCACTCCTGACTAAGCCTCGATATGACTAGGGATTGGCTAGATCAGAACAGGTGACATCTTTCTAGCCAGAAAGGCAGGTTTTGCTGCTGTTTGGTTTATTTGTAGGATATGGAGACACAACTACATTAGTTACTGGTTTTGCCTCATGGTTTCACAGGGTTTGGGTTACAGTCACTCGGCCCCATGCCCCTGGGTAGAAAGTCATGTCAGTGGGAGTATATAAAGGGGGTTTTCTCTTCCTGGTGGATAGAAAGCAGAGGGTCAAATAAGAAGGGACTAAGGACAGCATACCACCAAGGATCCACCCCCAGTGAGCTCTTCACATCTAGGTTCTACCTTCTAAGCTTTCCAGAACCTCCAAAATAGCAGCACCAGCAGATAGGAACTGAGCATTTAACATGGGCCTGTGAGGATAACTTCATATTCAAGCCATAAAAACGATACATAAAAAATTAAAACGTATAATATATACACAGGTCTGTTTCAGGGCTCCAGCTTAGGCATGGCAGGTACCGAATCAGCAATAGCAAATGGACAACATAGACATTATCTTACCCTGTTAACAGCATGACTCTTTCTGACAGGAGTCATCCTAATTCCTCCAGGGTTTCTGGGACTCTGTCTTCTTTCTGCAGCCTTCTTTGAAGTCTTTGGTCAGTCTATCACTGTCCCATGACATTCCTCCCCAGACTATGCAGTGGCTTTCTGCCTCTGTGCTTGCTGCTTGCAATCATACCTGCACACAGCAGCCACGCTGCCTGCAATCACACCCCCACACAGCAGCCACGCTGCCTGTAATCACACCTCCACACAGCAGCCAGGGGCCTTTCTCAGGCACAAACCAGATGGTCAGTTTCCTCAGCCACTGGTGGCTTCCTGCCACTTTCAAGACAAATGTTTCCGTCGGTGGCCACAGGCATATCTCAGCCTCACTGTCCACCTTCTGGGCCCCATTCTCTTTCTTCAGCCACCCACAGAGGGCCCTTCCCACCACACTTGGTTTCTACCCAACCTGGAAACTTTCTCCAGATCTTCACTGAACTCATCCTTTGCTCTGAATCCCTGCCCACTGCTCCAACAGAAGCCCCATCCCTGACCCCTGCTTCCTTCTGTTCCCCACACTCACTTTCTCTATGAATCTACTGTGGTTTTTCCTCTGTCATTTATCATTACCTGACTTTGCATTATGAAATTCCAGATCGCAAGGTGGAAGGGAGGAAGGGAGGAAGGGGAAGGAGGGGAGGAGTGAGGAGGATACAGAAAGGAGCTAATGGGAGGTGATTATAAGACACAAAAGTACCTCTCTTGAATATGCATACTTACTAAAGGCATTGCTTTAGATGTGCCGTATCTAGCAACCACAGAAATCAGTATTAGCATCAACCTTGAAGCATTCATTCTTCACAAGACTGTAACTTTTCCCTTTCTCTCCTGTGGCATGATTTCTCTTCCTAGGCACCAGTGCTAACTTCCAGGAATCAGGACCAAGCACCAGCACCGAGGAGAGTGCCAATGATGGGGACAACCTGCTAGGTCCTTTCCTTCACACAGGCAGAGCAAAGCCAGCTCTCATGGTTGACTGGCCCAAGACCCTGGTCAGCCGAGCTGTCTTCCACAACTACACCTCCTCAGGTATGAACATGCTCTTTGTACCCTGGATTCACAGCCACTTCAGAAGAGTTTGGGAACCAGTCCTCAAGTTCTCCCAAGTCTTTTGTCTTAATGAAAGAATGGAACCACTCAGCCTTCTTTACTCATGTCTGTCCTTCTGGGGATCACAGCCCATGGCTCATTCTCTAAGGATGAAGCTAGCTTCATCTGAACCCTAGGAGTCCCCAGCTGCAGATCAGTAGGGAGCTTCAGATCTGGGTGGCACCCCAACATGTAGATTCTGCCTGTCTCTAAGACCTTGCATAGAGTAGATGTTCCATTTACATGGATGGATCGAGTAAAGCTGGCCCTGTGTGGAAAAGGAATTTTTAATCTGTCTTCCCCAGCACAGGCATGTTGGTTTGTCTGCTCTGGTGGGACACCGCCTTTCTGAGTACTACTGGAGAGTAGATCACCCCCATAAGCCTTTGGGAGAAGCTATGGATTTCATGCTATTTTTCAGGGATTTTCTACTTGCTCTTTCCAATCACCTGTCTTAGTTTTGGATCTCTCCCAATTTTGAGGAAGACTAAGCAGGGTGGGTCAGCTTACTCTTGAAGGGGAAAAGTTAAAAACTTTTCATAGTCAAAATTCTACAAAAACTCAATATGTCCATCATACTTTCACAGATAAGTCAAATTTATAAAATAAAAACTCAAACATTGAGCTTACTGTAAATGCACAAAATGAGATCTTACCAGAATTCTCTTATTACTAGGGAAATCTACCTCATTTCTGAGCTGTGGGTGACTGGTCCACCTCAATACTGCTTCTGTTAGATGAGGATGGCCTGGAGATAGGAATTTGGGTTCCTTAAAGAAGGCTGGTACCCCACAGACTAGTGTCCTTCCCAAGTATGAACAGAACATGTGTCTTAGTTAGGGTTTCCATTGCTGTGAAGAGACACCATGACCACAGCAACTCTTATAAAGGAAAACATTTAATTGCAACTGGCTTACAGTTTCAGAGGTTTAGTCTGTTATCACCATGGAGGGAGACATGGCAGCATGAAGCTAGACATGGTGCTGGAGAAGGAGCTAAGAGTTCTTCTACATCTTGATCCACAGGCAGCAGAAAGAGACTATGTCCCACACTGGGTGTAGCTTGATCATATGAGACTTCAAAGTTGACCTCTACAGTGACACACTTCCTCCAACAAGGCCACACCTACTCTAACAAGGCCATAATAGTGCCACTCCCTATGGGCCAAGCACACAAACACATGCATCTATGGGGGCCATACCTATTCAAACCACCACAACGTGTAACCAGGGTATTATTTACTCACACCCTTGGAACAAGGGTGGGGCTCACTCCTGGGATCCCACTGACTGCCGCTTCCATGTGGACACTTCCTCTTCTGTAGGTATCATGGGACCAGCTGTGACAATAGCACCATTCTCACTGAGCAGTGGCGAGATGTACGTCTTACAGGCTTCTGTAGGTATGTCAAGGTACAAGTTGGATCTAGTATGGGGAACCATGAAGGTTTGATCATTATAGACTTTTTCCTAGAAACAACAGTGACTCTCTACTGCAACCCCTTGCTCTGGACCTCACCATTTCCTTCTCCCCTGCTGCTGCCTTCCCATTATTTGTTATTCACATTAGTTGCTGTGATGTTCTCCTTTCTTATTGAATCACGTGCATGTTTAGAACAGGATAAACAATGATCAGTTACTGTCCTTCTTGTATGTTTGACTTTTTTGGTAGATACCTAATGTCTTAGGGTTTCTATTGCTGTTGAAGAGACACCATGACCATGGTAACTCTTATAAATACATATTTAATTCGAGTGGCTTGCTTACAGTTCAGAGGTTCAGTCCATCATCATCATGGCGGGGAGCATGGCGGCATGCAGGCAGACATGGTGCTGGAGTAGCTGAGAGCCCTACATCTTGCAGGCAACAGGAAGTCAACTGAGACATTGGGCAATATCCTGAGCATAGGAAACCTCAAAACCTACTCTCACAATGACACACATCCTCCAACAAGGCCATACCCACTCCAACAAAGCCACACCTCCTGAAAGTGTCACTCTCTATGAGATTACGAGGGCCAATTTTATTCAAACTACCACACCTGAGTAGGTCACCTTCACTACATATATTTGATTCCCAACCATGTGTTATTGCCGTTTTTCCGAGTGCTCAGTGTGGGCTGGAACTTATCCACAGGCTTACCCTGCTCAGTGCCCCACAACTCTTCCTGCGTTTCCACAACTCAATCTGAAAGCATTCTTTTGGGTCACTTCTAAACATTCCCCCATTTCTGGAGACTTTCAATTCCATTTAACAAACACAGAAGATTCAAGTGATATGCAGAACAGATTTTTCATCCACATTTTTGCATTCATTAGGACCCACCATGAGCCAGGCAATAGAGGCACAGCTGTAATAACAGCAGTAGGGAGCCTGAGGGAAAAGGATTGCAAGTTCAAGGCCCAACCTTACCTCAGAGCAAAAACAGATAAGCAAAACTTAATGTGCACTTCCAATTTTGCCTCCTGGGTCTGTATATGCATCCCTCACGGAAGAAACACAAGGCCGTTTGTTTTCTGATATTTCATAGATTGGCTCTGGATTCTCACCGCTGCTGTGAGCCTCTGCCTGCCCTGTCTAGACACTAAGCCTCCATCCCTGTTTCTGCCCACACAGAGACAATGTTTGCTTCTGTTATATTGGATACCTTTGCTTCTCAGTAGCTCATGTGCCATGCACCCCTTCACCCCAGTTTTGAAATCCCCCAATCAACAAACTAAAAGCCATTCTCTTAGGCCATGTACCTTCTTTATATGCCTGAGAGTCTCCCCGTGATCCGTGGGTCCTGTTCAGTGTCCTCAGCCACCTGGGAGAGTTGAGCTCAGGCTCCAGGTGTCCTGCTCAGCTGTCCATCACTTAGGCCACACAAAGCCTCCCTACAGCTTCATTCTCCTGTGCTCTTCATCATACATGGCACAGTGTGGCTGTCCTTCCTTGTGTTACTTACAGGGAATACTCTTGCCCCTATGTCCCTTTCTTAATTAGGTATGCTAGTCACCCCCCCCCCCCCCGCCCACCCAGGTTGCTAGCTTTTATTGCTTCTTCTTCTGCGAGGATTGGGCAGTTTAGCAAGGCAAAGCTAATCACCACATCCTCTTGGATTTCACTTGTGTTGAAGGGTCTATTCTCTGTGGTTGGTGTTGTCATGCCACTGTTAAATAGGAAGCACAGGCCCAGTGTTCAGCCTGCCAGAGCCACATGAACAGTCCCCACAGGACCTCATGAGGATTTTTGACAACGTGATATAGAAAGCTCTAGCCCGTAATTTATCCTAAGAATATATTACTTTTTTTAAAAATTGTGAATGATAATAAGTTGGTATAGGGTGATTAATAAAGCAGAAAGTACATACCATGGTGTTTAATCACTGGGGAGTAATAACTATGCCTGTTGGGGTGTATCTGCCCAGAGAATTCTTAGGCAGATGTTTACAGCAGATTCTAGACACATGCAGAGGAAGTGAGAAATGTGTGTGTGCATGTGTGTGTATGTGGGGTGTGTGTGTGTGTGTGTGTGTGTATACTTCACTGTTCTCTATACCAGCTGAAACCCTCATCCTGTCCTTCTCTTAGCTTCAAAGCATGCCTTACTAGGCAAAGCTCAGCTCTACATAACGGTCAACCAAGTCCCACGGGACATGTCCTGTCAGGTGCGACCCCACAGTGGTATGGAGGCACATACCATCTTCAGTGTCTTCTGCATGTCAGGGAAACCGGTATGTGAGAACCCTTGTCTGTCCTGAGGGGTGCAGGCAACCACGGCTCTTGGAAAGCACAAGAGTTCTTTGCATGGTGGGCTGCAGGGCTGGCCCTGACCCGCAAGGTGGAAAAGTTGTTCCTGCATGAATGCGGGGAGGGGCTTCTCCTACTAGTAAGAACAGCCTCTTCATTAGAAGGAGAGGATTCTTGCTGGGCTTTGCCACAAAGTCAGGAGGCTCTGTTACCTATGGGCACACAAGTGGGAGGTGAGGGGCTCAGCCTGAGGCCTAACTCCATCACCAGAACATGTCTCTGACCTACACTCGACCTCTTTGTCCTAATTTGAACAATGTAGAAGTCACTCTGCATTTTTGAATAGGGTCTTGTGAGGATCTGAGGAGAAAGAGTCGTGATCCACAGGTTGAGAACCACTGTGTTAGGGGATCCAAAGACAAGAGAGCTGGCTGACTCAAGTGTAGAATCCTGCTTCATGTGAGAAGCCCTTTGGTTTAAGAGCAGATGAGTCCTACAGAGCCAGGAGACCTCTCCCATCTATGTGTACGGAGAATGATGCAGGCACCCTGGTCTGGGCTGCAAAACATAACCAACAGTGGCCGTGAGGGTGGAGATGTGTGGCATTGATTGGTGATTCCATCCACAGTATGTTCAGTTTCCTATTTTTCTACTCCCATGGATTGGATCATAGGACTTTCATTACGAATTTCGTTACTGGATAGGAAATACTTCTCCACACACCCTGTACCATGGACGAGATACCCAGCACTACTTTTTATTGCCAGCTGGTGAGGCCTCAGATGATTACAAAGGTAAGTCACAGCGTCAACCATGCGACTAGGTATGCCTACTTATCCCTCCAAACATTTTCTCCTAGTTTCTAAAAACTACAAAGTATTAGAGGGGCCTAGAAATTAAAATCATTTATCTGCCTCAGTAAATTTAGGCCCTTTACCTGTCTTTTAATACAGAAAGAATATTAGAAACATTATTAGCAAATTGGGATTTTCATATCTTCAATTTCAATTAAAATACAGATAATAAATATCAAAGAAAGCTCTTACCCGTGATTAATATATGCAAGAGTAGGGTATCCCCACTTACAAGTTAAATAGCTCATATTATCTGGATTTTGAATTTATTATCATTGAAAACAAATTAAGGCACTCCCTCCAAAAACTAAAATGTGAGGAAAGACTGTTGAGTGAGCAAGTGGCATCTCTGTAATCAGTCTCCCATTACAAACCCTGCCATCAGTGAGCATTTAAATTTCCTCTCTGTGTTCTCTTTGATAGAGTGTCCCCCATGAACAGGAGACCTCTCACTAGGTCCTGTCTCTCAAAGGTTCCACTAACTCACAACAGTACTAAGCTAAAGGCTTACTACATGGGCCTCTAGGTGATGTTGCAGACCCAAATTACAGAAATCTCAATCCAAATGAAGCCTGTGGTGCCAATAGCTTTCTATCTCAAACACTGTCCCTTAGGTCCTGATTAATTCCGATCCCACACACAAGGCCTGGTGTCACCTGATGTGACCATTTGACAAAGTGTCCGGTTTCACACAACCCAGTCTGGTTAACTGGGAATGATCTGTATTTTATTTTTATTTTTGAACTTCTATATGATTCCATTGTATAGGCATGAATGAAAGTCAGCAATGTAGAAGTTTCTTCAATCTGAGACAGTAAGATGATTTCAGCCCAAAGTGTGAACTGGTCCATCTAACTGATGTACTTGAATCTCCCTTCTCCTTTTAAGTCAACAAAGTATTTCATTGCTGACACCTTTCCTGTCTCCTCCAAACTTTCCCTCACTCCCAGATTCAAGTCACACCAAGCAAACTTCTCTGAGCTTTGTGATCATGCTCTGATTAGCATGATGATGACTTTATATTTGCATCTGAGCTCAAGTTCTCCTAAGACCAAGCAAACAGACTCTCCAGCACAGTAGGCATTACTGAATAGATGAAGGTGGCGTTCATGGATCTTCCATCCATAAATCTGTAAATATTAAAATTGCATTCACCTGCCTTCTGGAAATTTTTCTCATAATGGCTGCTCAGGTCAAGCACACCCACTTCTTGGTGGTGGCCAGGGGCCTATCCTAAGAGCTGAGTCAAAATAGCACTTGCCTTGATGAAGATGTTCAACTAAATAAGCATGCCTCTTACAGTGCAGGGAATGATCTACATTAACACCTGACATGTTTCTTACCTGAGAGCACATGTAGGGGCATGAGAACCTCTTTCCACCAGCTAGCCATAGTTCACAGGGCTAGACAGACGTCTAAATAGAAGATCTTGAGTCAGGGACTCATCATCATGTTGGAATGAAGAATGTCTTGACATAAATCTATAGTACCAAATCTTAGGTCACAGGCCTGGGACAGTGTCATTTGGTGCTCAAATCCTTCATATGTATGATAAGTACTGGTAGCTGTTGTTACATTAAATCCCAGTGACTATCTGAATTAATAATTGACAATAGGATAAACACGAGCAATTAAGTAAAATAAATTTAGTAGAGTGGATGTTTAATGTTTCTTGTCTTGTCCCATCTTTTGTATGAGTGAATATGGCACAGAGTTATCACATCAAATTAAATTCTTATCTAACACTCACTCCTCTGCCATCCTCTCTCTTGATTTATAGTACATTATCTTCAGTGGGGCACTGAGGAGCTTGTACAGTAACTACCGGCTCAGAAGATAGAGCCTAGAATTTGGGCTTCTCAGTGATTGTGATACACATGCCCAGGGCCCACATCCTAAGAAGGACTGATATCCAAGTCAAGTCTCCAACCTTTAGTACTGGGTTTCAAGTTGAGTCTACTATGTAGATACCCAGGGTTCACATGTGTGCTGATCTTCTGTGTGTTACACACAACTGTATCTGTGACCATCACCCAAACCCCAATGTCACCAGCAGGTCTCATTACACCTTTGAGCCTTTGTTACGTGAAGGAATTCCTAGGTCCACCAAGTAGCTATTTCTTGCTAGATACATACAGATGTTTTTATACAAACCTCCCCTCAGAATTCTTCTTTACCTTTGCCTGTTAATTCTGCCTCCATCATTTAGGAAGTAGTTAAAATGTGACACTAACACTGGCCCATCTGTTGCAGAGTCAGGATTATACTCCCCATGAGCCTGGTACCCCATTTCAGCACTCCTTATGTATTTGGTGGACAGGAACACTCTGGAGGGAAGAAACGGTCACCTACCATGACCTTGTGAATGGATTATGACTTACCCCTGCCTCCTGCAGCACACAGTGATGGCATCTGCCTGTCTGCCCTCTGTGGCACTCCCTGTTTCCCTATCTGATGAGCATTCACTGACCTTACTTGGGTGTTCAGATCTTAGGTTGGGTGGTGACATCTCCCCAGAAGGACAGAAGAATTTTGAAGTCTTTTCTCATACCATGCCTTGTGTTTGAATCCCTAGTAAACAAGCCATTACCATGGGGCAGCACTGATGGCTAAGTGGTTAAGAGCATGCATGACTCTTGAAGCCTGAGTTTGATTCTCAGCACCTGGGTCAGGTGGCTCACAAATACCTGTAGCCCCAGCTTGGGGGGAATCCAGTATGCTCTTCTATTCTAGCCTCCAAGAGCACCTGCATTCACATGCACATACCTTGACACTATAACTCATAGTTTTGCTTAACAGATATTCTATTTGCAGATTTGTTGGTATCCTCAGTGTGTCTAATGTGGGAGGGAAGACAGCTCACCTTAGGTTTGCCAGCATCCCACCCCCTGTCACCATCACCCATACTCTTCAGCTGCTGATGATGCATGAAGACACTTGTCCACAACCAGTGTCTGGAATGACCCTCCTCTGCCATATTCCTTCACAGTCTTTGTTTCTACTGAGATCACAGATGGCCAAGGCTCCAAGGTGCAACCATGCACTGTGGAAGTGACTGTGCTACCCCGTTACCATGGAAATGACTGCCCTGACAAGGACCTGTAAGTAATAGGATGCAACAAAGACACCCTACAGCAGAGCTTATATTCCCTGGGGAGATGGCAAAGAGCCACTAAAAGAGCAATAGTAATTGCTCTTCTCATGCTGGGCAAAAGCCAGGGTCTCCCAGGCGTGGCCTATTAAACACCATTTGCATGGCACTGTGCACATGCTTCAGGGTCCATGAGGCTCTTTCTTTTCTTTTTAAAACAAGTTTTAAAGATTTTTTTATTTATGCATCTTTGGGAGGGTAGTGGGAGTTGGGGTTTCTCACATGTGTGGGTGCCTCAAGAGCCCCAGAGAAGGCATTGGATCCCTGAAGCTGGAGTAGAGACCATTATGAGCCACCTTACATAGGTTCTGGAAACTGAATTTGGGTCTCCTGGAAGAGCAGCAAATGGTCTTAACCACTATCCATCCCCTTAAACAATTTGAGGTATCATTTACACATTATATAGCTTACCTATTGAAATTCCTCACACTTCCAGAACACTGTGGCCTTTAGCACAGTCTAGTTTGGGAACATTTAGCCATCATAACATCTTGGAACTAAACAGTAGTTACTCCTGAATCATCAACCCCAACACCTACTTCCCAAACCCCCAAAGCCAACATCTTTATGTCTAAAGATTTGCATATTCTAGAAACTTTGTGGCAACAGGATGATGAAAAATACATGCTTGAGTTCTTCTTCATTTCACACATGAATGATGTAAATGATACCTCAATGATGAGTTTCATCCATGATATGGCATAAATCAGTACCTCATTTTTTAATTACTCAATAATATTTTTTGTATTGCCTCAATTTGTTTACTCCTTGAACAGGTGACATGGCCTATTTTTTCTGTCTGTATGTTAGATTCTTCTGAAGATAAGATTTTTTTTTTTTTGCAAGCTTTGGTGTGGGTGAGCATTTTCATTTCTCAAGGGTAGAATCACTAGGTCATATGACACCTCTTGCTTAGCACTTCTGAGGGGCTGCACCATTTGGTATTCCCACCAGCACTGACCGACGCGAGTCATTTTCTCTGTGCTAACTGGGCTGGGGTTAGTTTTTGTATCAACTTAATGCAAACTAAAGTAATCTATCTGGGAAGACAAAACCTCGAGAGGATGTCTCCATCAAAATGGCCTGTAGACAAGCCTGTGGGACATTCTCATGCTTAATGATTGATGTGGGAAGGCCCAGTCTACTGGGGGTGGTGCCTCACCCCTACCCTGGGCAGGTGGTCTTGGGTTATATAAGAAAGCAGACTGAGCAAGCCATGGGGAACAAGCCAGTGAACAGTGTTCTTCCTCGGCCTCTGCTTCAGTTCCTGCTTCCAGGTTCCTGCCTTGAGTTCCTGCCCTGAATTTCCTCCATAAAAGACTGTGACATGGAAGTTGTCAGTTGAAGTAAACCCTTTCCTCTCCAAGTTGTTTTTGCTTTATCATAGCAGCAGAAAGCAAAAATGGGACAGACCATAAATGCTAAGGTGCATTTCTTTTTTTTGTTTTTAGTCCGTGTGTTTTTTAATTACATAGAAGTCTTTTTTTAAGAATTTTTTTTTATTCATTTTACATAGCCACTACAGATCCACCTCTCATCCCTCCTTCCGGTCCCCCTGCCTTCCTCATTCTGCCCCACCCCTCACCCCCTCCTCCAAAAGGGTAAGACCTCCCATGGGAAGTCAGCAAAGCCTGGTACAAGCCCCTCCCCCCTGCATTAAGGCTGAGCAAGGCGTCCCACCATAGGTAATGGTTTCCAAAATGCCAGCTCATGCACCAGGGATAGATCCTGATCCCACTGCCAGAGGCCCTTCAAACAGACCAAGCTACATAACGGTCTCCTGTATGCAGAGGGCCTAGTTGGTCCCATGCAGGTTCCACAGGTGTCAGTCTAAAGTTCATGAGTTCCTATGAGCTTGGTTCAGTTGTCTCTGTAGATATTGTCCCCATCATGATCTTGACCTCCCCCTTTCCCCCATGCTCATATAATCCCTCTTCCCTCTCTTTGACTGGACTCCTGCATTTCTTGACTCTCTTTCCATGCCATGGCACATATCTGCAGGCCAGAGGACAACTGTGTAGAATCTGTTCTTTTCACCTCAGTCTAGGTTCAGAGGATCAAACTCAGGTTGTCAGGCTTGCATAGATAGCTGAGCCATCTCTCTGGTCTCAAAATTATTTTGTGACTATTTTAAAAATGTATTCTTCGGGGGCTGGAAAGATGGCTCAGAGGTTAAGAGTTCTTGTAGCTCTGGCAAAGGACTGGGGTTTTATTTCCAGCCCCCATAGGTTGGCTCACAACCATCTATAACTGCAGTTACAGGTGATCTAATGCCCTCTTCTGACCTCGAAAGGCACCAGGCATGCACATGGTACACAGACACACACGCAGGCAAAATGCTCATGTGCATAAAATATGTAATAGATAAATTTACTTGTTCTTTATTATATTCATAAGTAATATGTTTGATCATATTCATCTTGAGTCTTATAGACCTTGTTGATCACCTGCTGTTATTCTGTCCATTACTAATAGCATTATTATCTTTGAAGTCCTTCCTTTCCCTCCAGCACCATCAGTTTTATTTTTCTCTTGTTAGATTCCCTATGTATTCATAACTTTGTACAATTCCACAGTGTTAAGTATTTAGGCAATTGTGAGCACATTATAGTAAGATAATGCGATCTCTATTTAACAATGCATTGTGAATATTTGTGCATTAGATTTTTAAGTTTTTAATTTTTTTTGTTTCTGAGAATTTTATATTGATATGATAAAATATGATCATCTCTGACCCAACTTCCCCCTCCAATTCATTCCATATGCCCCAATATGCCCCCCCCCACTTCACATCTTTCTTTTTTTAACAACCCACCAAATATAGTTAGTGCTACCCATGGGGGTGGAGCTGACCATTGGAGCATGGGAATCCCATGAGTGGCCACATCCTCAAAAAAGAATAATTCTGCCTCCCCAGCAACTATCCCCTGCTAACAGCAAGGGGTAAAGCTGAGATCATCTACCCCATCTATGCTGGGGCTTTGCTTGGCTTGATCTTGCGTAGGTCTTGTACAGGTGATCACAGCTGCTATGAGTCCATGATTGTGACAGCCATGTCATGTCCAGAAGAGAGCATTGCACAGCATTCCTCCCCACCCCCAGCTCCTACATTCTTTCTATCTCCTCCTCCACCGTGTTTCCTAAGCCTTGATGATGATGTGGTTAACACAGATGAGAGATGAGCACTCATTCCCTTGTTCTTCACACTTTGACCAATTATGTATTTATAACTTTTACCTTTCTGGTGGGTTGGCCCATTTTATGATTGGAAAATCTCCCTCTGGATCATTAAAACTTGCTCCCCACTTCTTTTATTTTTAGCCTGATAGAAGTATAAGTGTTCTAGGTGCCTTAAGGTATCTGTCTGAATTGATGCCTATGTACTATAGATTCAACCATAACATTTTATAGACATTATCTTACGCAATGGATTTGTTGTTCAGAAAAGAAAGAAAAAATATAATTTGTGAACTTGCTGTCCAGCATTTCTACAAGTCTATGTTCGTTTTCTTCCTATTTTTTTTTTGCCTGTTGTTCACTATCTCTAATGTTCAGTTCCCAAATTCACAGCTGCTTTTCTCAAATTTGCTTTTTGAACTATGCAGTGAATTTTTATTATTGTTATTGTAGAGGTAGCTCTAGAAATTCCATGTGATTTTTTATAGAAAATTGATTGCTTTTCTTTATTGCTAATCTGTATTTGATTAGACACTATAATACCTTTATTTAATCTTCAAAATTAGTTTTCTTTAGTTCGTTGAACATATTAATGATTTCTACTTTGATGTCTTTGATCAGTCCATCATTTGGGTCCTCTCATAGGAAGTTCCTATTGTCTATTATTTTTCCTGGGTTTGGGTCAGATTGTAAAGTTTATTTGACAGTTTCATAAGATTTCGTTGTATAATATATTCTGCCTCTCTGGGTGTAGGCCCCACTTTCTAAGGCTTACTGGGGCTGCTTTTGTTTACTTGGTGTTTTGTTTGTACATTTACTGACTGTAGGAGACTAAAACTGTGAAACATACTTCTCCTAATTGTGCAGTGTGTGCTATTTCTTCTCATTTGTGTGTTTTTCTTCTTCACCTGGCTTCCTATGGTCTTCCTAAGTCAACATGTTCTGTTGCTTAGTATGTGATTACTCACCAAGGATTTTTATTCAGTAGGTGTTTGTTTTATCTTTGGAGATTCAGGCTGAGTTATTCAAGTAAATGGTGTCTAGCAAGGACTGGAAAAGGCATTGACCTCATGCACAGAGCTCTGTCTAAGACAGGATGCTGCCTTTCCAGGCACAAATAAGCTTATCACTCCATTCATAAATAAGTAAAATGCCCAATTATCAAAATCTGAAGTCATAAGCTTGCGATTTTGCACATAGCCTCAAATGTGATGTACATCCCCCCTCTAATTTGGGTCTGCGCACATGAGCTCTTAGTGGTTAGGCTGCCTGCACTATTTCAGCCAGTGTAGCTTGAGTTTTCCTGCCTGGCCCACAGTCAGGACAAATCTCTCTCACCTGCCAGTCCCACAGCCACTCAGACCCAACCAAGTAAACACAGAGACTTGTATTGGTTACAAACTGTATGGCTGTGGCAGGCTTCTTGCTAACTGTTCTTACAGCTTAAATTAATCCATTTCTATAAATCTATGCCTTGCCACATGGCTCGTGGCTTACCGGCACCTTCACATGCTGTTTCTCATCATGGCGGCTGGCAGTGTCTCTCTGACTCAGCCTTCCACTTCCCAGCTTTATTCTCCTCCTTGTCCCGCCTACACTTCCTGCCTAGCCAATGGCCAATCAGTGTTTTATTTAATGACTAATCAGCAACACATTTGCCATACAGAACATCCCACAGCAAGCCAGCTCTAGCCACTGTGTCTTTAGCTCTGGGCCACATTCCTTCCTTTGTCATGATGCTTGTGTATCTGTATCTGTTTGACATCTTGTGTTTTTTTTTCAGTTTTATTCAAAGGTGACGTGTTATCAGGCTTCTGGTAACACGTCTAATTGTGTTTCCAGTTTCCCCCATACAGACCACCTCCCCTTCATGTCATTCTCTTTCGGTTCAGACCCATTCAAGGACAAACTCCATTCCCCCTTTGGCAGAGTAAAGTTTTACGGTGTCGTCACACCATCATCACAGTTCTGTGTTTCCTTCAGATACAGCTCCACCCTGGAAAACCTGTCTTCTCTCCAGCTGCTGGGGAGTTACACAGAAGTGAGGAACTACATCACCATGATCACTGCCATCCTGAGCCGTTTGTATGTGAAGAGCACAAACACTTCTTCGTGTGGTCTGTGGTCACAGATACAGGATGTATTGATTTCTTCTGCATGCAAAGTACCTGTTACAGACCAGGTATGGCCCTGAGCAGGGCAGGGCAGTGTCTATAAACCTGGACAGCAGCAGTCCTCTGAAAGCTGGCTTCTTAGCAAGGGCTCCCGCTCCTAAAATCCAGGCAGGAAAGGAGACCAGGTACACAGGCTGATAGGCTCCTGTGAATGTTTCTGCTTTATAATGGAGAAAGTGAAACAAGTTGATTGTCATTATGGATAATTCTCCTAATGTTTCTATGAATAAAAACATTCCATAAATCTGATTTTTTTTGTTCTGTTAACAACCATAAGCCAAGGGATAAAGTCAAAATTGAATGCAATTTTTTTGTAATCAATGTTTTTAAGTTTTTAAAGATTTATTTCATGTGTATGGTTATTTTGCCTATGTGCATATCTGTGTACCTGTTGCTCATGGAGGCCAGAAGTGAGCACTGGATCCTCTGGAACTGGAGTTCCATGGCTGTGAGCCACCACTATATGGGTGCTGGGGATTGAACCTAGGTCCTCTAGAAAAGCAGCCAGTACATTTAACCACTGAACCATCTTTTTCTGCCCCAAGTATAGTTTCTTAATAAATGACCCTGACTCAAAGATTACTGCCGCTCTGGCTTTTCTGCAACTCTGCTTTGTAATGGTCACTAGTAAACATTCATGTTTCATTAGAACTACAAGATACTCGACTAGACCTAATCATTTTTCTTCCTCTGACATTTTTCTGCCCCTTCTTCATAGCTCCATTTAGTTTCGTCCCCATATTTCAGCTTCTATTGTGTCAATTTCCTACGAGGGCCTGGTGAGGCTGGCCAGAGACACATCAGAGTCATGCTGGACTGGAAGGAAGCTTTGAGACCAAGGTCATGATCTTGCTACAAAAGGGCTGGCTCCTAGGAAGCCTCTTCACAGAAAAACACAGTACATGCCCCATTTCTTCACAAGCAAGCTGCATTTGAACTAATATGATAATCTCTCTCTCTCTCTCTCTCTCTCTCTCTCTCTCTCTCTCTCTCTCGTGTCTACTGTTTAGGAAGCAATGGTGGATTCTCTTCATATATTGAGAGACCTCATAAGCTTCCCTAATAAGGTAAGTGCTATTTCTTTCTCTGTATTTTCCTGGATTTTGCATAGTTATAAAGGCCATGATCAAGACTTGACAAATATACAACTTGGAATTGTATTTTGACACTGAGGTTAGGGACGTAACTTTCTCCTAGATGTTCCTCTGAACAGCATTGTCCCCCTCAAGCCATGCCTGAGGGCGTTTTCTTCATGCAGAAATAGAAATATAAAGGGGTAACAACAAGTGCCCGCCGCGGTCTGAATCACTTTGGTGGGCAGATGGCTCTTTATTACTAATGTGTGGTATTAGATTTTCCCATGGTCATGCCTACTTGTTTTCTCAAATCTGTAACATTCCCCAGAGTCCTTCAATAGGTGTCTTCACTATGCGGTTCTTTGAGAGATGACAAAAGAACTCATGGGAGTCCCTCATTGCCACCAGTCAGCAAATCTTACTGCAGTTACATCTGTCTTCACACCCTGTCACTAGGAAAGAAAATTCCCGGCTCCCAGCAAGCATCCTCCCTCCATCTGTGCCCACGAACCTACCTACCACCACCCTGTACAGCCCCAGTCCAGCCTGTGTGACTGATATCCCGGGGATTGAGAGATGTCCAACCTAAATGGCTGGTGCTGGTAGTTCCATCTCCGTCATACTGTTCTCCAGGGTTTGTCTCCTTAAGTTGTCCATGAGCTCCTACTTCTTTTTTCCCCTCTGCTACATGATCCCAAGGTATGTCACGACTCCCACTTATTTCTTGAAATATCCATTTGGTAATGTCCACCACCTTCCAGCAGCTCTCACTTCTGGGCACCTCTTTGCAGTAGAGCATTGAGGTGGTACCTGGGTTTGCTGTGGCAATGCCGGCTGGCTGTCCTGCAGCTTTACCTGTTGCCATGGCTTTGCATGTTCTTAGTGCTGAAGCTGAAAGATTCCCCACACTTTCAATTCTACTAGACAGTTCTTCTTAGCCTTTTTTGTCCTTCATGGGACATACCAGGGGGTATGTCATTTAATGGCCCCACGACTCAGGTTTTGGTTGCCAGCCCTGGCTCTCCAGTGGCCTCCTCCTGTCCTGTTGACATGGTCAGGGTTTCAGCAGGAAGTCCCTTGGACTTCTCCAACATTCTCTCCTGGTGACCTCTTCTAGTCTGTTAGGTGTGATTCTATCAGACTGTGCATTTTACATCCTCAGCCCAACCCTCTCTCACGTGCTGCAAATCAGGCTCACGTTTCCAAGTTCAGAGGCACTCCAGTTTCTTCCTGCTTCCTGTGACTCAAGACGGGACAGCATTGCTACCCAGAGTCAAGTTGAAACACCCAAGGTCACCTGAGCATCTTTTGATCTCGGCATCCACCAAGTATAACTGAGCGAGTCGGTTCTTCTTTTAAAAAGATGTAGCCAGAATCTCCCTGTCTTTTGCATCTCTACTGCTCCCCACTAACCTCCAAGCCGACCACCTTCCATCCAGGCTGGGTATCTCTCTCATTGCTCTCTCTGCTTCCTCTCTGCCATCTTGATAACACTGGCCACAAGCAGCAGTCAGAGCATGATTGTGGAAAAGCCTAAATCAGGTAGTCACCTCCTCTCTCTTAGGATCAATCTACAGCTTTGTGTTCACATGTTCAGGAATGCAAACATCTCCCCATAGCCTGCATGCTTTGGCTCCTTCTGACCTATACTTTCTTTGCCTGGGCCCTTCAACTCATCACACTCTTGGTCTACTCTGGTCCATAACTAGGGTAGTTGTCCTATCGTGCCCTGCCTTTGGCTCAGCAGAGAGCTGAAGATGGTCCTTAGAAACTCAGCTTAAGTGTTTCTTCCCCACAGATGTTGCCTGGCACCCTCCCTTCTTATTGCGGGGTCTCTCCTTTGCTGGTTTTGTACTGAGCAGCTGTCTTGTGTGTGTCTTTACTCCTCTTCTTTCCCTCACGGGAGTGTGAGTGCCATGATGACCGAGACACAGAGTAGACGAGCGAGAGACACTGTGACCCTGTCACCTGTTTCCCATTCTTCTTCCTCAGTCTCTTCTTCGTCTTCAGTTCTGATCACCAATCATGCCAAGGCTGGGTCGGAAGGCTGCACTTCCCTTGACCACATACTCTCTTCTCTTACAGATCTGCCTTCATAAAACACATCTGGTCATGTCACCTGCTACTCACTATGCCTGACGGCTCCCTACACTACAGATAATGTTTAGGTTCTCACACAGCACACAAAGACCTCACCTGGACCAGCTCCTTATCTCTGTGCCTCCCCTTGCACACCACCTCTTCAGTGTTCTGTCACTCTAGATGTTTCTCTTGTTCCTGAAGTAGTAAGTTTTCTCTTAACCTGGAACAGCTTATTTCTTCTCCTTTGAAAAATATTAGTTTCTCATCAAAGCTGGTTTCAAATGCTATAATCTCCATGAAACCCCCAGAGATCTGATAACAGAGTTTATTTGACTCCACATAAACATAGCACTTGTGGTTTGGGGCACTTCTGTCTTCTAATTCTAATTCTCCTGTGTAGCTAAAGTTTTTAAGAGTTTTCCTGCCTGGCCCACAGTCAGGACAAATCTCTCTCACCCGCCAGTCCCAAGCTGCTCAAACCCGACCAAGTAAACACAGAGACTTATATTGCTTACAAACTGTATGGCCGTGGCAGGCTTCTTGCTAACTGTTCTTACAGCTTAAATTAATCCATTTCTATTAATCTATACCTTGCCACGTGGCTTGTGGCTTACCGGTACTTCACATGCTGTTTCTCATCATGGCGGCTGGCAGTGTCTCCCTGACTCAGCCTTCCACTTCCCAGCTCTATTCTCCTCCTTGTCCCGCCTATACTTCCTGCCTGGCTACGGGCCAATCAGTGATTTATTTATTGACCAATCAGCAACACATTTGACATACAGACCATCCCACAGTACTTCCCCTTTTCTTTTCTTAAAAAGGAAGGTTTTAACCTTTACACATCTCCAAAGTCAGCTTGGTATATTTGGGAATTTGGGCGTAGCTTCTCTTACTACTTTCTGTTGGAGGGGGGCGCTGTATCTTCTGGGGAAACAAAGAAAATTTTAGGATCATGGAGTAGTCCGTGAGGCTGTATCATCTGAGCCAGTTGTCTTGAAACGGCTTTGGATGTTGGATCATCTGGGCCATGGTGTCATCAGAGACCTTTCAGGGGGTCTTGGCTGGTCAAACCTGATGTATCTTACTCTGGAACAAATCCATAGCCTCTTGCTTTCTGTGGAAACAAAAGAGACTCTTTTCCAAAGCAACATATCCTTACATCCAAATTTTGAAGTCAAAGTATCTTTAAAATATACGTACTGGTTTAACTCAGCTTCCTTTACAATCAAACATCTCTCTGTAGTTAAGAATCCCAAAGACAACACAATCCAGACTCTCTGTGTAATAGTCATCTCTATGTGGCTTATTTTTTATATTAATTTTACTGTCTCTTTAAAGACTTTATTTTTTAAAACCATGTATTTGTTTTTATACTATATATATCACCTTTTTTTGTCTCTTTTAAGCCTACATATATTTTACACACATTTTAAACTATTACATCTGAATCTGTCTTATTGTGAATCTATTGCTTTAAGCAGCAGCAGCTGTGGCTGCTGGCTCCGCCCACCGCAGCTTCCCAACGTGGCGTGGTACTTTACCACCAGCTCTGGGAGCTATCGTGGGTCTATGCTTTTATCCAAGCAGCGTGTAGCCCAGAAACCTCTTTTTTTGTTTTGTACTAGCAAAGGCTAAATCCACAATGTAGCTTAATGTGCCCCTTGCAGAGGCCTCATTCTTGCCATACTGTAGGTCGAGCGCGCACGCTAGGAACCCGCCAGTAGCTCAAACCGGCAGCTGCCGCTCATTTGAGAGAGACAATTAGGAAGCTGTTTTTTGTTCCGTTTTAGAATCTTTTTTCTCAGGTTTTAGGTGGAAACTCTTGCCCCACGTTGGGCGCCATTTGTAGCTAAAGTTTTCCTGCCTGGCCCACAGTCAGGACAAATCTCTCTTACCCGCCAGTCCCACAGCCAGCCACTCAGACCCAACCAAGTAAACATAGAGTCTTATATTGGTTACAAACTGTATGGCCATGGCAGGCTTCTTGCTAACTGTTCTTACAGCTTAAATTAATCCATTTCTATTAATCTATACCTTGCCACGTGGCTTGTGGTTTACCGGTACTTCACATGCTGTTTCTCATCATGGCGGCTGGCAGTGTCTCCCTGACTCAGCCTTCCACTTCCCAGCTCTATTCTCCTCCTTGTCCCGCCTATACTTCCTGCCTGGCTACGGGCCAATCAGTGATTTATTTATTGACCAATCAGCAACACATTTGACATACAGACCATCCCACAGTACTCCTGGGATGAGTTGTGGTAATGTCAGCTGCTATAACAAAAAGTCCTGGTGTCCCAGTTACTGAACACAGAGGTGTTTTGTGAATGACCCTCTCATGGAGACCTAACCTCCCCCTCCCTTATTCTCATGCATCTGACATCTGCACTCTATGGCTCCTCGGTTGAGGGGAGAAGAACGCAGATAAGGTATGCTACATATCAGTAATGTCACTCTGGAATTGACAAGCCTCACCCTACACATTTTCCTGATGACTGCTGCACACATGGCCTCACCTGGACTCCAGGACCTGGGGTATGGAGTTTTTGCTCAGACAAGACTCCTCAGAAGGCTAGGTGGATGAACGTGGTAGAGATCAACCCAAGCCTACCCACAGTCCTTTTGTGCATCTCTCAGAAATGAAGCTGAACATGATTGCCATGTCTGAAGTAACCATTCTTGATATTTTTGTATGTTTAGCAATTGTGCAGTACAAATATTGGACATAAAGCACCTTACATGTTTTGCTGGGTAACAGTTCTTTAAATCTTAAACCCTGTTTTGATGTCAGCTCTGTAAGCAGTTTCAATGCTCTTCCAGGGGCTGAGGGGATGTCTCAGCCAGTAAAGTGCTTCATGCACAGGCATGGAACCTGAGTTTATGTCCCCAGCTCCTGTAATAAAAGCTAAGCACATGATGAGTCATTCCGATCCCTATTAATAGGGAAAAAAGCAAGAGTCTCCACACCACTTGCCAGGGAACATCTGACCCCATCTCATCTTCCCATGCAGTTGAGCTTGATGAGTGGCATGCACATCCTCAAATATGCCCAGATGTCCCTTGCTCAAGGTCAGTTCTCCGAGAAGTTGCTGGTCAACAAAAAACTGGGAGTTGAACTTATCCTTCTCATCTCTGGAGTCTGGGAAGCTGCCAAAGAAGACACGGGGAATTGGGAGTACCTGCAAGAAGAAGGCATGAAGATCATCTCTGACACGTTACTAGTAAGATGTTCTGTCCACCCACAGGAATGCAGCCACAGGCCTGAGTGCCACTCAGCGATAGAATGCATGCTTGGCATGTGCAAGATCCTTGGTACCATCCCCACCAGATACACCGACATAGACACACACACACACACACACACACACACACACACACACACACACACGAACAAACAAACAAAACAAACAGCTGCTCCCTGATCACACGTTAGCCCGAATTTATATTCCTTTTCCCAGTGAAAATTAGAGTGAGCTCCTGAAGAGCTGAGCTATGGCTCCGGGTGGCAGCTCAGCATTTGGAAATGTTCGTCCGGAATGTTAAGTGTTTTGTGGCAGCAATGTTGTGTGTCCAGTGTTCTGACAGATTTTCATTTGGGATTTGGGGACATACTTTGCTTTCTGCAGAATGGCATGAAGTCACCCAAAAGATTGCTTGCATACATTAGTTTTGAAGGTGGCCCTGCTGGTCAATGACTGTTAAGAGAAACAACAGATGTCTATTTCGTCTATTTCTGATGCAGTGGCTTTGAGAAGTTGTCTCAGATCTTTTATTTGAATCTTCTGAAATGTCCAAAGTTCTGAGGAAGCAGTGAGTTAGCAGGAGATGTTTTTCTCTCCTTTCCTTCTGCCTTCCCTTCCTCCCAAGCTTCATGGTTTATTTAACTAATAGCTATCAAAATACTGTGGAAATTATAGAGCAAATAATACAATCTTTGAATCTGGCAGCTTGTCATTATTATTCTCATGCACATATGAAAATGTCTTCCATCTGAACCTGCTCTAAAGCTTAGGCTTGTGCACATACCAAAGGTTTTGAAAATCAGCCATACTATCAAGACTCTTCTTAGGAACTAGGAAGCACCAAGAAGCATAGCAATTTTTTAAAAATCAATAAAACATCAGTGAGATGCACCCAAACTGGAAAAAGCCATGTGTGCTTTCAGTATTACTGTCTTTTGTGTTTTGTATCCATTTGCTCATCATCTTTCAAGCATCCCCCTCCCCCTCCTGTGTTTGCAGGCCTCTCTCTCCCTGAGCCACCAGCATCAGCTGCACATAAGCACTGGGCAGATGGAGTTCTGGACCCTTCTCCATCACAGCTTTCAGAGTTCTATCCAGAACCTGGGCTTCATCTCGGTCCATTTCCCTGGTGGCCTGGTCTTGCACAGTCCTGCTCAAGAGGAATCACAAAGCCCATGCTACATCAGCCAGCTCATGTTCTTCAAAAGCAGCCCTTATCCAGGGGGACGAGCTCCTGGACAGGTATAGCACATGGCCTCTGCCACTTCTAATGACGGTTTCGAATTTTCAGTAACTCGACTTCCATGAAAAAAGGGAGAGTAGGTTGGCACGCTTGCCCATTGTCCCTGTTTCCAAAGAGAAGGAAGGCACTTTGCTGTGTCTGAGGAGGCCTGTAGAAGGCTGGTGACAAGAAGGTGGGAAACAGATCTTCCAGAGACAAGGTAGACAGACATAGAGAAGAGTTATTAGACAATATTCCAGCAGGCACTGTGGGCAAGTCCAAGGAGGGAGTGTTTAACCTTACCTCCGGTGCTGTTTATATCGGGTCCATTTCTGGGTAGGTGGGCGGGCTTCTCACAGTCTGGTTAATGAGTACAGCTTCCAGCACGAGTAGTCCTTTTTGATACTGGCCATTTGGGCTAAGGTGCCACAGGTCGTTAGGAGTTAAACTCTAGTCGTTTGCCCAAGATGTCCCCGGTCTCTGAAGTCAGGCTCCCGGAGATCATGGCCTGGTTGTTCAAGTGTTGGGATTTCTGTTTTTGTTTTTGTTTTGTTTTTGTTTTTTTGTTTTCATTGTGAAAGCTCAGCCTTAGCTTAGGCTTGTTTTTTTTTTTTAATTTGTATTTTTATTTTGCAATACAATTCAGTTCTATATATCAGCCATGGATTCCCTTGTTCTCCCCGCTATGGCCCCCCTCACCTCCCCCCCCAGCTCACCCCCCCATCCCCACCTCCTCCAGGGCAAAGCCTCCCCTGCGGACTGAGATCAACCTGGTAGACTCAGTCCAGGCAGGTCCAGTCCCCTCCTCCCAGGCTGAGCCACGCGATCGATCCTGCATAGGCCCCAGGTTTCAAACAGCCAACTCATGCAATGAGCACAGGACTCGGTCCCACTGCCTGGATGCCTCCCAAACAGATCAAGCCAATCAACTGTCTCACCCATTCAGAGGGCCTGATCCAGTTGGTGACCCCTCAGCCATTGGTTCATAGTTCATACGTTTCCATCTGTCTGGCCACTTATCCCTGTGCTTTATCCAACCTTGGGTAAATGAAGACCACATGAGAATAGGAGGAGGCAAAGTGCTAGAGAGGCCCACAGAAATCCACAAAGATACCCACACAACAGACTGCTGGCAATGGTCGAGAGACAGCCCGAACTGACCTACTCTGGTGATGGGATGGCCAAACACCCTAATTGTCGTGCTAGAAACCCCATCCAACTACTGAGGTATCTGGATGCAGAGATCCATGGCTAGGCCCCGGGTGGATCTCTGGGAGTCCAATTGGCGAGAGTGAGGAGGGTTTATATGAGCGAGAATTGTTGATTTCTGTTTTTAATTCTTGGTCTTTTGTCTTTACAAATGTCTCCAGAAAATCTTAGCAGAACTAGGGTCCTTGGTGTCTGATAGGTGGATCCATGCAGCATTCACTGTGGGGCTTTCTAATCTGTGTCAGGGAGTATAGCATGGAACACGTGGTCGAGTGGTCACGCCTCAGGCAGGTTTCATTGCTCCTGAAATCGGCATAGAGTTCAATCAGAACAAAACACGAGGAGGGGCTTCTGAAGAGTCCCGGGTGTTCTCTGCTTCCATGCTAATAGAGAGGTGCATGTGGTCTGTCCCTGGTTAGGGGTTTGGAAGTCGAAAGGACCTCCAAGGTCTTTGCACTTTGGTGTGAGCGTCTACTTTCAGAATTCACAAGTGCTGCTGGGTGTGTGGATCACATGGGTCAGGAAGTAGTGTGCACAATGACTATTACATCCTCTGCCTTCCCACCCAGCTCAGCTCAATGAGGCTCCTCCTCCTCCTCCTCCTCCTCCTCCTCCTCCTCCTCCTCTTCCTCCTCTTCCTCCTCCTTCTCCATCTCTTCTTCCTTATTCTCTTTGCCCTCCTTCTTCTTTTTTAAAAAATAAGACAGGGTCTCATTATGTAGCCGTTGGAGTCACAGAGACCCACCTGTCTCTGCCTTCTGAGTGCTGGGACTAAAGGCTTGCGACATCATCACCCATCCCAGACACTTCTTTTTATAAGAGCTCCTAACTTTTATTTTAACTTAAAAAGTTATCATTTTGGCAAGGAAAACATACAAGGAACATTAACTACCCCCATCCATATAAATCCTGTCAACCTACCTCGTTAAACTCATTTTGTTTGATCAGAACTGGAAAAACAGTGTGACTCCAATTACTTCCCGCTTTTCTTTGCCTCTCTTTGTTTTTATTTTTGTTTGTTTGTTCATTTGTTTATTGAGACAGGGTCTCTCTACACAGCCCAGCCATCCCAGAACTCACTATGGTGACCAGGCTAGTCTTGAACTCACAGAGATCCATCAGCCTCTGCCTCCAGGGAATGCTGGGATCAAAGGCTTGCGCCACCATGCCTGTCTGCTTTCCTCCTCTGAGTCAACTGTTGGCTTTATTGTCTTTGTTCCCCAAGGTGGGTGGTGTGGTGAGCCCTGGGCTCTACAGCTGCCAGAGCAGAAGACCTATTCTCAGAGGACGACTTGTGATGCCCGTGACTGTGGAGTTTGGGGAGGAAGATCACCTGGTAACGACAGCTTCATTTAGGTCGGGCTGGCTGCTTTCTAATGCGTTCACTTTCCCCAAGACAAACTGCCTGACAGGCTCTCTTTCCAATGGACAGCACAAGAGAAATCCAACCATGTTTGCATTGCTTCGGGATGAGGTGAATCTCCACCGGTTCACTGGGCTCTCTGAAAACCCCCAGGAAACCTTACAGATCCACATCGACTTCTCCAAGCCCGTGACAAGAGCCTTCCCCATCATGCTGTTAGTAAGGTGTGTGAAGGTGGTAGCCGCAGCGCCAATGAGATCACAACATGATGGAGTGTCCCTGAGGGTTTCTGTGAACAAATGGGTGAATTAGTTTTAAAGGAACAATGAGGGTCAGCGTCTAAAGAAATTATACATATGCCTACATGTATGTAAGTATGTATAGAAAATGAGCCTCCCTACTTTTTTCAAAGTTAGATTCCTGCCTGTTAACTAGAATGAGAAACACCCGACTTTCAGTCTTACCATATAGGACACCATTTAGAAGTCTGATAACACCACAGTTCCCTCCCTTACTTGCTTCTTTTCTCTCTTTTTCCCCCAGGAAAAAAAATGTATTGAATTTTACATTTCCATAGAGACTTGATAAATGAACTCTCTTTCTCAGTGATGTTGAGTATGTGAGATTAGATTGGTCTCAGTGGCTAGACTATGTGGAAAGGCTGTTGGAGTCTTTGGATTCTCAGGCTGAAAACACAGCTAGCAGCCACTGTAGTGTCTGAGTGGAAGCAGGGAGGGAGGGGCAGTGTCTTCTGGGAGAAGCAGCTCTGGGTCTTTCTGTCCTGGGAGTCTCCACGTGTTTGGGCAGATGTTGGCTGTTCCACTGTACCTGCTTATCCAGGTGAGTCCCTCGACTGGCTGGAGGGGACTCAGGAGCCAGGGTCAGTGTTATGCCTCTGCTGGGCAGATAGACTCCACACATGGCTGTCTCAGTTCACTGGCTTGACTCTATCTGCCAAGTGAGCTGAGCATCAGATGTCTAAAGGTTTCCATTTGTTTAAAAAACTCTGGATTTTTTTTCCACTTAATTCTTCAAAGTCACATACAAAAGGGAAATGCTTGGAATTTTCTTTACCTGAATAGTTTGAGCCTCTGTTGTCTCCCTGTCAATTCCCCACTTTCTGACAGCGGGATGAGGCATTATGCAGATAAGCTTACACTGGTGCCCTGTTCCTCAGCACGCAGCCAGGGGTTTGTTCTCATCCCACAAATAGAACTGGTTATCATTCTTACTATTTTCGTGAAGTAGGTTGTGTTTGGATTTGGGTTTGGTTTGTTCTTTACAGATATAAGGGATAAAGTGTTACGTGTGTGTATGTGTCGGGGGGGGGGGTGGAGTTAAGGGGATAAGTGTACCCGGGGTGAAACACATTGGTTCTTTGTAGCCCTAACTGTCTCCAGCTATCCCTTTCTAGGGAAAAGTACGATTGTCACACAGTGCATAAGTAAAGTCTACACGGACAAGAAAAGCTGCATCTCACTACTTCTTCTTTGCCCCTAGGTTCTCCAAGAAAGCCACGCCTTCTGATTTTCTTGTGAAGCAGGTCTACTCCTGGGATAAGCAGACTGTACAAATTTATGTACCTGCTATTCCACGGAAAGGTCAGTGGGTGCTAAGCCTTTGAAATCTCTGTTCTCTTCATGTGCTGAGGACTTGCTGTTGCTTGTCTGTGCACGGCAGTGTTTTTCTTTCTTTCTTGTATCAACATTCAAGTCTGTACCACCACACACACCTAAAAACATTTTAATAGTAAAATGTATCAGCCTTGTTTTCATTAAAATTATATCATATCTCCCCTTCTTTTTCCTCTCTTCAATCCACCCCATGCTCCTCCTTGTTATCTCTTCAAACCATGGCTTTATTTACTTTAATTGTTATTGCTACACACACATATATGCATGCACACATGCCTGCATTCCTAAATATATAAGTACAACTTGCTCTGTCCATTTGGTGAAATATGTATATATAATTTTCAAGGCTGATTGCTTTTGGTATTGGATAATCAGTTAGGTGGTTCCTCCCTGGGGAAGACCAATTCTCTCACTCTCATCATTCACTAGTTGCCTATAGTTCTTTGTCTAAGCTTGGGGCCTGTGAGACTTTCCCCTTTCCATATAGCAGGCTCTATTGGTGTTGTACTTCTTTGGGTCTAGTTTAGATAATCATGCCTTTGAAGTATCATGGGTGAAGCTTCCCTAACATTTCTTTTTATTTTATGTGCATTGGTGTTTTGCCCATGTGCATGTCTGTGTGAGGGTGTCAGATCTTGGAGTTACAGACAGCTGTGAACTGTCACGTGGGTGCGTGAAATGAGCTCATGTCCACTGGAAGAACAGCCTGTGCTCTTAACCTCTGAGCCATCTCTCAGCCCCGCTTCCCTAACATTTCTACGAGGCACAATCTCACAGTAGATTCCCTGGTCCTCTGGCTCTTACAGTCTTTCCACCCATTCTTCTGCAATGTTCCTTGAGGGTATGTGCAGGTTGTGTTGTAGCTGCATTGATGGGGACTGGACTCTCCACCATCCCTTGTACACTGCGTTTTGACCAGCTGTGGGTTTCTGTAGTTGCTGCCTTATATTGCAAAACGAGGTTTCTTAGATTTGAGGCTATTGTTAGAAATCAATTCCTTATATCTGAGTTTTAAGAGAAATCATTTACATGACTTTTAGCACTGGTATCATGTCAGTGTTTTAGCATTTTAGATCTCTGACCAATTATTTATTACTGTATATAATATGAAGAATGGTACAATTTCATTCATTTACTCATGCAGTTATTGTGTGTGAGAGAGTGTGTGGTATGAATGTATGATGTATGTGGTTTGTGCCTCTCTGTGTGGGCAGGTGTGCAAATCTGTGTGTGTGTGCAAAGTCAGAGAAAGATGTCAAGTGTCCTGCTCCATCACTCTCCACCTCATTCCCTTGAGACAAAGTTTCTCCATGAACCTGGGACTAGATTGGTGGCCAGTAAGCCCCATACATCATTTTGTCTCCAATCCCCACAGCACTAGATTGCGAGGAAATGTGTGACTCCATCAGACATTTTATGCAGGTTCTGGGGATTTGAACTCATGTCCTTAAGCTTGCATAGCAAGCACTCTTACCCACTTGCCATCTCCCTATCAGTTCCATAGTTTTACAAACAACTAATATTGAATTGTCCCCAAACCAGTTATTAAAAAAAAAATCTCAGGAGAAAACTTTAAATAAATGGAGAGTTAAATACTTTTACTTTTCAACATGAAACGTATCTGGAGATGATTAGGGTTTTAACTAAACCCACGTGGTCTGTGTCTTATCCACAGAACCATGCAGACCCAGAAGCGTAGTGTTTGACAGAGTGGCTGGCGGTCTAAGAGGAAGCAGAAATGGCTGGAAAGGTAGCTAAGGAGGAGCTGAACTATCTCCATCCCTTCCAGGGTGGGATGATCCCTTTGTTTGGGATATCAGGAAGGACTTGGAAGATGGCGGCCCTGGAAACACTATTTTCCTCCCGGGCACTCACAAATGAAGGTCTTGCTGTGTTTGATTCACTATAAATTCCAAAGCAGGGAATGGCCAGAATCTGAGGCACCTTTCAGTCCTTCCCTCTTTGTCCCTCCATCCCCAGTGGCCCTTCCACCTGCATTTGGAATGGAGCATGTCCCTTGCTAAGTTTGTATGTTTTATTGATACGTTTTCCCCTCTTTTCTAGGAGCCAATGTGGGGTATTTATCCCTATTAGATGCTGATTATGACAGGAGGCCTCCAAACAAATACCTTGCTGGGACAGTAAACTATACAGTGCATTTCCAGTGGACCCAGTGTGTGTTTTGGGACAAGACAGAGTGGAGATCCGAAGGTTCCTGTCCACAGCCAGGAACGTCTCCTGAAAAAGTCAGCTGCAGGTACGAGTATCCTGCTGGGGAAATGCCTGGGAGTGTTAGCAATTGGCTCCATCTTTGTTTGCATTTGTGACGGTCCCTGGGGCCTTCCATGAGTGGTGTCCTCCCGTGAAAGCTGGGCAGTCTTGATTGATGCCACCCTAACCGAATATGCCTGCTACACCTGTCTGCATGCCAGTCTTGGGGCTCCCAAGGAAAGGGGCTGATGTCTGCGGGGCATCCTGTCTGAGCCACCTGTAATGATTGGCATGTTGCAGGTAGCTGTTAGTGCCCTCTGAGAAATGGGGCATCAGATGAGTGGCACATGCATCCATCAGATCCTTACCATAGATTCAGGGCATCATGTGACTATGTGCTTGGTAGTCAGGCAGGCAGACTCTCTACTGTTATGATCCCTACCCTTCCATCTCTTTGTGAGCAGAGGAGTTCCCCGTCAGAGAGAGCTTGGACTGAAAGTTAACCTCACATGGAAAGAGAAGTCTGCATGGACACAAGCAGCCTTCTTGGTCATGTCGGGATATCTGGGTCATATCACTAAAATGAATGCTATTTATTCACCTAGGCATAAATTTAACAATCTTAACGATCAGTTTAGTCCAGTCATTTGTGCTGCCCTTACCTTCTCAGTGGGGTAGAAATTCAGTAATTATTAGTATAGAAACAGTCTTTTCCCCCAAGAACAATGAGGCCACAAAGAATTATATAATGTGTCTGCCCGTTAGGAGTCAAACATGGTCAAATTGCACTGATCTGGTAACATTGACAGTTATGTGTTCCTTTTCTTGTGTTGAATAGTTTTTATTCATTTAAATTTTTTGACAATTTCTACATGTACTCAATGCATTTGATCATATTAATCCCATATTACCCTCTCTTATCCACCTTCACTCCTGGTTCCCCTTCTGCTTTTACATCGTGTGTGTGTGTGTGTGTGTGTGTGTGTGTGTGTGTGTGTGTGTGTGTGAGAGAGAGAGAGAGACAGAGACAGAGACAGAGACAGAGACAGAGACAGACAGAGAGACAGAGACAGAAACAGAAACAGAGAGACAGAAACAGAAACAGAGAGACAGAAACAGAAACAGAGAGACAGAGACAGAAACAGAGAGTCTTTTTTAACTAAAATTTTATACAATATGTTCTGATTGGGATTTCCCCCTTGCCTATCCCCTCCCAGAGCCTCCCCACCTCCCTACCTCCTACCCATCCAACTCCACACCTTCTTTCTCTTTCTGTTTAGAAGACAAACATGCAAATAAAAACAAACCAGAATAAAATAAACAGCAAAAAAGCACAAGAAACACACACAAACCCACAAAATTGAAAAGCATAATATACACACAAAAGATCAGTGAGATTTTAAAAAATGCCCAAAGGTAACAAAATATATTAAAATACCAGAGTTTATCTGTTTTGACCATCTATTACTGGGAATAAGGCCTACCCCTAAGTGTGGTTTATATACCCAGTGACACTCCATTGGAGAAAACTGATTTTTCCTTTGCAAGTGGTTGTCAATAGGAGAGAGCCTCTTGGTTAGGGATGGAAGAATGTCGACTTCCCCTCTCAGCATTGGGACACCAATCTGGCTTGAGCCTGTGTAGATCCTGTGCATGGTGTCACCATTTCTGTGAGTTCCTGTGAGCATCAGTCCTGTTGTGTCTGGAAGACACTGTTTTCTTAGTGCCTTGTGCAGTAGCCATGGCTGCTGTGTATTCATGATCGCAGTAACCATGTCACATCTGTAAGTCAGCATTTCAGAGTGCTCCCAGGCATCATCTGCCTCCTCCCCATCTTTATAACCCCTCTTCCCAATGTTTCCTGAGCCCTGAAGGAGGTCGTATAGCTGGAGGTCGTATAGCTGTCCTGTTTAGGGCTGAGCCCTCAACGGTCACTTTCTTAGCATTTTGATGAATTCTGAGCTTCGGCATTAACACACTCACTGCGTTAACTCACTGCAAATACAAGCTTCTCTGACCAAGGTTGAAAGCAATGCTAATCTTTGTCTATAAACATGCATATTTAGAAGGCAATTTGACTACATGTTCATTTAGCAAAATGTCCCAAGATGTAGGCTTTTTTTTTGTAACCAGTTTTACAGAATCAGGAATGTGTTCTGCACAGTGACAAGGGCCTCCAATCCAATCAGAAAGCTATTGGTTACCCCCAAAGCAGTCTTGCCATTATTGTACCAATGGGTATGTATTACCTGACAAGTCAGTAGCAGATGATGCAAGGTCCACAGCTGGATAAGGTCACCAATGACCTTTCTCCACCTGCAATCTGAATAACACCTGTTAGCACTGTGAATGCTCACCAGCAGGGAGGAAGTGCCCAACTCCATTCCAGCTTATTTCTCTATGTTCTGTATTTTAACTGTATAGTGTCTCCAGCAATGGGTTTTTACCATCTAGTTCCTGTGGCTAACCAAGAGCAATGGTAATAGTCCGTATAGTTTTGGGAGCTTCTGGGGATTCCTTGGCCAATAACTCATAGGGAAATGTGCCACACTTGGCATTTCTAGAAGCAGCATTGCTCACTCACACAGGATTCCCCAGTTGAAACGATTTATCATTCTTAATATATATTTAATTTATTAAGTAGTAAGTTTCCATTTTTTTTTTGCTAAGTTCTTAATTTTGGTTGACCCAACCCTTACCTTTCCCTATAGCTTCCCCTCCCCATATGAGCCTTTTCCCCCCTACCGCCCTCCCCAACTTTCATATGTGTTTATTATCCTTCCAAGACTTTCCTGGCACCACTTCTCAGGGGTCCTCTCTTGATTCCTGCCTCTACAGGCCCTTACTCCAACTAAACATAGAAATGTGAAAACTGGAAGCTAGAATCCTATATAAAAGAAAACAAGACATTTGTCTTTCTAGGACTGGTTTAACTCCTGTACATAATATTCCCAGTTCCACCCATTTTCCTGCACATTTCATTTTTCTTTAGTGCTGAGTAGAATTCTGTTGTGTACATCTATCGCATTTTTATTATCCATTCATCAACTGACGAACAGCTAGGCTGTTTCCATTTCCTGGCTACTGTGAGTAGCGCTACAGGGAACACGGATATGCAGACATCTCTGTCATAGACCCTAGAGTCCTTTGGGTCCTTACCCAGAGTGCTATGGCTGGGTCATATGGTAGTTCTACTTTTAGCTTTCTGAAAAATCTCTGCACTGGTTTTCAGGGTAACTGCACCAACTTCCATTCCTACCAACAGTAAGAAGGGTCCCCTTTCCCCCAGAGCCTCACCAGCATTTATTGTCACTTGATGTCTTGGCAGCAGCCATTCTGACTGGGGGAGAGAGAATCCCGTGGTAGTTTTAATGTGAAATTCCCTGATGGCTAAGGCTGTTACATTCTGTTTCAAATGTTCACTTGCATTTCTTCTTTTGAGAATTCTCTGTTCAGATACATGACCCATTTTTAATTGTATTTTTTTGTTTTCTTAATGTTTAGGGTTTTTTCCCTTTAGTTCTTTGTATTATCTAGATTTTTTCTACCTAACCTATTTTTCTCATTTTTTCTTTTGTTGAAAATATTCTTTTCTCATACAATATATCCTGATTATAGTTTCTTCTCCCTCTACTCCTCCCAGGTATTCTCCACTTCTCCTTCCCTCAAGAGTCACTTCCTTTCTGTCCTTTATTAGAAAAGAACAGGCTTCTAAGAGATAACAACCAAAAATGACAAAAGAAAATATATTAAGATGAAGTAAAAATTATCATATCAAAGTAGGAAGTGGCAACCCAATGGGAAAAGAGTCCCAAGATCAGGCACAAGAGTCAGAGACCCTCTCATTCTCACAGCCGGGTGTCCCAAGAAGTATTATCTAGATATTAATCCTCTGTCAGATAACAGTGGGCAAAGACTTTGCTCCATTCTGTAGGCTGCCTCATCAATCAGCTGACAGTATCACTTGCTGTACAGCTTTTAATTTCCTGAGTTTCCCTTTGTCAACTATTGGTTTTGTTTCCTGAGTGACTAGAGTCCCATTTAGAAAGCACTTATATATGCCTATATCTTACAGAATACTCTCTCCTTTTCCTCTATTGAATTTACAATCTTGGGTTTTATGTTTTAAATCTTTAATCCGCTTGGAGTTGATTTTCATGAAGTACGAGAGATTAGTACCTAGCTTCATTCTTCTACATGTAAGTACTCGGTTTTCCCCAGTATTATTTGTTGAAGATGTCTTTTTTTTCAATGTGCATTTTCGGTGTATTTGTTACAAATCAAGTAGCTGAAGTTGTGTGGACTTATGTCCAGATTCTCTACTTCAACCCATTGGTCTCCATGTCTCATTTTTGTGCCAATACCATGCTGCTTTGTAGTAGCCTTTTACAATAACATGGTGCCATGGGAAGTTACTGGTAAAGTTTCAGTGATCCAGTGTTCGTTGCTATTAAATTATACATGAAATCAGTCCTTTGTTCCCTATTGCGTAGTATTCCTTCCCCAAGAGCCAAGAGCACAAAGGAAGAACATACAGAAACTACCTGCAAGATGATAAAGAGGAGGCAGTTTTATGTTTTTTTTTAAAAAAAGCATTTTTGGTAGTTATCACAACAGGTTTGGCAATGATAGGATATTTGTGAGACCAGGACAGGTGCTTACGCAAAGGTCAATCTATGGTGAGGCTCTAACCTGAGTCAGACGCAGGGCTGTGCTGTCGCGGGTCTGCCTGTAGGTGGCAGTGTACCCTGATGGCTGACGTCTTAGGACAGGTCTCCGTAGCAGCTGACTCCCAGTACCCAGATTTGAGGCTCTGTGGTACATCAGAGAGTTACACCCAAGACATGGTAAAATGGCCTGCATCATAACATCGGAATGACTGCCGTTTCTTTTTTCCCAGCTTCTCATTGCCCCATCACAGAGAGCTGAACTTATCCCACGTTTGGTATTCTGCTCTGTGTTCCCCTTCTAGCTACCATCGCCTTGCGCCTTTCTCTGTCCTGAGAAGAAAGCTGAATGCCACTTTCGAAGTGAGCCCCATTTCTGAGTTTCGGAGGTGAGTTCCACTCTCCAAAGCAGAGTTCATTTCATGTGTTCTAGTGACCACTTAAGAGATGCCCATGCTCTGCTGAGTTTGTACTTAACACTTATGTAACATGTTTGTTTTCTGGAGCACAGATGTGACGAATGATTGTCTTACATGTTATGTTATTGTTTATACTTTACAGCCACTGATAGGAGCCTCATGAACACCAGGAATCCAGGATCTCTCTTACTTTTAAGCTCAGCTATATTTCAGTGTAGACTGGGTCAATTATTACTGATTTAATTAATATTTACAGCCATCCAAAATGACACTCAATTTGCTTTTCTTGGTTTATACTGAACATTGTAGCCTCATTTCCAATAACAACCTTGTCTTAGTTAGGGTTTCTATTGCTGTGAAGAGACATTATAACCAAGGCAACTCTTACAAAGGAAAACCATTTAATTGGGGCTGGCTTACAATTTCAGAAGTTTAGTCCATTATCGTCACAGTGGGAAGCACGGCACATGCAGGCAGACATGATGCTGGAGAAGGAACCGAGAGTTCTACATTGTGATCGGCAGGCAGCAGGCAGAGACTGCCACACTGGACATGGCTTGAGCTTCTGAGACCTCAAAGCCCACCCCCTAGTGACACACCCTCTCCAACAAAGCCACACCTACTCTAACAAGGCCACACCTCCTAATAGTGCCACTCCCTATGGCCAAGCATTCAAATACATGTCAGTGGTGGCCATTCCTATCCAAACCACCACAAACCTCTACCTTAATTTAAGTAAGTTTAAAAGTTACCATAGCCACTGTTTCATAATGAAAAATTGTATTTAGAGTTTCGAATACAAGTGCATTGAGGGCAAGCTGCTTTGAGTATTTTTTGCACTTATACTGGTAGAATATGAAACTGTACTTCACTTCTGAACGGAACTTAGTAGCTTAGCTGGTGGGCCTGATAGGTACCAAGTAGTCATTAGTTACTAAAGACCAATGCTGCCCCAGGGAAGATTTCCAGCCAACCAGTTCTTCGGGCTTGGAGAACAGTAGTTCCAGTCCTGGTTTTCTGCAACATCAATATTATTTGTGGGTAAACAAGGAGGAGTGGAACAATGGAGATACTACAGACAGAAAATGGCACCCAAAGGTCACCCCAAAGCACTGGTGACATCTGAGTGGTCTCAGGAAGCAATGTAGGGATAAGAAGGATGGGCTAGAGCCAGGAAGCTGAGCCAGGAAGTTCATGGAGTGTGACTGAGAGGAGGTGTGACCTGGTTCTGAGTCTGGTCTGGAAGCAGAAAGGAGGACACCAGATTGGGGACCAAGAGCGTATGTCAGTCCTTAGATGGAGTCAGAGTGATGAGGCAGGAGACTAGGAAGGTAGCAATCCCACACAGCACGGACCCTCTGCAATTTTGTCAAATACCCATATAGCCCAAGTCCAGGTACGTTAAGGTTCAGCTGGATGACTCTCTGTGGATCTACAGAGGAGGAAGTTGGATGACTGCTCTCCCAGGCAGAATTGGTGCATGAGTGCCAGGGACCAGGTGAGTGTAAGCTGCAGGTAGAGAGCAAGCAGCCTCACTCACATGGACAGAGGTACATGAAGAGGCACACTGGACCATTGGAGCTTCTCCTGTCTTGTTCTGCTGGGAGGAGGCAGGACGAGAACAGAATGTCACATCAGTATTGTGAGGCATGTGTCAGATAGGGACATTCTTCTTTCGTTCCTCTTCTCTTCCATTTTTTCCCATTCATACTAAAGATTAAACCCAGAGCCTCACATACGCTAGGCAAGTTCTCCACCACTGAGCCGTACCTGACACTCTTTTTCAATTTCCCCATGCAAGTTCCTCAGACCTGGCAGGGTGCAGCTTGCTGCCACTCCAGCTGGATCATCATTGGCCCCTCAGGGCATCGTTGTAGGCTGTGGGGTGCCTGTCATTGGTCCCGGGCAGCTCTGTGTTTTCAGAGTCCCCGTCCACCCAACCAGTATAAGGTATTTGGGGAACACGTCTGTGAAGACCAAGGAGAGATTGTGAGTTTGTGAAGAGCGAATACGTCTGCCTGAAGGCCAGTTCCCGTGAGAAAGTCCCTTCATTTCTCTTCCTTTGTTTACAGTCACCCACACAACTTGCTTCCCGCTATTTCCAGTGTGTTTTTCTTGGTTCTTTATGGATTGTTGGTGGCTAAAAGCAGATGTGTAGATTGTCACAAGAAAAAGAAACCTGGTTGCATTTTTCTGGAAGAAGATACCCCACCTGGCCACCAGCTGTATGCAGTCATCATTGACACTGGCTTCCGGTCACCAGCCCAGTTTACGTCAAAGGTAACATGAGCTCCCAACAATGCCTTCTAACAATGAGGTCTAAGGGTGTGGATGAGCCTGATAGGCACCGGAAGTGACAGTGAGATGATTTGGCTGCTCTGTCAATCACCTGTGACCACCGTTTCATCGTAATGTCAGGGGTGACGCTTATCTACCCTTTCCACTGTCCTATGTATATGTAAGGGCAAAAGACAGGACCCTCACCTCCTGCCCCCTGGACTCCTCTCCCCCTTTCTGCCTCCATGGTGACAAACAGCTTCAGAGATGGTTTTCTTCTGAGTGGGTCTCTGAGATGTTGTGACTTGGACTCTACTCCTCTGAGTTAACACTGAATCCATGGCCTACCTCAGAGAAGGATCTAGCAAGAAAGGGGTAAGAAGTCCCTAGGCTAGCCTTTGGGCTGAGTGGGAACGGGGCTGGGTTGTGAGATAGAGGCCATGGGCAGGGTTCCCCGGAGAAGCAGCTGAAGATGAGGTTGTGGATGGGGAGGAGGAGGAAGTAGTAGGAGGGTCAAGGAGGAAGTCCAGCCTAGCAGTTCCAGGGAACGCCTAGGCCAAGGTGGGCTATGGAAGAGAGTTCTGCAGAGACAGGAACAAACTCGTGCAGAGGCAGGGCTAGCAATGTGCCCCTACAAATCCACCAGGAATTCTGCATGGGTGTTTGATACACAGTCCCTTTTCTCTAAAAACACGTCTGCTTTATGGAACCCATAAGACTGGAGGCATGGGGAGAGAGTGGTCTCCCCTAGAAGCCAGAAGATAGGACCACGTGCTCTTGACATGCTTGTACAAAAACGATGTAAAACAATTAGACCCGATGAGTTAGACAAGCTTGTCAGGTTCATGATCAGGGTGGGGCAGCCCACCACTCATCCACAGAGTCAGTGGCTGTCATTGCACAGGATTGGAAGCAAGTTCCTCCTACCAGTCACAAAAGGACGAGTATCTGAAGGTGAATTCACCTAACACACACATGGAAAGAATCTGCCCAATATTCATAAAAGACATAAATAAAGAATAGCTATCTTTTTTTTTCTTTTTGGTTTTTCGAGACAAGGTTTCTCTCTGTAGTTTTGGTGCCTGTCCTGGATCTCACTCTGTAGACCAGGCTGGCCTCAAACTCACAGAGATCCACCTGCCACTGCCTCCCGAGTGCTGGGATTAAAGGCATGTGCCACCACTGCCCAGCAAGGATAGCTATCTTTATATAGTAGCTGAGACAACTAATTTCTCCTTGTCATAAATCATAAATCAATCTGTAGGATGACAATATGAATTAGTCTATTCCTATATCCACATTACTTGTTTTATTTGAGTTTTTGTTTTGTTTGCATTTGTTTGCTGGTTTGTTGATACAGGATTTCACTATGTAACCCTAGCTGTCCTGGAACTTGCTATATAGACTAGGCTGGCCTCGAACTCAGAAATCCACCTACCTCTTCTTCCCAAGCGCTAGGGTTAATGGCATGTCACCACACCCAGCCACACTATCCATTTTACTGAAAAAAAAAAAACCCTAAGACATAAAGAGATTAAAGCCAATGAAATCAACTGCAATTTCAGAAAGATGTCTTGTGGGACAGGAATTCTTGATTCTAAAGTTCATATGGAAGTGAGCACTAGCACACAGGAGAATAAGTACAGGCCTAACGATCTGAAAGAGAACATGCATGGCTCCCTGCCAGAAAGCCAGGCAAGAGCCTTCACAGTGTAATTTCTTCTGGGGTTAGTAGATTTATGGGACAGCTAGACACCCCAGAAATGACCCAGGTGTGTGTCAAGGTCTTATAGACCAGAGAGGCTGTTCAGCAAAATGTCTGGAGCAATCACAGTCCCTACAAAAGAATACAATATAAAATCTTTAATTAACATTACACACACACACACACACACACACACACACACAGAGAGAGAGAGAGAGAGAGAGAGAGAGAGAGAGAGAGAGAGAGAGAGAGAATAAATTTCAGAAGTTTAAAAACAGAAAGATAATGATAAAAAAAAGTAGTAACTACTCTACTCAAAGTAAAAGATTATTTTGGACTAGGAAAGGATTTAAAAGACAAGAGATTGGGCCAGGCAGTAGTGGCGTATGCCTTTAATCTCAGCACTTGGGAGGCAGAGATAGGCTAATCTCTGTGAGTTCCGGGCCAGCCTGGTCTACACGGCGAGTTCCAGAACAACCAGGACTGTTACACAGAGAAACTCTGTCTCAAAAAAAAAAAAAAAAGTAAGAAAGAAAGACAAGAGATTAATATTACTTTAATGAAAGATTAAAATTACACCACATCAAAGCTGCAGGTTTCTGTGTGACAGATGCCAGGAAGAGTGATAAGCACAGTACAATGTGCTTCCCTAGGGTGCTCCTTGTGGACATGGGTACTCCTCCTACCAGCCCTGACCCACTCTGGTGTCCTGCAGGCCCAGTGTCCAGACACCACGCCCAAGGGTAGGAGATGCTACCCTCTATGGCCTTCTGCCCTGCGGAGGAAGAGATACGCTGAGGATTCCAAAGGGGCTCCCACTTTTCTAGATGAAGTTTGTGAAGAGCTGGCTAGTGGAGGAGACGCTACACTGTGGTCTGTGAGGGCTCGCCAAGCCATCCATGCAAGGCCCCCAGAGCCCCTGGGCTTGATGCTGGGAGCCGCCAGTAGGGAGCGGGGATGGGGCAAGGAAACACTGTTCTGCAGAACTCCACACTCTCCATGACGTAGCCTCAGTTCCCATTTCTGTCTGTTTTAAGGTTTTCATTGTTTTATGTGGTGAAAACGGCCTCTCAGAAACCAAAGAACTCTGCTGTCCAGAGATGTCCTTGTTTGGAAGAAATTCCAGGCACACCTTTATACTGAGGTACTCCTGACACCTCCACCCACATGTTTTGGGAAAGGGGCTGATCAGAATGGGGTATCACAAAGATGCTGCATAGAGAACACCAGCTTTCTGAGCATCATGATAAAGCTGGCTGATGAAGCATAGAAAGAGAGTAATGATCATTGGCTCATACACTTAATTTTAGGAAGGTTCTGGCTTTGCTTTTTTTTTTTTAAGGTAGGGTTTTACTATGTAGCCACAGCACATCTGACATTCACTATGTAGACCAGGCTGGACTTGCAACTATCCTCCCGGCTCTGGCCCCTGGGGGCTGGAATTACAAGCATGCTAACATATGGGATAGATTAACACAGTTTGTTTACACGGGGCGGGGTAGGGGGTGGGAGAAAACGAAGGTAGAAAAAAGGTAGCGGCTTACTAAGCTTGTGTATTAGAATAAGTGTTTTTTTGTGTCACAAAACATGATTAAGTTAATTAGTGCCACCATCCCAAATCTGGAAGAGCGATGCTACACAGCATCCCAAAGATGGAGAGTCAGGGGAAGAGATCATTTATCAAGGTGGAGGTGTAAGTACCTGACATTCTTAGACAACAGGAAAATAATGGAGTCATCTTGTTCTCATGAAAAATGTATAATGTTTATTATAATTTACTTACAATATTTATTATTTTGGAGCATTGTTTTTATGAGGAAAGTACAGGTTAACTCATATCCGAACAGGTGGCTGGAGATCTGAGTAACTTGATTTAAGGAAGTTATAGCCACTCTCTTTTCAAGAGATGTGTTCCAGGCCACACAGTGGATCCCAGAATCACCAAAAGAGCACTGAACCCTGGACCTACTTGATTGTTCTTTGACATCCTAACCTAAGATAAAGTATAAGTTATTAATGAGGCACACCACAAGATTATCAATCAGTAATTATAAAGTAGAATAGTTGTAAATAGCTTCAAAACTTACAAGTTGTTTATTTCTAGAATTTTCCACTTGGTATTTTTGATTTGTGCTTATTGGTGAATAACTGAAACCAGGAGAAGTAAACTGATAATAAAGGGGGAATTAGAGTGGATCCTGAAGGCCTGTGTGCCCTTACCAGTCAATGCTCATTGGAACCCGCTGTCTTTAAGGGCCCTATCAGAGTTGGTGAGGTTTTTGTGGGTGCTGAATACACATGGCTGATAAGACATTTCTGCATGTCATTAGCACTCCTAACCAACTGGGGCCACTCCAGAAGATCCGACTCTGGCATGACAGCAGTGGTCCTTCCCCAAACTGGTTCCTCAGCCACGTGATGGTGAAGGAGCTACGTTCAGGCCAAGGCTGGTTCTTCTCTGCCGAGTGCTGGCTGGCTGTGAGCTTATGTGATGGCCGTGTGCAGCGAGAGTTCTTCTGCCTGCGCCACGGTCTTGGCTTCTGGAAGGTAGGCCCCATGCAGGTGACCTGTGACATACCAGATGGGCCGGTCTTATTTGGTGCCCACGTCTGCTTCTCCTTCCCAAAGTTATGTCGCTAACTGTCAAGATACCCATGTTGTGTGACTTCTGGAAAGACGTGAACAAGAGCCTACTCACCCCAGACAGGGACCAGTGAATGACACATCAAAGAAATGTCTCCATCCAAGTCTGTCTTGGTTAGCTATTTGGTTTATGGATTGCTTTCAAGGGTGTGGGTGACTCAACAGAAGCTACACCACTAAAAAGCAGAACCCAGTGTGGACGGTGACTCACGAAAGCGGCATCCCTGGCTCTGCCCTACTTGCAGGCAGCTTTACCAATAAATCCTCTCCATCACAATAGCTTACTTGTAGCTAGAGTTTTCCTGGTCCTGCGTGGCCCACGGTCAGGACAAATCTCTCTCACCCACCAGTCCCACAGCTGCTCAGACCCAACCAAGTAAACACACAGAGACTTATATTACTTACAAACTGTATGGCCATGGCAGGCTTCTTGTTATCTAGTTCTTATATCTTAAATTAACCCATGTCTATTAGTCTATAAGTTGCCACGTAGCTCGTGGCTGACCGGTATCTTACAACTTGCTTTTCATGGGGGCGGCTGGCAGCGTCTCTCTGCCTCAGCCTTCCACTTCCCAGAATTCTCCTCTCTCCTTGTCCTGCCTATACTTCCTGCCTGGCTACTGGCCAATCAGTGTTTTATTTATTAACCAATCAGAGCAACACATTTAACATACAGAACATCCCACAGCACTTACTGCTTCTCTCACCTTGGAGAGGATATTTGTGACTCTCTTGTTTCATGAGCTCCCTCAGCCTCAGCACCCCTCCCCTCCTCCTCCTCCAGAAGGGGCTGCTTCAGTTCTGAGGAGACAGCAGCAGCACACCACACTTCAGGTGACATGAAGCTTGGATCAGCTCACCAGCCAGTGTGCATCCATGCCTTTGCTACATAGCAATCTTTGCAGCAACGCGGTTCGTCTTTGAGCCGCAACAGTAATCAGGTTCTAGAACTTCTGCATGCTGGTGATCTGCAGTGTCTGAGAGGGCCCAAATGAAAGATCTGTAATCACTCACGTGCCATAAACAATTCCACTGTCACAGAATGCAGACAGGCCATGGCTGCAGCGTCAGAAGGTAGACAAGTGCTAATCGGTGACAGAATTGACTGTTATCTCACAGACTCAGTATGACATTTTGGTTTCTGTATATTCCCATTTCCTCCTCATTGATGGGCATTGGCTCATTTGCAAACATTCACACTTTACAGAATAAACCTCTTCATGAATTTTCTCTTAACTAATTTAAAGGCCATAGAATGGCCCACTGTACACTGCTATTTGTTGAGGCTACAGCCGCCATTTCCCTTCCTTTATTTCCGTAACAGCAAATGTCACAAGAGATACTTCTTTGTGACTTGTGCTTCTGAAGAATGATTCTTTTTAAGAATGTTTCTAACATTTTTAATTACTTGTTTTGTGTGTGGTGTGTGTGTGTGTGTGTGTTTATGTCACAGTCTACATGTAGAGGGTAGAGAACAACTTACAGGAATTGGTTCTCTTCTTCCACCATGTGGGTCCTGGGAATTGGACTCAGATCATCAGGCTTGGCAGCAAGTGCTTTTACCCTTTGAACTATCTTGCCAACCTGACATTTCCTGGGCACTGGGTCTTGATCTTTCCATTGTCACCATAATGAGAAGTATCTGGTGTTGCCAGTTTAGTACAAAACATGGCCAATATGAATTTGAAACAACTATTTCCAAATAGCCATGGTACACAGAAAAATTTTAGCACTTTAAACCAAAGGCCCTGCTTAACTGCAGCATCCCTTAGGCAAAAATCCCCATGCTTCCCCCTCAGGCTGTTATGCTTGGGAACTTTGGGTAAGGAACCTAACTTTACTGATTTCGTCATCTATGAGCCCATATGGCTGGGTCTCTGGTATCAATGGTCACCCGGGAATTTACATACAAAAGATATATCCTTAGTCTCTTAAACCTGTTTTGCCTGGGTTTGCCGATTATTCTGATTGTATTCATGATAGCAGTTCTGTTTAGAAATAGTTCTTTTCTGGAATATTTAGTTCCAAAAAAATATTTAAGTTGCATTGACAATTTTAAAATGCAGAGAAATTCCCCAAGATATCACCAACTTCTGGGCGGTAGACCTCGTAAGGCTTACCAGGTAGAAGGCAGTCAGTCCCAGGTCTCAGTCCCCACAGGGCTGGTACCCAGCTACACTGTGGCTGTGTTTCTGTGGAAAGCGCCGAGAATGGGGAGATTTCGAAAGTCCTTTGGGATCAGAAAGGGAAGAAATGGTGGGAGGGCCAAGAGAGGAGGTCTCCAAGAGAGGAGGTCTCCAAGAGAGGAGGTCTCCAAGAGAAGAGGTCTCCAAGAGAGGAGGTCTCCAAGAGAGGAGGTCTCCAAGAGAGGAGGTCTCCGTGAGCTAGCACGAATGAAGCAGAGAACTCGTTGGTACCAAACCTTTGGAAGTTTCAGCAGGAGGCTGAACTGGGTCAGAGGCCAAGTGGTGCAAGCCATGTCCAGTGAGATGCTGCTGAAGAAGTAGGTAATGGAGTAGGAAGGGAGGAGGCAGAACAGGTGGCCATGAGAGGCATCCACCTGCACCAAACCACTAGCCGGGAAGTATCCAGCTTTCAGCTGAAAGAGAAAAGCCAAGAAATTTTGGAGTCTCATTCTAAAAGTTGTTGATTATAGGTCAGGATTCCACTCGGCTCATGCGTGTCCGTGCCTGGGAAAACACCTGCACTTTCTGTTTCAGCTTTTCTATTCAAAGTTCACGGAGTACCTGGAGGATTTCCACATCTGGCTCTCCCTATACAGCCAGCCCCCCTCCAGCAGCTACCTACACACACAGCGACTTGCGGTGTCCTTCTGCCTCCTGTGTGTCTACTCCTGCCTCGCTGCCCTGGTCACTGTGGGAGGCCATGAACAGGTGCGAGGCAGCAGATTTTCCCGCAGTAACTTCCAAATCTCAGGTGTACAGTTTGTCTTTCTTTTAACATGGAAAACTCCAAGCTTCTGGAGAAGGCCCTAAGCTAGGGCGAGCAATCTAGCAGTGTGCTGAGTGGGCTAGCAGATAATAAGACTGGAATCAGAGCTGGGAGGGTCCACAAGTCCTCAAGAGACTGCTGCCCTGTGAGAATTCACATCCCGGGTTCCATACAACGTGACATTCGGGGAGAGGGGAAAGAAGCTAATTTTTTTGAAGATTTATTTTTATCATTTTTTATTATGTGTACATGTTTTAAAAAGACGGAAGGAGAGGGTCCCCTTAGAGTCCAGAGGAGGGGTGGGGTGACAGGTTGTTTGTGAACTGCCTGATGTGGGTGCTAGGGAACAAAGTAGGATCCTCTGCAAGAGCAATGCATGTTCTTAACCATTGAGCCATCTCTCCAGACCAAGATCGTTTTCTATGATAATTTCAGGATCATTCATGGGGCCAGCCCCTGAGTTCACATGGTCCTCAAGATAGCTGGAGGATACACTGATCGTAGATGTGCCAAGATTGAGTTCAGTCATCCGTCACAGGACAAATGTGGCAGCAGATATGATCACACTCAAAAATTTGCAGAATTTTCAAATATACTGTGTTGGTAGAACTTGCGGCAATAAACAAAAGATGACAAGGAATGTCATCAAGTGGCAAGGAGAGACCAGCTATGCTCTCCGGGGAGCTCGGCTTCCCTGGGGACCTCCAGTGGTCTGGTCTAGGATGCCATCTCGTCCTCTGCTGGGGGCATATCAAAGTTCTTGGCACCTTATTGTGGGGCTGTAGTGAGGACTTAATCAGATGAGCATGGGTCTTGTGGGTGCTCGGCAAGCATCTGTTTGGCTCACAAGGATGTGTCTATGAGGAAAAGCACAGTTTTGTCTTGTTCAACCCCTGGGGTGGAGGCAAGGCTTCTGGGAGAAAGGGCTTTAACTAGAACAGGAGCCCACACTGAATCCATTTGGAATTCTGTGTATTTGGGGTTGGACTCAAGGGAATTCATTGCCATGTTGTTGAACCGTTGCAGCGCCCCCTGCATGTGGGTCCCACTCTTATCACTCTGGAGTCCTTCGGTCTGAGTCTCCTGTGCACCTTCCTGGCCTGCCCAGCTGCCCAGCTCTTATCACTGCTCTTCAGGGTCAGCCAGGTGTGTGGCCCTGTGCCCCTGGGGAGACCCCCGATGTGGGGTGCCCTTACCAACCAACCTCTTTCCTCCACAGGAGGCCGTAGGGCGTCTACAGGCTGCGCCACAGTGGCCTCTAAGCGGAGTGAAGACAGAGGTACCTCCGGGTATGGTGAGCTAAAATCAGAAGCTTGCCTGGTCCTCAGGGGCCAGTCTCTTAAGTAGGCAGTATATCCCCTGCTTTCTGCTTGTCTCGTTCATTGAAAATAAACATCATCGGATGGATTTAAAGCCACTTTTTTTTTTTTTCTTGGACCATCACCCCTTGTAGACAAGACTCTCGTAACCACCATTTTCCAGAACCAGATGAGCGACAGCCAGCCACCCCATGGCAGAAAAGCGTGGCTGTGTGGGGAGCAAATCCCTTCTCCTGGATCCTGCTTTTCAATAATCACCTTTTGAAAACCTTGTGTAGCCACATTTATCAGTCTTTCCTCTTAAGGATCTTTTAAGCTTTTAGCGACACAATTTTCTCCTGCTCTGTGGCTTCCAGAGAGGAGCTCTGGGTGGGTGAGGGCTTGTCCAAGCCCATATCAAGATGGAGACATCAAAAGTCCTCATTTCAGCCATGCCTTGCTTGTCTCTCAGGCTCACTCTGGAGTGTGTGTGTGTGTGGGGGGGGGGGGGAGCGGGGAGGGACAAGAGGGAGAAGCAGCTCCCAAAGTACCCCAGCTGTGCCTAGTTCAGAGTCATACATTTGCTCCCTCCCCCTCCCCCGTCAGGCCCTGATCCCAGTGGGAGACCAGGTCTGAGGCAGCCCTCCCAGGTAAGTGGCATGACAGGCAGTCATTAACTCTACAGCATAAGATGCTAAAAACTGGATTTCTCTGCCATCTTCCTGTGGCTGTGGTCTGGCCATAGTTAGATCCAGAGGATAGCTGGGGCTGGTCCTCCAGAGAGTGTAGGCCATTTCCCAGGTCAAGGAGTGCAAGTGACAACTAGGTAGGGCCAGGGAAGGGCAGCATCTGGAAAGTCCCGTGTGTGTGTGTGTGTGTGTGTGTGTGTGTGTGTGTGTGTGTGTGTGTCCAGTGAGATCCTGGTGGCCTGTGGAAGAGAAGGAGGAGAAGCTGTGGCACACGGAGACTGTGGTCTGTGCTGCCCTTTCTGTAGACAGGGCTTGAGAGCCAGGTCTCTATGGACCCAGAATTCTATGCAAATGAAGGACAATTTCTAATGCTATCATTGTGGTTGCATTGCCCTGGGATTTTGCTTTGGGGGTCTGTGTACTGGTGCCCTTGGGGTGCTAGTGCTCTTAGGGGGTTGTTCTCTTAGGGTGCATTACTTGCCAGGCAATGGCCCACTCTTCTCCACAGCTCCAAACCCCCTGTTCCTATGCAAGGCACTCTCAGACCCCACTTGCTCTACGTACCACATGAACCTCTGATCCCCACCACCACGCACTTTGTAGGGCTCTGGCCCTCATCCTCCAACCTTTTTGCCTCTGGTGGATTTTGCAGTCTATCAGCCTGACTGTCTGGAGCTGCCTGGAGGCCATCAGCATAGGCCCCATGGTAGGAAGAGTTTAGGTCCAAAGGAGCTGGCTCAGACAGACAATGACATCCTTCAAAAGCCACCTGAGGCCTGTGCTTGACCGGGCCCCCATCTGACCGTGCCTGTCTTCAGAGTGGGAGGCAAAGGGCACTAGCGTTTCAGGCTCAGCAACAAAAGTGGCACTGACTTGCCCTGACCTTGTCACAATTCCAGGATCCTGCATCAGACATTCTCCCAGGGACTGACCGAGCTTGGAGGATGGCAGCCAGTAGCAGTGGCGTATGTGCATCTTTCCCTGCCCTGAGAGAGAAGAGCCTCCACCCTCCTCCCAGGTCACAAGGTAAAGTCCCCCTATGGCTGTATCGAGTAGTCCTCATGCCTGCTGCCAGAACAGTGATCTGTGCCCATCTAGACAGGCAGAGCAAGCAGAATGTACTTGGTCCAAATGTCCCTAAACATTCTGGTCCCCTCTAAAATCCAAGCCTGGGTGTGAGCCCAGGCCTATCGGAAGCCATGACATCTGGCTTCAGTTCAATCCTGGTGAGTCTGGCTCACAAGCTTGACCCAAGCCTTTTAAAAGTCAGTAGGAGACCTTGCACTTCAAACGTTCTGAAAGGCAAAGCTCCACTTTTTTTTTTATTTTACTCAAGTTAGAGTAACAGCTCCAGGCTCAAATTACAGTAGACGCTCACTGAACCGGAAGAGGAGGGGCGATAATAGGGAAGGGTGTGCCAATGGAGTCAGTGAGTCCTCTGGGAACCAGGGTCCCAGGAACTAACTTCACCTGGTCTGATCATTGGGATTGAAGGGCCCGTTGAACCTGGCCTAGCAGGAATGGAGACTAGGGGTGTCAGCGTATAACTGCAGGGCTCTGGGGCTGCATAATGTATGGACAAATGGCCAACAGAGGCTTTGAGCAGCAGCTGGACACTGCTCTGTAAACAGTGGTCAGCAAGGTCTGTGTGCTCAACTGACCGAGGCTGTGCCTGGCCCACAGTCCGCACTAAGGGAGAAGGAAAGAGTCATGCCTATATGCAAATGAGCACTCAGCTAGACAGGCTTATAGTATTAATGCCAGTATTTGCAGGCTGTCCCAAGAGTCCTGGCTAGATATATATGCTGGGCAGAGAGATGGGCTGGGAAGCCAGAGCTCGGAAGTGAGATGTTCACTGTGGAATGTGTAGAGACAGGACAGTTCGAGACAAGGAAGCCATAATGGCCAACTCCAAATCCCTCATTTCCTGCTGTACCACGGCTACCCCTGCTCTGTCAGGCAAAGACCAGTATCCTGGTTCAAAGGTCATCATCGGGTAAGAGGAACTCCCTTTGTCCATTTGTTCTGTTTAGACTTTCAACTGATTGAATGAGGCCCGCACACATGGGGAGGCCTATCTGCTTTGTTCAACCCACTGATTCAAAGGTTATTATCCTCTGGATCTTCCTCATGGACACACCTCAGATAATGTTTGATTGTATGACTAGTCCCCTGGGGCCCAACCAGGTGACAAGCGCCCACCACACTGTGGGTGAGGATGACAAGGACTGCTAACCTACTGGTCTCTATCTTGCTCTTTCTTAGCTCCCAGCAGTGGTTTCGAAGGACTTGTACTCCAGGGGTCAAGGGTCTGTCTACTCTGGTCAAGCTTTGTGGCCTGGGCCATTTGTGGATCAGCTTCCCTTGCCTGTGGTTTGGGGACAGGATTCCTAGGCTACAGGTGGGTAGCTGAGATTTTTAGACATCCTTGGGTGCTTGATAGATGTCTAGGATCTGTGAAGAGACTCATGTGCTTCGGGTAACTCATACACAGTCACCAATTTTCTCCTGTACTCCATCCCTTCTGAAGGTGAATATGACCACATGCAAACCCCAAAGGGTCACTCAACCCTGTCTAGACAGAGTCCTAAGGACCAAACAAGAAGCTATGCAGGAGGGAGCATCCAAAAAGGAGGGCATCTGTCACTAAGGTTATCAGAGGAAAAACACTGATGCTAGCCAAAGTCAATGATATTGTTTGAAAAATAAATGTATACTGTTGAGCTGGGCTATGATGGGACATCAAATATCCTAACCAGTCCTTCCCACATGTTACCTCTTCACCTGGCTCCTATGTGGCTTAGGCTACCACTGAAGACCAGAGGGCCATCCTTTGTGGCTCTGGAGAAGCCTACACCATGTTCCTATCCCATGAGGAAGAGGAGCCACCCAAGGCCCTTTCTTCCTGACAATGTCCTTTCTCCCTGCATTGCTGACCACTTTGTGAAGACGGGGCAGGCACTTTTCTTCATGCCTGTTTGCTTATCTGTAAAAGAGGGGCACTGGGTGTGCTTCATCCCGAGGCTTGAGGATGAAATACCGAGTCCTCACTACAGCACTACCCACATTTCCCAAGTTATTGTCTGTGCTCTGTCCTGTCTTCATTTCAGGCTCTTTTAGTCTTGGTGCTGGAAAGTTTCAGGGAGGGTGGTATTCCCTCAACAGGGAAGGACTCTGCTTTGATGGGCAGACAGACCTGGCACCCGTCCCACAGCCCCTCGTCAACCACAGCCCATGTCTCCCGGCAGTGAAAGCATCATTGCCCTGTGGCTGTAACTCTGTCTTCATGGGTAGCTCGCTCCCATGATGTCGACTGAGCCCTCTTCTGGACAGGTTTGTTCCAGAGCAGTTTATGTGGTGGCTGCACCTGCTGCTGCTCTCGGTGATCTGCTGTGCATCTGTCACCCAGCCACTCATGGTAAGACACTCCCCTGTGGTGGAGGTGCCTTCGCCAGCAGGGGACCAGGGAGGAGAGGGACCAGTGAACGTGTTGTGATGGTATGTGTCTTCTCTTTCGAGTTGGAACTAGATGTGATAAGAAAATCGCCTGGGCTAAGCTCCACCTCAACCTGGTATTCTGAATCCTTATTTGAAAAATCCCCAAAGAGATAAACAACTTTGTCTCTATCTTCAGTTTCTGAAACTGTGTCCTAGAGGCCCCGAGTCTCTTGGTGAAGGCCACACCCAGAGACTAGGTGCTGGGGACTTCAGGGTAGTGGCTTCTGGTATCTAATTTTGAACTGAGATGAAGTCAGGTGGCAGTGCAGGACCAAGAAGATGGCTCTCTGTGGGAGGGGCACAAATAGACACTGTGCTCTGGCACCTCTCTTCCAGATCTGTTTGGCAGCGCTGGCCTTTGCCTGGAAAAGGAAACATGACAGCCAATTTTTTACTGAATCTTTCCATGATGCAACCAGGGATCTCGATTCGGAATTGGAAGAATACTCCAGAGCCCACATTGCTCATTCTCCCAGCTCCTGTTGTTCTGACAGTGCTGAGGAGGCTGGAAGGGTGAGCAGGAGGGGGAAGGTTCAGAACTGCTCTGTTCCCACCATGCAGATGGGAGCTCAGACCTTAGTTCAAATCTGACTGCACTTTTAGAGCCCCACTGTGTGTGTGTGTGTGTGTGTGTGTGTGTGTGTGTGTGTGTGTGTGTGTGTGTGTGTAAATTTCTTATGCTTCTTTCCTTACCCCAATCCCAGGGGAATCAGAGCCACAGGGAAATGGGTGCATTTGAAAACGTAGTGGCAAATGAGAAATATAACTTCTGGCCACAGTTTCAGAGAACTTTTAGGTCGTTTGCTTTTCAATGCACACACATAGAAAATATATAGCTCCCCTCTCTCCCCATGCTTCCACACAGACGTTAGCAGCCTCCATGTCCCGAGTGTAGGCCCGGGTCATGTCTTCTCTGACCCCATCCTTCAACACCTTCTGAGAAGCGGCGCTGCTCTACTCTCCACCCGCCTGCAGCCCCCCAGCTTCCCTTCCTTCTTCCAAGACTCTCTTCCTCTGTCAGCATGGGCACCTGCGTCCAAGCCTGAGGCAATCAGCAAGATTCCTTTGCTAGCTAGGTCTAACCTCTGAACTGAAAGGCCTTTGAGGAACTCAGTCCCGATCAGGCTTGACTCTCCAAACCTATGCGCCTGCGGTGCACCCAGCCAGGGTGCACAGTCCTCGGAACCCAGGGCATAGCTGAACCACAAGCCCAGCCCCCAAGGTTCACTTTCCAGTGCTTGCTCTATGCTTCTTAGAAGCCCAGCAGCTCTGGGAGGAAGAACTGGGGGCCTCTGGGGTTGCTGCCTGAATGTGCATGGAATGGATAAACAGATGAATGAAAAATGAATGGGTCACTATGTCCCATGGGTTTGGCTCTTGGCTAGTGTTAGTCCTGCCCATAAACAGACGTAGCTACAACGTGGAAGCCATAATGATTTTATTACACCAGGCAAACAAAGGTCATTTCATACTAAAATAAACCGCTTTAAAATCACTTTTCCAGTCTTGGAAGGTCTCTAACAGGAACTACTATGCAAATATAAAAGGCAATTGCTCCTGTGATTGGTCAGCAGTGGCCACGCCTCTCTTGTGAAGCTATGCTTTGTAATGGCCCAGAGGCAATCCATGCCAAAGGCGCAGGCTTGGGACATGAGCAGAGTTTTCAAACGGACCTGCTCTGGCTCCCATTGCCTCCCCAACAACGCAGTGTGTGTTGACTGCACAAAGTCCCTATTTGTCCCCCGAATGCAAGGCAAAGAGCATTGATGACGGCTCTTGGGTTGGCAGGGACACCAAAGGCCTCTCTCTCTCTCTCCAGTGCCGACCCCAGTATCACGGTATTCTCCCCCACCACAGGTCTTGGCTGCCCGACAACGACAACGCCACCTGCGCTGGGCTCAGCCACCATCCAGGGCCAAGTTCAGAGTGACCAGGGAGAGACTGAGGAAAGAGAGCCGGGTGCAGGCAGCCCTGAGGTGGGTGCACGCAGTCCCGGGTGGGCACAGGCAGCCCTGAGGTGGGTGCAGGCAGTTCCGAGGTGGGCACAGGCAGCCCCGAGGTGGGCAAAGGCCAGAATACAATGGGCTTTTTCTGGTACTGCCTTTTTTTTTTTTTCTTAAGAAGGAGCGTAAGAAATCTCAACCTGCACTTGGGAAAATCCTTTCCCAGGTCTCAGCCTGTGCCGGAACACGTGGGACAGAGACTGGGGGAAAAAAACTGTTCCATCACGGGCCTGTAATTAGGGACCTGGAGCTCTGCACCTCAGCTCGCTCAGCCATGCAGGCTCACATGCATCATGTTTAATCCCCTCACATCACACTCTGCTCAGCACTAGACCTGGCATTCACCTCCTCCAGCAATGAAAATCCAAGAGCAAATGTTGTACGTCTTCATAGACATTGACTGGGCCCAGGGACCGGTGTTTGAAAATAACTCAGCATAGTTTACACAGGCATGTTCTGGGGCTCAACATAAAATCCATTTCAAATTTTGAGATAAAACATGAAGCTTAGTAACTGAGACAAACCTCCCCAAATTAGACATCTGCCATGCTTTTTTTTAATTAGTGGTACCCATCCCCCTCCCCATCTGTGGTGACCACTAATAGCAGTTCCTGGAAGAACCTTCTGCAAGTACTAGTCAATACATGTCTCCCAGTTCTGAATCCTAGATTTCAGATTTCTTGAGTCTGTCAAGAATTTAGAAGCTCCAGATAATTTTCCCACAATGATGTTGCTAAAGTATGTAATGTCACCTCCAATTAATCATCTTTCTTAGAAATCCTACATTATCACTTGCCCACAGTCAGCTCCCTTAAATCAAAAGCACATTCTGCTTGTGAGTTTGAGGCCAGCCTGGTCTACAGAGCGAGTTCCAGGATAGGCTCCAAAGCTACGCAGAGAAACCCTGTCTTGAAACACCGCCACACCCACCACCCCCACCACCCCCACTACCCCCACCCGCAAAGAAAAGAACACATTCTGAAGCAAATCCTTTTCCAAAGAAAAGAGGTGTGGCCTTCCTAGGAAGTCACATTTCAAATGAATAAAATAAAAAAAAAAAAGAATTCTGGGAAGATAAGACTTTAAACCTGTCCAGTCTCCCCATAGAAGCAGAATGGTTCAATTACCCCCAACCAAACCCATGCATGACAGACCTAAGTGACACCCATCACCCACCCACACACACACACACTTAGACGTCGAAGTCTCCTAGGGACAGTAAGCACCGTGTACCCAGTGCCCTGAGCATTCATTGTACCTCTGCAAGAGCAGAATATGAAGGCAACTGGAGGCACCTGAGCATCTGAGAATGGGGGTGGGGTCATCAGGAGCTCCTGAGGGGTCTCTCCAGGGACTGTGCTGCCGACACCCCCCCTCCCAGTTCACAGGTGCATGTAAAGACTGGGTAGCTGATGTCCAAGGAGCTTGCTGAGCTGAGCAAAGCAGAGCAAAGCTGAGAAACCCAACTCCCCGGGGCAAAGGCTCACGCTGAGAGAGCCACAGGCAGAGTCCACACCAAGACGGCCACCCAAGAGTACAGCTAGATACAGCCGGATCAGGAGACTAAGCTAACTCTTTTTGCAGTTGTCATGGTGAAAAATCCCAGGACAATCCCACAAAAATGATTTTAAAAAAAAATCACAGGCAAGAGAGTTTAGTAAAGTAGCCAATGGCAAAACTAAGCATCAAGAGCCATTGTCCTTTGCGTGTGCAGTAGGTGAGATAAAATTCAACACCAGACTGTTGGGCACAACAACAGATGTGTGTGCTGGTAAAACCTTAATGAGAAATGCATAAAACACTCAGGAAAGTTGAAAAACAATCCTGAAAGATTCAAGCGTACACTGAAACCAGCAGGACACATTAGTCCCCAGTGACGTCATCGGCAGAACACTGGTGCCTTCCTTCAGATTAACAACTAACTGGCTGTGAGATAGGGCACATGAGCAATCGGGTGGTCACCTAACTGGCAAATTTACCCATGAAATACTCAGAAACACGGTGTAGGTGACCCTCTCACCATTTCCACTAAACATCAGGTTGGAAACATGGGCCAGTGAGATGAGGGTGGTCGGAGGGAAGATGGGTGATTCAAAGGAAAAACAACAAACAGCTTACTGGCAGCTGGCCAAAAGGTATGTGCTTCTAAGATAACAGGCAATGTTAAAAATCAACTGGGAGGCCAGGTGGTGGTGGCACACGCCTTTAATCTCAGCACTGGAGGCAGAGCCAGGTGGATCTCTGTGAGTTCAAGGCCAGCCTGATCTACAGAGCAAGATCCAAGACAGGCACCAAAACTACACGGAGAAACCCTGTCTCAAAAACCAAAAACCAAACAAAACCAAAACAAAACAAAACAAACAAAAAGAGAGAGAGAGAGAGAGAGAAACTGAAGAAAGAATACACTGCCCACATCAACCCACAGAGGGCAGTGCATCAGTGTGTTTCAAGCTGATCTGCAGATTCAGGGCACTCACCAAATACCTTAGGTGCTAGAAAACTGATGTCAGCAAACTGGTTCCAAAATGAGTAAGGGGTAACAAAGGAGCTAGAATCATGAAAGCAATCCTGAAAAGGAATGAGGTTGGAAGGCTGACACTGTGCAATTGTAATATATACTATGGAGCTGCAGAAACTGCTGTGTGCTGTTGGCAGAAACAAAAGTCACAGACCGATGAAATAGATGCCTAGATCAGTGGGACAGAAGAGAGAGCCCAGGAACCACCACACGAATAGACCCAAGTGTGTTTATTGACAAAAATAAAAATAAAGACACAACATTGGTAGGTAGGGAAGGTGGGTGGACCTAGGAGGAGTTGGGCGAGGAGATGAATATGGTCAAAGTAGACTGTGAGACGTTCCCCAAGAACTAATAAAAATGGGGGGAGGAGGGGAGGATTCTTTTAAAAAGACAAAGAGTAAATGCAAACTTTAACCCATCTCATGCCTTACACTAATACATCCCAACAGGGTCATAGATGCCCTGCTCCTTAAAACACATTCTGTGAGGGAAACAGGTATGTGGACACCCAGGGTCTCCAAGGATCCTAACTCTCAAATCTCTCCTACCAGAGACATCTCTGTGCACAGCATCATGCTGCTGCTGCTTTTGTTTATAACATATGGGAGAGTCTGCCCAGGTGAATATTCTCTCAATCAAGCCATCAGGAAGGAATTTACAAGGTAGGAGGTTTGGGGAGCTCTTGCAGATCTGGGGAATGTGGCACTAGTTCATGGTCACTGCACTCACACACCCAAAGAGAACTCCAAGTTCTGGTTCCAGAAACAGTTTCTTCCAGAAGGGGGCGCCCTACAGACCCTCTACCCTCTCCTTAAGTCATTTCACCTTTTTAGACTGAGCTTAGAGAAAGGTCTTCATCACGGTTGCTCCTTGTGCAGACTTTGGGCATGTGCTTGGCATCTCATTTGGGGTCAATAATGAAAGAAATTCTCAGAACAAGGAGTGATACCATCAATTTTGCAGAAAAACATCAGTGTTCTTCCACCAAAGGCTACAGTTGCAATTTATGGTTCATGACACCCAATTTCAAAGTGCCACGCTCTGTCAAGCTCTCTACCACGTCTGGAGTGTTCATTTGCTTTCTTACTTTTAAATGCAACAGACTTCCATCATAAGGAAACACTAACCAAGTAAACAGTCCAAGGCAGAGGCACACTCTCGTGGCAACTGCCATGTGGATATTTTGGGCATCTCAACACCTCTCAGATTAGGATGCCCAAAGAGATGAGTGGACACACGTAATAGAGCATTCCTTTGTCAGTGAATTTTGCTAACTCAGGCAATTTCTCCAAGGCACTTTGACTCTAGCAATATGAATAGTTGCTTGCTTCCTAGTGATAGGGGTATAACAATTCCATAAGTTGAGGGGTTTCCTTTCTCTTTCTGTAGGGAATATTTTAATACTCATTTCTGTAGCGTTTTTATGAATGTGTTGCTTTTGATTCTCATTCAGTTTTATATAAATATATTTGTCACATTTTTGGGCAGGAGAGGGCAGTAGTAAAATCCATTTCATCTTTTTGATTTAAGGGCGTATTTTTAGATTCTGTAAGACAGAAGAACACTGGTACTCTGTTAGATGGTGACTCACGAATGTCATTCCCTGTATTTTTATGACTGTATTGATCTTTAACAAGGTCCTGCCTGGAAGTCCCAATACTTGGACTTGCCATAGCTCAGTAATCTCACCTCTTACCGCTGTAGCTTTGGGGAAGCTACATGGTATTTTCTGGCAAAGCTTTCTACTCTGACAACTTAGTTCTTCCAACTGAACAGGTGCATAGACTGTGCCAGGAGGGGGCGCTGTGAGCAAAACAAAGAGACCGTGTGGGGCATTTTCTGTAGACACAGAAATCAAAACGCTAGAAACACCGATTTGGCTAATTTACTGCACTCTCACATTTCATGGTGTTCTTTTTACTAGACCTTTCTCATATGCCTCTTGATAGTCAATTCTGGCTGAGATAATATCTGTAAGATCCCTATGTGCACTTGGGCCTGGTATGCTCGGGTACACTGCTGAGATGTTGACCCAGGTGTGCTTAAACACCTTATGTTTCCCACGACGTAGAGAAACCTCACTGCCTCTTGTAGGTCTGGTCACCAGGCAGGCCATATTTATATATCCTGGTTCAAAATGGAATGTTTAAAGTGGACCCTGTCTGCCTCACCCATCCCCCAGTACCTAATCCTAAAAATCAACAAGTCCTGAGGGGCTGGTATTTGTAGCATTCCAGAGAGAGCTGGGGACCAAACCCAGGAGAAGCGAATCCTATGGAATCCAGGGAGGGCTCTCGTGGCTCCCCAAGGCAGGCAGTCCTTTGGCTCCGGGCTGCAGTGTCCTCCTCTATTAACCTCAGAAGAGGACAGTCTAGATTTCTTCAACAACAACAAAATATTACCCTAGTAGCAGACTTGTGACATTTAATCTGTGCTTGAAGTACTTCTGAACTCAAAGTCTTCATGAAATCCCAAGACAACAAAATAAAACTAAGCCACGAGTTAGGTGCTGGTAACTGGAGGCAGAGCCAGGCTCCATCCCAGTGAGCTGAGATTGATTGCTCATGTCTTTTCCCCCTCACTGCACTGCTGCTATGGGCCATTTGATAGAGTCGCTGTAATTAGTACACACAGGACCAGGACATGCTTGGATCCTCCAGTTCACCTCCTGCTCTCCAGTTTGCTGGCAAAGTGCAGGAGACGATTCCTGTGGTGGGGGATGTGTGAGCTCTGGGTCACCACACAGGTGTTTTTTCAATGATGTCCCAACAAGGAGCAAGTTGCAGAGAGTGATGCTTAAATATGGGCAAAGCCGCCTCGGGTTGGTTTCCCAGCACCTTCAAAAGTTTTGTGGGGAGCTGGAGAGATGGCTCAGCAGTTAAGAGTACTGGCTGGTACTCTTAACTCTGGTTCACAACCATCTGTAACTCTAGTTCCAGGGGATTCAACGCCCCCTTCTGGCCTCCAAAGGCACCAGGCACCCATATGGTGCACAGACATGCATGCAAGGAAAACACCCATACATGTAAAAATAAGCAATATCTAAAAAATTTTAAGTGTTCTGGGAATTCAGTGTGGATATTAAATGTCACTAGTTTGTTTTTTAAAACAGATATGGGACATACTAAGTGACAAGTATGCAGCCAGCATGTCTGCCAAACAACCCTCCCTGCCTCCGGCTCTTCGACCTTCTTTGTCTAATGCTCTCCCTGAGAGGTTGGAACTATTTTCAGGGCTTTATCTGGGCCCTACCCTGACTTTGCCCCTTTCTCTCCTCCTTGCCGGGAAATGCACTGTTTCTTCATCACAGCCTCTAGATACCTCTGCAATTCTCCCCACTTGCTCAGAATTTGACAAGACCTTTGGCCAAATGTTTGGAGAAGTGTGAGATTGAGAACTAGCAGTCAGTCGGGGGCCTACCTAGATTAGGCTCCAGTCGTACAAAACAAACACTTGAATGGGTAGGAGATGATCTCTACCTAAGAAGAGGGAACTAGAGCTGGAGAAGGCTCTGTGGTTAAGAGAGCGTAGTGTTCCATTCCAGCATCCATGTCCAGCAGCTCACAACTGCCTGTAACTCCAGTTGCAGGGACTCAGTTCTCTCATTTGGCCTCTGCAGTTGTTACCTGCACACACATCTCTGTCTCTCTCTGTCTCTCTGTCTCTCTGTCTCTCTGTCTCTCTCTCTCACACATACACACACACACTCGGAGGGGGGCATAAATAAAAATTTTGGAGAAGAGGATGGAAGGAAGGAAAGATGGAAGGAAGGAAGGAAGGAAGGAAGGAAGGAAGGAAGGAAGGAAGGAAGGAAGGAAAAGTAACTAAAAGTAGTCACGTCAATGGCTGCTGGGTTTTTGCTCATATATACTATGGAAATTTTGAACGGATTTACAGTATATATAAATTGCTGGCGGGGGAGTATTTGTTTCTCTCTGTTAACATATTTGAAGGCTTTTCCTTGCCCTTGATTTCTTTTTTATTAAACTGTCCAGCTTGTTCTTTTTTTAACATGGTTTGTAAGATATTACAGCACCTTCTTTCCTTCTGTCGCCTCCCAAGCCACTCTTAAGGAGTTCCCGCCTGCCACCCAGGCAGAGGCTTTCTGGCAGGAAACATTGGCCTGCCAGCTTCTGTGGTGTGAGTACTTCTGCTGTGGCTCTCCTCAGGTGATGGAGGTCATGTCCCTGAACATGGAGTTAAGAGATGCCTGCAGCTGGCTTTCTGCCTGGTGCACACTAGCTCAAGTGACCGGTTCCCTGTAGCTTGGCTAACCTGACCTCCACCAAAAATGCTCAGGACAGTCCATCTGCCCCCAGTTGATGACCTCAGCTGAGGTCGAGCCTACTTCATTATCAACTGTTAAACATCTCATGGAATTGGATGCTGTGCTAAAAATGAAAAACAGAAGCGTTGACGGGTGAAATTTTGTACCACTGTAAAGTCAAAATATTATCAGTTGAAACTCTTTTATTATTGGCTGCATGTACATGCATACACACATGCATACATACATACATACATACACAGAAGAACAGGAATTTGGTCTTGTTTTCCAGTGTCTAGAAGGCTGCCTGGTGCTTAGTAGTTATACAGTAATGTTTGTTGAGTGAATGAGCGAGTGAATGAACAAGTGGTTTTTCCTGCTGTTTCTCTTCCCTCTGCCACTGAGGAGCAAAGTGAATCCTGGGGTTGTACCTCATACTGCAGCTTGTTTTGGCTTAATTCTCACAGAATACCTGGAACATGGGTGGGGAAAAAAATAGCAGAAAAAAAGCAACCAACTTTTCCCTTGTTGTTCTTATGGATTCATGCACACTTTTTGTTTTGTTCTTGGATTAAGAAATGCCAGACACTCCTTTGGGGACCTGAGCAGCACCGATGACTGGTGGGACTGGACTCTGAGCACGTTGCTGGATGGGCTGCATCCAGAAGGACCCTCTGTTGGAGCCCAGGGGGCTCAGGTGGGTATTCATTTCCTGTCTGTCAAAAACCATATGGCAGTGAGGGGAACCACAAGGCAGCGTAGGGCCTGCTCCATGGCACTACATCAGGCAAAACAACCTGTTAGTATCCTTGCCTGGAGTCTCCTAAGACTCCATGATGGCCCGTGATGGCCTTCTAAGTTATTCACTCCCTCCAGTCAATGCTTGTCAGTTCAAGCAGGGCCTGGACACTTTAACAGGGGTTCAAGGTGAGACTGAGGAAGAAGGTAGCTTACTGCCAGCATGACAAGGGCTCAGGAGTCCCCAGAGCAGAAGTGGAGCCCACGGCTAAGGCAGCAGCATTAGGGAAGCTTCCAGAGAGGGCCAAGGCTGGTCCTGAGTTTGGACTGTCCCGTTTCTCATTTATAGTTCGCTTTCTCCCCTTTTTGAAAAATATAAGAAATTTGTCTTACATTCCTCAAACATTTTGTCATTTTATCATTCCTCATTTCATTTTCTTGTATTCCATGAGTGTCATGGGGACGCCTGGGGTCCTCCACATGAGGGAGACTTCAAGAGGAAGGCATTTGAATGCTTTCCTTTTCCAAAGAGGAGGCTAGAGGATGGGGGTGTTGGCTGCATCTGCAGAAAGTTGGTTTCTGGAGTACTGGTTGCATCCTCCCTCGGGTTCTCAGGACAATGAACTTCTGACTCTGCAGATGCAGTGACCTGTGCTCCCCGACCCTTGTCAGTGATGCTGTACAGTGTCAATCGAAGGTCACTGTGCTCTAACACTCTGTGTCGCTTCCTCTCTCAGCCTGGAGCTCTCGGAGGGCAGTGCCATCTCATAGGCCCTTCTGTGATCAAGCAGCTGAAGGTTTCTTCCGGTACTGCATGCACAGTAAGTACACCGGGAGACTCGGGGACAGGGGCCGGCAGATCAGTTAAGCTCCTCGGACAGTTGGGAGGTAGTGTGAGATTTCCAGGTGCCAGGGCCAACTTTCCTTCTGCCCTTTCCAAGCACCCTTTTGTATCCTCTACATTCTTCCCCAGAACTGTTCTCTTCACTTCTAGAGTTGGCATTCTAGGCAAAAGGAGACTCTTTCTTCTAACACCCTGAAACTAGAATATTCTTGTATTATTTTCTGATGGGGAAGGGTGCCCGGAGACAGCATCACTCCATAAACGCAATGTTCTGCAGACTGGCCAGCCCCACACAGCTAACTCCTCTGCTGCAGCCTTCAGCAGGCACAGCCTTGATCCCAGAGATCATGAAGTAGGCTGCAGAATGGTCCTTGAAAGTGGTAGGGTCCCTGACTACATAGTTGGCTGTACTCTGTACGGATAGAGCTTGGGAGCCCCACAATGCAGATGGACTTGGGGACAAGGATTGATTGGGGGGGTTACTTGATTGGTACTTTGTGCTATAGCCTCCCAGGCCATTCTCAGAGCTCATGGAAGATGCACTACGTACACAGAGTCATGACCTTGACCTTGAGAACCAAAATGTGACGCCTGGTGGTCCTGAGGCCTGTGGGGTGAAGAAGGAGAGCTCCATGCACAGCCTAGGAAGAACAAGGTCAGTGAGCATCAGCAAGAGGCTCTGAGGCCCCATGCTTCAAGGTGAGGCATATCTGCTGTGGGCTCAGCTTCTGGGCAGGCCAGCACTATGAGGGCCTGAGCAGTGCTTCAGAACAGTAGTGTGGAAGAACTCAGACTCCAGTGTTCAGACCCGAGTGCATAGAGGAGAACAGAACGGGACATTCATTAAGAGTGGCTGCCAGAGCCTGCAGAGTCATGGAGGCAGTCCTTTGCTCACTGTGTGCCAAGCAGGGTGCTCACGTGGTTTTGATTATTTGATTATCTCCTCCCCTAACTCCTAGGAGAGCACAAATGTGTAGCCGGAGGCTTTTGTGTGTCCTGCCCTGTCCCTCAGACGCTTATAAAATAATCACTCAGAGACTTACATTAATTATAAATGCCAGGCTTATTACTACCTCTTACAACTTAAATTAACCCATTTATATTAATCTATATTTTACCATGTGGTCATGGCATTACTGGTCTGCTAGCATCTTGCTCCTTGGGCGGCTAGATGGCATTTGCCAGACTCCATTCTTCTTCTCCTGTATCTCTGCTTGGATTTCCTGCCTGACTCTACCCTGCCTTGCCATAGGCCAAAGCAGCTTCCTTATTAACCAATGAGAGCAACACATATTCACAGCATACAGAAGGACATTCACATCATAGAGGCTACCTTTAACTGCACTGAGCAGAAGAGGAGTGGGTTTTCCATCATGTATAGATACGGCACACATATACTATGCTTCCTATAGCCCAGCCTGTAGTCAGGTGCCCTGCCAGTTCTACAGGATGCCCTAGGCCCAGTTCATGGTGCGGCCTACACCACAGAATGGAGCTTTGCATAGGAAAATCAATCTGTGCAGTTATAGTAGTGTGCCCAGGCCCCCCCAAAAGGACATGATTTGCTACTAAATATGAATTAGTATAGTCTCTTTCTATCCATGCGGTCCACTGTAAAAAGAAGGATTTGAATATTTGCAAGCCCTTGGGGAGGGCTACTGGGCATCTCTCCCTCACAGGGCACAGGTGAGGGTAGTCACTGTCTGTTGGCTGGGAAAGAGGGACAATGGGGTCCTGGTGGGGACCCTAACCCACAGGAGGACTGTCTCTGCAAAAATCGGAAGTGTAGGGGTCATCTGTCCCCATGAAGGCTGGCATTGGGTACACTGGGCATGGTTCCACAAATGCGATTTTCACTGGACTCCCAAGCCTGGTTTCCTGTCCTCCCTCTGAACCTGACCTGCTTTCTAGGCATGAAGCCCACTCAGCCCTGACCGCCCTCAGGGCCAACAGGTGGATCGATCAGGGCACCAAGGCCATGTCTGTGCACTTCACTCTCTACAACCCTCCAACACGACTCTTCACAAGTGTGACCCTAGGCGCAGAGCTGCTCTCCACGGGAGGCCTTGTCCCCTCATCCTTTGTAGAGTCGTTCAGCATCTTCTATAATGCCTCAGTCCCGCAGTACCTTCTTAAGCTTTCTGAGGTAAGTTCACTTGTCCTGGGCCTCCTGAATGGACACAGGGAACTAGGGGCTCCACCTGTGCTAAATACCACTCCAGGCTAAATACCTTCTACCACCATGGAACTAGGGCCCTCCATTGGCCCACCCATGTAATTTTTATTATGTCCCTTTCATGCAGTATGAATCATAGAATAAGTGTTGGGACTGGAGACAAGGAAGATCCCCAATGGGGAAACCAACCATCATATACAAAATGAGCACAAATATTCAACTGCTTCGATGTACTAAATTCATTGTGGAGGCTTAGTCAGCCCCAGCCACCATAACAAAAGACTGTCACCCCTCGTTGTCCAACATTTAACTTTCTATAGTCAACCATAATCTGAAAATATGGAGTGGAATATTCCAGAAGTAAACGACGCCTACATTTTAAACAACCTTACAGTGTATTGTGGTGTAATCACAGTGTGTTGTTATGATTGTTCTATTTTATTATTGGTTATTACTGTTAATCAGTTACTATGCCAAATTTAGAAACTAAGCCTTATCATAACTGGCTATGCATTTATAAGAGCGCTACAGTATTCATAGGGTTTGTCACTATTGAAATTTCAGACAGCCACTGGGGACTGCCACGTATCCCTGTCAGGCGAACAGGACTACTTTCTGCTGGCTGGGTGGCTTAAATAACAGACATCTATCTAACAAAGACCTGGCAGCTAGAAACCCCAAATCCAGTCGTGGCAATGCTGGGCTATAGTGAAGACTTCTTCCTTGGTGGTGAGAGGCCATCTTCTCACTGTTTCACAGCCTGGCTCTATTTCTGCACCAGTGAACAAGGAGAAAGTATGTGCCCTTTGGGCTTCAGTATGTGTATAGACCCCAATGTTATAGAAACAGGGCCCCAGCTCATGCCTGTACCTAGCCTTAACTACTTCCATTGAGGTCTGCCTCCAAATAGAGACATTATGGGGTTTGGGGCTCCAAAACATTAATTTGGGGATATCTGTCACCCGCCACCCAGTCCATAACTCAAGGTGCCAGTGGTTCACGTTGCTTCAGTGAACAGTCAAAAGCCTCAGCAGCCCCCTCTCCATGGTTTGCCACTGGCTTTGTATCTTATTTTGTGTTTCTCTCTGAAGGAACCATGTTCTGCTGTTGGACAAGTCAAGTCTACTTGGCTTCAGGAAGGGAAAGAAGTCTAGGGAGTGTTAGAGGTAGCCACGGCTGAGACTGGAACGGGATAAGCATGAAGGACAAGTGTGGACTACTGGGAAGGGCTAGGAGAGGAGAGGCTCTTGCCTTAGGCACCAAAAAAGAAAAAGTAGTCAGAAAACAAGGTAAATAGTATGCTAGTGTGATATCTTAAAATATTAGAATTCATGCAGAAAAAAAAAAATGAAGCCATGTTGGGCAAAATGTCAAGAGTTTAGAAAACCAGGTCAGTTCCCTGCCCTTTCTTTTGGCTCTATACTATGGAGGAAATGGAGACACTGAGTAGAGGTAGCCTCTCTGACACAGGCTCTTTATGCAGAACAATGACACTGAAGTATTTTTACCTGAAAGGAAAAATACTTTTATCAGGAGTCTTATCAATAGTAACTACTTCCAACGTCACTGTGGTTCCCCACTGGAGTGGAGAGGCAGTCTCCAGGATAACGGGGCACAGCACCACTGTTTGAGGACTCAAAGCCAACTTGGTTCTAATTAGGTCTGCAATTTGTTAAAGTGGACCCACAAAGACACAGTACACAGAGCTCCCAGAGAGGATGGAGAATTCACAAAGCCCCTGCTGATGGCTTTCAATTTCCTGTAAACTTGTGAATAAATGGTAGGCTGGCATGGTGAGCTGGTAGTGGCTGTGGACACCCACATGCTTTATTCCCATGCCTCAGGGTCAATCGCACATCTTAATGCTTTACGTGGAATTGGGTCTCTGAGAGTGTTTAGTGTGAAGGGATACCAAGCTGCCCAGGTGCCTTCTGAAGGGCTAGTTTGTTATCAAATGCTCTCGAGAAGGAATGAGGCTTGTACCATGCCCACGGAAATGGTGATGGGCGACGGAACCAGGCAGAAGTCTAGACCTTGAAAAAACCCCTTAGCTGAACCTTCCTTTGTCTCACTTATTTTTGTCCCATCCCAGCTGGTGTTCCTGGTACTCAACGTGACCCACCTCTGTTTCCAGCTCTGGGGAATGGCCACCAAGGGGGTCCTCAGCTACTGGAGAACACCGAGACACTGGCTGGAGGTAGCCTCTCTGATATAGTCTCTTTACGTGGAACAATGACACTAAAGTTTTATTTTGTTTTGTTTTGTTTTGTTTTTTGTTTGTTATTTTTTTTTTGAGCTGAGGATTGAACCCAGGGCCTTGCGCTTGCTAGGCAAGCGCTCTACCACTGAGCTAAATCCCCAACCCAGACACTAAAGTATTTTTATCTGAAAGGAAAAATCCTTTTATCAGGAAGTCTTATAGGTATGAATTCCAACCTCACTGTGGTTCTCCACTGTAGTGTAGAGGCAGAATAGCATTCGAAATCAGGTTTCCTTGGCATCTGATGGTGGTAGTGGTGTGTGTGTGTGTGTGTGTGTGTGTGTGTGTGTGTGTGTGTGTGTGTGTGTATGTGTGTTTATGTGTGTTTTGATATATAAACATGTGGATGCCAGAGGCCAGCCCTGGGTGTCATTTCTTGGATACCATCAATCTCTCTTTTTAAGACAGTGTCTCCCACTGTCCTGGAAATCACCAGTTAGACTAGGCTAGCTGACTGGAGAGTCCAAGGAATCCACCCGTCTGTCTCTCGCACATGGGGATTCCAAGCATGTGCCACCATGACTGGCATTTTCACATGGGCTCTGGAGATTGCACACATGTCCTCATGCCTACACTTTACCAACTGAGTCATCTCCTCAACCACCAATTTAATGTTTGACAGACAACTTGTCACCAGAGGGTCTAGGATGCCCACTGAGACTACCCTCAGCCAACTGAGGACCTTTCTCTCCTGTGTTGCAGCTCTCTATGGTTGGGATAGCCCTGGCCTACCATGCAGCCTGTGGTCATCTCACTACCCTTGCTGAGAACGTCACTGACCAGTTCCACAAAGGATTTCATCAGATGTATGTGGACCTAAGTCTGATGGTGTCATGGAATCAGGTACGATAGGGGATTTGAGGGTACCCAAAAGAAGCCATAACCGATGTTGCTCAGTGATGTCTATCATACAAGGACATCTGTCATAGAAGGTTCGGTGAGATGGGTTTGTTCTGTTGGATGGCAATGCTGTGAGCTCACAGATGGTGGCACTAGAAGCAGTGAGGGATATGGATAACTTCACTTGTGCCCACCAGCTGGGCATTCATGCATGCTATGTAGAGCAGAACTCAAGAGCCAGGGATGCCAATGTACTTGCAGTAGCATGAGGAAGCAGGTGTCAGTCAACATAGCCTACAGTAAGGAGGCTAGCTCTAACATGCTTAGATACATCACACCTGTCTTCCCCTTCCATCTGGCGATGGTCTTAAGTGCAGGTATTTTCTATAAGTGATGACTCCGAGGCTCAGGAAAAGACTTGAGGTCATAAAGGGGAGAAATACCACCTCCAAGTGCCTGTATCACTGTCTCCTAGACTTCCATCTGTAGAATAGGACCTCTACCAAGAAGACCAAGTAGAATATGCAGGATGGGCCCCATAAGTCCCTGGAAGGAGACCTGTAGGTCAGGGGATCCTATCACAACCAGCCAGGCTCCCCAGAGGTCCACTGCTTCATGCCACAGTGGATATATGCCAACTGAATCTATTATTCCTATCTTACTCTGGTATAGCCACAGCTAACACCTCTACCTACCCACAGATTCTCTAAGTCTTTTTTTCTACCTACCTTGAGGGCTGTCAATTCCCCAGGGCCATCCTGTACCTAGAGTACCTTCACACCCTGGACAAGATGCTCCCAGAACAACCTGAAAATTGGGGGGACTGGTTCCCCTCTAACCTCAGTGCTCCCAGCTCCACCTCTTCTCTGGCTCTCCTTGTGATGAACCCTGGGCCCAGATTTCTTTTCTGCTGAGTGGGGAGCCTTTGAGGGAACAAGGATGGTGTTCTTCCTCCACCACAGCTCCAGCCTTCCTTTTCTGGATAAGTGGTACCACTGTTGTCCCTGTCTCCTCGGAGGGTATATCAACTTCCACCCATCTTCTCTTCTCCACCTTCTCACCATCTATACTCCCAGTAAATCTTGGAGCAGAAGAAACACAGTGTTCCCAAGATAACTGCTACAGCTGGGGAAACTGAGGCCCAGAGGGTGTCAGGACCTTCCTATAGCCAGAGTGGCCCGGCTGTGGAAACACCAGAGACTCATCAGCCTGGGGGCCGTGTGTTGAAGGATCCCAAGCAGAGGACAATCTGGGTTTCTTCCTGGAGGACAAGAATACAAATCATCTTCCTTTTGCAGATGTCCCTAGTCCTGTGACTTTATGAGTCAGTCCTGGGCCCTCCCAGGCTAAGAAGAGAGCCCTTACATGAGGGAAACCCTGAAGCTATACTTCCTATGCCTGAGTGTTGAGCTCCATAAGCACTCATGAGTTCCAAGGCTAGGCACAAACCAGGTAGACATCATCTTCACATCATGAGCAGCTGGAACTCCCTTACTGTGCCTGCCTCCTCTACTTCCTGCTCATCACCCCCATGGTATTGTGCAACCCATGCTTTGTGCACATTGCTGATCCTAGCAGGGACTCGTTGCATGGAGAGCACCGTAGGCCATCTCTGTGCTAAGCACCAGGAGTAGGATTCCAGACACTTCTGCATCTTGGATTATAATTTCTGCAACTTGTAGGAGCCTAGCATGCCAATCACAAAAGTTGGGAAAATCATCTTCTTTTTATCCACACAAGACAGGAAGCTCTGTTCCTTTCTGTCCTAAAACAGGAAGTCTTAAAACACATTAGCCTAACACGTCATGGCTCCCCCAGCATTCAGAACCCCAGGATGCCGCTCTTCAGGTTCTCCCAGGTGTGAGCAATGTCTTTCTACACAGTAGTGAGCAGCTCAGGCTGTTCCAAGCACCTTCTCTTTGTTTTAGGACGTTTTGTTCTCAGTCTCAGTTATTCTGTGAAATATGTAAAGTTAAAGAAGAGCTGGGTCAGCCACAGCCACCCCAGGACCTCCTTGCAAGCACTTAGCATCTACTGAGCTGTGTGTGATACAGTATGATGTGGTTGTCTGTCACACACCAAGAGGCCAGAAGCTCCAGGAAGGAAGTTTAGCAGCTTGTTCACGACTGTTCCCCAGCAGCAACATGGGACCAGATGATGACTCTCTGTTCCACTGTTGGCCTCACTTTCTCATCACTGGTGGGCTTTCTGGTCTACCTTTCCTGTGTGTCTGTATTCATCAGCACTTTTTCTACCAGGGGGGTTCAGCTCACTTTCTGTCTGTTCTACCCCAGAACCTCAGCTATGCATCAGCCTGGATCCCAGCTCCATCATAGCCTGGAGTTCCTTTCCTGAAACACTTTGTAGGATGCCCTTCCCACTGGTGTGGGCAGAGCAGCTCTTTGAGGGGTGTAGTGAGGAGAAACATCAGTCTGTCAGGACACTCTGAGCACTGGGCCTCCGAAATGGGTTCCCCTTCCACACCCTTCTTCCCTCACAGCGTGCTGTCTTTCTGGGCATGTTTGCTGTTGCCAAAATCTTGCCTGGCATGACTCCCTCTTCCCTGGGGATTCTATTACAGCCCGGTGTCAATTTCTGGGCCTTCACTTAGCTCTTGAGTAAGAGCTGACCTGGTAAAGCTTCATCCCGCCCCACACTCACATCAGCATTCTGGCCCTGCATCATTTGTCCCATCACCAGGAAATTATTCATTTTCACCACCCAGTGCCCGGGGAACAGCTCAAGCTGATCAGAGCTGAGTGCCTCTAACTCTCCTCTCCACAGGGCTTAGCTTGACGAACTGTAAAGGAGTTTATAAATTTGATGTGCAAATATTTCCATTTCATTCCGAATATACATTATTTTAGATGTTTTGATCTCAATAAAAACACTTAGTAAATATCTCTGCTTATTATCACCTGTTAAATTGCAGCTACCAGGAAATTTGCAGTTCTGCCCAGGTCTCACATTGTATTTCACCTACCCAGGGCGGGTTACAGTGTCAACTGTCTCCATTTTTTCCCAAGCACAGCCATGTCTTACTGTCTTGAAGGGAGCATGGTTGTGCCAAGCATATTTCACATAACCACATACTATCTAGTGAAACAGGTAATGGTAGCCCATCCACACCACAAATGACCCCACCCGTACTCCAAGAGGATGAGCATCACAGTCCAGTCAGAAGCAGCAGTGGAAATAGCCTCTGGTCTTAGAGCCAGTTACCTGAGAAGTGAACTGTGACGTATTATGGGAGGCCTTCAGAGCACTTTGTCACGGTCTGAGTCCAGATGCCCTTGTAGCTGCAGCCTGTGGCCTTAGCCTCAGCTTTTCTTTAACTCTGTGAGTGGGCCACGCTTTCTTCAAGACCATGGTACAAAACTTAAGGGGTTTTCTAAGATGAGAGAGAGAGGAAGAATATGCATGCATATCCCTCTTGGTACATGATAGATATCCTATAAGTAAATATGATAATGAAAACAGTTAGCAAGGCTTTCTGGTATCCTTCCAATCAGATATAGGCAAGAAAGGGGTCCACAGAGAGACCACAGCTGTGCTCTCCAGTCTCATGGCCCCTGACCCCTTGAGAGTATAGAGAATGAAGTATGGCCAGCTCAAATTGAGACGTACTCCAAATATAAAAATACTTGTTGAATTTCACAAATTTAATATGCAAACGTCCCCACTTGTGCTGAATGCACGTGTTATTTTACATGTTGGTCTAAATAAAATGCAAAGTAAATCACTGTGCTTATTTTCACCTGTTAAATTGCAGCTACCAGAAAGTGGGCAGCTCTACCCAGGTCTCACATTGTAGGTCTCCTATCCAGTACTGGCTATGCTGTCAATCATCCCTGTCTTTCCCAGGCACAGCTGAGTCTTACTGATTTGAAGGGGCCACAGGTGTGCCAGCCTCTCACAGCTTCCCTGGGCCTCCGTTGTCAGAGGTGGCTGCTGGTCATTTCCCAAACAAACTGAAAACCTTGATCCTTTGCTCCCGTGGAGTTCTAGCATGCAGCATTCCTCTCTTTCTCTTGGGTAAAGTAGATGAGGCCATGTACCGAAGGCCTTTCCCAGCGAGTCTTAGGCAGATGCACCGCTTCTGAGTGACCCAGGAGTTATGGGTACCTGTGTTGGACCTGGACTCTGAGTGTGCCCCTGGCTCATCCTGCTGTGTCTTTTGTCCCATCACTGTGTTTATGTGAGCCATAGACTACAAAGCTATAATGTGGGGACCCTCCTATTTATCACAGGATTAAATTTTCACTATCTTCAAGGAAAGCATTGCTAACATGTTACATGATGAGGGAGCATCCTATCGATGCTGCCACGGCCGTTTCCTTACAGCACAGTGGACTGAAGCTCAGAGGGGAACCAGCCAGACATGCTCTGCTATCTCTATCAGCCTGGCCCTCCTAAAGATGTCTTACAATGTGTCCTGACTCCTGCTTCTGACTTGTGTTCCTCTGTAGATACTGACACTTGGTGTCCCTGAAAGACCTGGTGTCCCTGGGAGACCTGTGGTCTAGACAACTCCTTAAATGGACATGTGTCTCAGCATAGCTCACAGGTGTATGCCTGCGCCTACACCTCCTTGTTATTATTGGCAGGACACACTGACCCGCTGTGTTCTTCCCTTAGAGGGCAAGATGGCTCCGGGGAATCCTCCTGTTCCTCTGGATGTTGAAATGTGTTCACTTCCTCGGCTTCCTGAGCACCATGGCATCCTTCTCAGCAGGGACACATTCGTCTCTCTCCAGAGCCTTTGCACCAGCAGTAAGAATTCTCTCCCCTTCTCCAGTGATTTCCTTAGCCAACCAGCACACTGGTTCACCCTAGTCAGGGAATAGCAAACTTCTCACAGGGTGACACACCATCCAGAATTCTAGCCACTGAATCCATTATGGTGGGGTTTAGATAAGGGGTATCAGTATTATAATTGCGTTTGTGACAGCAATAGCCATGATTTATTAAACACTGGCTTTGTGTTACACTTTCCCACAGCGTATTATGGTTATCTCCTGTGGTTATCACCACCTACAGATCTCTCCCTAAGTGTCAGGAATGCTGTGGAGGGCCTCTCGTATGTGAACATGCTTAATGATCACAATGGACTGTGGGTAGGAAAGGTGGTTTTCTCAGATGATGGAGCAAGAAGCTGAGAAAGGGGATGACATTGGTCTTGGGACTGTAACTTTCAGGTGCTTCAATAGCCACATGCTGCTTCTCCCCTCATCTGTCACCCAAGCCCTGCATACAGAGACTTCTCCTCTCACACGCCAGAACCCCCTTTGCATTATTTGCCTCCCTTGAGGAACCACACAGCATCAATAGAACACAGAAGTACACCCCAGTCAGAACAAAAGAGCATCATGGGTAGATGGTGCTCAGCTGTTTGCATGGGTGCTTGGCAACACCTGAGCTCTGTGCCAGTACAGGGCAAGTCCCCCTGCAGGGATGGGACAAAAGTTCTGACTGGAGAGTGAAGGACCAAACCCAGGCCCAGAGTATAGCTTAGGCCCTGATGGTGTTCCTGGCTGCTGGTCCTGAGCAGGTCCCAGTTGAGAAGGAGCTCACTTTAGCCCCATAGGCCTAGTGCAGCACAAGTTCCCACCTCTGCCACAGACAGCATTGCTATCAAATTTGAGACAACTGCTTGGCCAGAGGACATTCTGGCTCTCAGAGCCCAGGGTTTACACAGGCCCACAAGGACCCAAGCAAGAGTCTCCTGCTCCAGAGAATATGGACCTTGCTGGTCCTATGCTTGGAGGAACAGGCCAGAAAATGAGAGAAGAAGGAGTAGATCTCAGAGTCTACAGCTACACTTAAAAACCCAGGCTGCCCCTACCCAATCACAGATGTCACCAGAGGCCAGCTAATAAACCTTCCGGGAAACATATGGCTGATGTGTGCCCAAGAAGGTTGCTTGCCTTAGAAACGGTATAGATCTACGGGGTCCCGACCTAACAATAAACTGTTATTGACACCATTTAGCATTATATAAAAGTGCTTTTATGTTAAGAAAATCTCAAGATATAATAAATGATATCTAACAAATGTAGCAGCATTTGCACTGTCCAAAGTGTGTGTGTGTGTTGTGGGTGAGTCAGGGCCCTCATCTCGACTTGCTGAGATGTAGTTTGTGTTTGTGGTTGTTGGCTTGCCTGCTTTGCTTGTTGCATTTAAAAAATTGTTTGTATTTGTTTGTTGTTTGTTTGTGGGGGAGGGCGTGTGCACAGAGGTCAGAGGACAGTGCTTGGGAGTCTTCTCTGTTCCCTGTTCATGTGGGTTCATCAGGCTTGGCGATGTAATCCAGGGCACAGTGGAACTGCTGAAGCAGACCACTCTGTGGGTGGGAAGAAAGGTTTATTTGGGGGAAATTCAAAACTGCTAAGGCTGTCTCTTGGGGGTCAAAGAGTAGCAAAAGGTGGGGAGAGTCTTGCCAGTTTTACAAGGATTATCAGTGGGAGGGAGCATGTGAATGGAAACGGCCTGGAAGTTAGAGTTGGGAGGTGGTTTGTGGGGCAGAAGAGGTGGGGAGCTACCATGGGGACTATGATCTATTCCAGATATGTGTTAACAGAGAACTAGATGCCCCTTTTGCTGGAGGGAATTGCCGGTTGGGGCTTTCTACTAGCAATCCTTCTGTTGACCTGAGTCCAGCTTGAGCTGACCCTAAACTGTCAGTTATGATACTGTCAGTGGCACTGGCATTTTAGGGCGGCGAGTCCCTTTACCCACTGGGCAAAGTTGCCATTCCTTCTTTATTCTGTTTCAAGACCAGGCCTTATGTAACCTAGCCTGGTCTCAAACCCACTATAGAGCCAATGAGAGCCCTGAATTCCTGATGCTCCTGCCTCCACCTCAGAGCACTGAGATTGCAGGCATGTCCCACCACGCTGAGCCTAGACTACACTTTCTTCCTCCTCGTTCCCACAGAGATGTGTGCCAACCCACTTGAGTTGAGGGTATTCAATGAGTGCCGGGCAGGAGACAAGGAATTCTAAATGCAGGGCCGGGGAAACAAATGGAGGCCAGTGGTTCCTGAGACAGGTAGCAAGATGGTGGCCTGTCATCCAGACATCCCACCCGAGAAAGTGTGTCAGCCCTGGAGCTGGTTTCAGTAGAGAGTGTGACACAAACTGGGTGGTGACACTACAAGTAAGACCCCAAGTCAAGTCCCTGTCTCTAACAGCCAGACCACAAGCTTAACCAGAACCAGTTTGCCTCTACGGAGCCCTTCCCGATTCTTCTTAGTCGTTATCTTTACATAGCCCATGCTGGGTGCTAGACAAGTATAGGTCATCATAGTAGCAGTAGCCCCATATAGGAGAAGTCCAGTGTACAGGCAAGATGCTCAAGGCCAAAGATTGAAGGGGCAGGTCACTGATAGCAGAGGTGGCCAAAAAAGGGTGAGCCTCATTACGGCCAATCATCCATCATAGGCCCGCCCACATGGCTCATGTGCATGGACTGTGACCTGGCCATAAGACAGTCTCCAAAACTGGAGAGAAGTGGATTAAGGATGGGGGTATGGAGCTTAAAGAGCTCTGACAACAGAGAAAGGAGCACAGGTCACTTTTCAGAACTAATGAGTGACTTGGAAGGTGTAGACAGAGGTAGAAATACAGAAAGAGACCTAAGAGGGGCAGGTCTGATGGAGGCTGGCCTCTTTGGGATGAGATCCTAAACCAGGAAGACGAGCTGCACACAAAATCCCCTTCTCCAAGCTTTTAACCATTTAAAGTCATCTAGAAGTCCCCAAATAGCCCTCTTTCTTAAAGAGAGTTGACAGGCCAGCATCCTGGGGTTTTCTCCCTGCAGCTGTTGGGGACCCTGTTGCTGGCCGCCCATCCCCACTTGTGCCAGTTCCTGCTCTCCACCGGGACGCCATCACCTGGCACCTCTACAGATGCATTTCCTGGGCTGCTGCTTCAGTTTCTGGGAAGAAGCCCGAAGGACGCACTGCACCATCGTTTGGAGTCTGACCATCAAGCCGTGACTTGTTACTCTGGGGTCCTCTTTCTGCTGGCGGCAACGCTGTGTTTCGGAATGGTATGTAGATCCCCCGATGCATCCTAGACCTTACAGTCAAAGTTTATAAAGGTCTCATCTGCTATCAGGATAAAATGATCTCTGTCCATATAGACAGGCAAGTCCAAACTGCCCTGGCTAGATCTCATGGGAACATAAGACAAACCCTCCCCGGATCTACCTGATCTGCCCTGTGAGGGGGAGCTCTCCCTTCACTGAGAACAGTCCAACAAGACCACAGCTACTCCTCCTCAGGACACTGCCTTCCTGGTCCCCTACTTGCTGATTTACATCTCTTCTCACCCTTGACTTGATCTCAGGCTGCTTCTACTGAATCCCTCCTGTGTACACTCTATTCTTTTTTTTTTTTTTTTTTTTTTTTTTGGTTTTTCGAGACAGGGTTTCTCAGTGAAACAGTCCTGGCTAACCTGGAACTCATTCTGTAGACGAGGCTGGCCTCGAACTCACAGAGATCTGCCTGCCTCTGCCTCCTGAGGGCTGGGATTAAAGGTGTGCGCCACCACCACCCAGCCCACCATACTCATTTTTAAAAGATGGTGTTCAGTGTGACACTTTCACAAACACAGTCCCAGCCAGCTGGTTCTCCCCTTAAACTCTAAGAAGACCTCATCAAGTCAGGGTCCTAGATAGTCCTTTTTGTCTCCCTTTTAATTCTAGACATGTTCAAAGGCAGCTATAACAAGAACTGTACCTTCCCAGGGTAGTTCCTGGTGCATGGTGAAGCTCAATACAAGTTAAAGGAATTGGTCATTGCTTTCTCAATGACTTCAAATTCTTTGTTTCATAAGGTTCTGCCAATGTTCTCATTAATAGTTTGTTAAACTATAAGTGGCTACATATGCCCATACCCTGACAGCACTCAGATTGGCACTCTTAGCTCCTTTCAATGGTCCACATTCCCTGCTCACTGCTTTCCATTCATCCATCCATCCTTCATTCCTTCTTTCATCCTAACCACTTACCTGTTGTAGAATATTAGTTAAAGGTGTGTTACATTTGTTTATGTGGTGGAATATTTGTTTAATGATGCAAAGATATGTTGCATTCTTTTATGTTGCATTTGTTTAACTCTGTGAAGCTGTGTTACTTTGCCTGTCTAAAACACATGATTGGTCTAATAAAAAGCTGAATGGCCAATAACAAGGCAGGAGAATGGATAGGCGGGGCTGGCAGGCAGAGAGAATAAATAGGAGGAGAAATCTACAAAGAGAAGATCAAGGAACAAGAAAAGAAGGAGAGAGGACACAAGGGGTCAGCCTCCCAGCTACACAGCAAGCCATGGAGTAAGAAGTAAAGAAAAAGTATATAGACTAGAGAAATATAAAAGCCCAGAGGCAAAAGGTAGATGGCATAGTTTAAGAAAAGCTGGCTAGAAACAAGCCAAGCTAAAACCAGGCATTCATAAGCAAGAATAAACCTCCATGTATATTTATTTGGGAGCTGGGTTGTAGGTTTCCCAAAGAGTAAAAGAGTAAAACAAAACAACATTTACCCTCCCAGCCAACTATTTATCATTACCTAGCTACCCGTCATCCATCTTTTGACCCACTAATACATTCACTGGCCCACTCATTTAACTAACTCTCTTTCCATCCATCCATTTTAAGTATGGGATGAGAAGTACAAATAAGAATGTGTGTGTGTGTGTGTGTGTGTGTGTGTGTGTGTGTGTGTGTGTGTGGTGTGTATGCTTGCATTTGGAGGCCAGAGGATACCTTTGATGTCATTCCTCACAAACTACCTTTTTTTTTTAAACTCTTAAGCTAAAGCCCCTCATTGGGCTGGAACCCACCAAGGAAGCTATACTGGCTAGCCAGTAAAATCTAGGAATTCACTATCTTTTGCTTCCAAGCATTAGAATTAAAACCGTGTATCACCATGCCCAGTTTTGGCTTGGTTTGGTTTGGTTTTTCAAGACGGGATTTATCTGTGTAGCCCTAGCTGTCCTGGAACTCATTCTGAGAGGAGGCTGGCCTTGAACTCAGAGATCTGCCTGCATCTGCCTCCTGAGTACTAGGATTAAACACCTGCACCACCACACCCAGCTTCTTTTGCTGTTTAACATGACTTCTGTGGTTTAAAGTCGGCCCTCAGACATGCAGATATCTGTGCCCATCTGTCAGCTGTCTATGCTCCAGCTCTTGGTGTCCCCACACAGTTCTGCCAGGGGTTGAAGGGATTCAAGGGATGATCAAAATCAAAGTTATGCCCATGAGAGACAACAACACACAGAGACATTTTTTGAGAGATGTTTTGACGTATTTCCACATAACAGAAGCCCCTCACACTGTAGGAACCCCCCCCACACACACACACACAGGCTATAGCAGAGTCAGGTGATGGAAATCCAGGAGAGAGGGAAGGGGGGTCTTCGGGAGGGGCACTGACATGTTCAGAGGGTGTGGCTCAGCAGCAGTAGTGGGAAGGAGGCTCTGGGTCAGTGAGTTTGTAAGCTTGGGCTTCGGGGGCCTGTCAGTACAGCTTCTCTATTTCAATGGACAACACCACGTGAGGTTCTCCAGGGCGTCCAAAGCAGACAGACTCTAAATGGCTAAAAATTTTGCTTGTTTGAGCTATTTTCCAAAATAAATGGGACGTGAACTAACACGTTTCAGTCAGCAGTGAGGAAATAAATAACCTAGGGACTCATATCCAGGGCACAGTGTTGGCTCGTCTTTTTAGCACACATGAGGAGGACACAGCAGCCCGCTGAGTCTTTGATTCCTTCCTGCCTCTCAGACACAGACCCACACTCCAGCTGAGATGCTGTGTCATACACAGGAACACCACCGTGAGACAATACCAGCGTGCTTCATAGTAAGATACATTTTCACTGCCGAGCTCAAACTATAGTTCCACACGTGAGTGCTGTTTCCCTAATTTTGTTTTGTCAAGCTTCCTGAGAAGTCCTTAAGCAGCAATGGCAGATGTAATATTCACTTCACAGTTTATCAAATTAGCAATCATTCCTTAGCTTGATAACACAGAATTTCTCTCTCTTTTTTTTTTCTCTCTCTCTCTCCTCCAGCTGAGGGCTTCCCTCCTGACTTTTTTCCGAAAAAGAAAGTCTTTTCATAGAAAATCTCTCGTGACACTTAACAATGTTGCTGTTTATGCCTGGCACAAAGTCCTCACCCTTCTGGGGCTGGAAACAACAACTCTGGAAGAGACTGAGGTGGCTGCGGACCATGTAAGCTGGGGGACCTCGGAGCAGTGAGGAGTGACTCTACCATGAAGGCTTGCTTTCTTCAATGAGAGCACCATGGTGATTCTGTGCCAGCTATTACTACAAAGGCTCAAAATTAGTTCTCAGCCCTAGTGAATCTCACAGAGTCTTCCCTTGAAACACTAAAGAACTCACAGGGTTGGCAGTCTCTGTCACTGCTCTCTACATCTCTATAATTACCCTATACAGTTGAGAAGGTAGAGTCTCCGGTTTTTCTCTGAGTTACCCACTTGCTTCTGGCACTTGCTCTCAGACCAAAACTTCTCCCCAAACCGTGGAGTCCTTGGCACTTTGTGTTGGGCACTCCAGACACTAATGCAAACAAGTCAAACCTAGGTATTTTCACAGTGAGTTCTCAGCTGTCATCCATGACTGCTGTTTATATAGCATTCTGTGCAGTCCTGAGGCCGACAGAAGCAGTCACTGCACTGTGTTTGGATAGGGCTTACTGCCCGTCATGTGCCCATGATTGCCTTCAGATTCATTCAGTGGTTCTTTGTCAAAGCACTATTAGCTGTAACACTTATGAATGAAGCAGTGTGTGCACACCAGAAATGAAGGAACCAAGACAGACAGAGAGAAACAGGACCAGCACCCAGGTCTTCTAACTTCTGTGTCCAAGGTATTTTATAGCATAGTGAAATTTTTCTTAAGTTGACATCACTAAATAATTCACATAAAGAGGGAAAAAGAAAATCGTTGCATTCTTGTAGGCATTTATTAATCTAGTTCTCTTCCCTTCAGAATTATTACCTGGATGAATTTTCCAGCCTATTGGATGAACTTCTGGTGAAGATTGATGGTTTGTCTGACAGCCTAGAACTTTCTATCTTAGAGAAACACTGGAAGAGGACAGGGGAGTCAATGGCAGTGGATAGTCCTTCAGTTGGCATTTCAGTGTAACAAGATTCTGGGGTAAGACTATGCAAATTATTTTCATTAACTTTCTACACAGCAGTTTTTATATTCCAAAGGTGGTTGGAAATCATGAGATGGATTTGTATAAGAAACCCTCTAAAAATAATATTAGTGGAAAGATGTGCTCTGGCCAGAATTGCTTAAATTATTTAAAATGTAAGGCAAGACTCCAAGTTTCCATGGTGCCGTGAAAATTTATCTGCCCCATCATTTCCCATTATAATTGTAATCAATAAAGAGCCTGAGAAACAGAAATGGAAAGTGCATCTCCTGGAGATGAGGGATGCCTTTTAGCATAGAATGTGACTGGCAATTCTAAGAAGCCTGCTGAGTGCACTGAGGATTAGAACAGAGAGGGAAAAGATGTTCATGTGGATGCTGCCATATGCAAGAGCATGCACAGGACTCCAGATTAGCACATCTGGAGGTGCCAATCGAAGGAGAGGGCAAAGGAGCACACATCTAAAAGCAACTGCCACAAAAGGGCAACGATGGCAAGCAAGGTGTTCTCTCATGTAAAATAGCTCAGTGAAGAGAATCCTTCTTTGAAAGTGGAGTACAAAGCTAAGAAGAAAGAGCACAAAGATGAAATAAGAAAAGAACAAGTAGACAGTGGAGAAAGAAGTTTCTCTATATCCACAGATATAGAGAAATGCATTTCTATACACAGTGAAGAGAAGAATAGGAATAGATTTGCAAGAAAATAAGCAAAGGATGAGGGTCTGAGAAAACAGTGAAAGGAATTTTGAAAAAAGTTAAAATTATTTTAGGAAATGTGGGACACATGAAAGGAAAAGTATAATTTTTGAGAATAAGAAATACAGTGGTCAATTGCATGACAAACTTAAAAAGCAAGAAGGCGCATATGTAGAATAAGCAGCTCCTACAACCTCTGTGACATGCAAAAACTGAAAAGTTTCTAACAGAGTTTTGGAAGAAAGAGAACCATATGAACGTCTGTGCCATGAGACCTGAGGCTGGGAGAGCAGAACCAAGGCTGGTGTGCACTATTAAATCAGTACTCATGCCGGGCGGCAGCGGTGGTGCACGCCTTTAGTCCCAGCACTTGGGAGGCAGAGCCAGGCGGATCTCTGTGAGTTTGAGGCCAGCCTGGTCTACAGAGCGAGATCCAGGACAGGCACCAAAACTACCCAGAGAAACCCTGTCTCGGAAAAAAAAAAAAAAACAATCAGTACTCACAGAGGCAGCTAACTGAGGAAACAGTCTACATTCCACCCGGTTCATCAGCAAGATTTACATGCACTCAGCAAAGCTGGAGGGCAGAAATCATAAACGTGAAGCACAATTGAGCAAAGCCAACAGCAAGATAAAGTGATCCAGTGGAGACAAACTTGTAAGCCACCAGCTATCCTACAGCTGAATACGATGGTAACAGTGAATGCCAATGTATAAAATACAAAGGGGAAATAGGAAACACGTTTGGGGAAACTGAGTGATAATAAAAACTTTGGGAGACAAACTGGCTGTCTGTAATCCAACACAGCTAAATTGACCGGAAAAGAGAGAAACGGAAGCAGAGTTTGAATGACCACCCTCTGAAACCACCAGCCAGATGTGGAGCAACTGAAATTCATACTCCTTTGAAAAAGCTAAGGCCAGAGTGCCTGCAAACTGTTCTGCAAAACACAAAAGAAAATCTTCCAAATGTCTTGTCCTGAAACAAGAAATACATTGATTAAAAACTATACAAAGATCCCAAACTTCAAAAACTACTAGTCCTACTTATTTTGACACCAATAAATAAATAAATAAATAAATAAATAAATAAATAAATAAATAAATAAATAAAACATTAGCACGTAAGATCCAACAGCAGATTCAAAGAATAATATTCCACGATCACGAGTTTAAATCAAGGCTACTTTTAGTATTAAAAAATATTAATGCCCTTTACCAAAACAGGAGTAAAGTATCATTTGACTTTCCCCACAGTTGTATTTAGTGAAATCTAATGCCTCTTCCTAATGTCTAAAGCACTCTTTTAAAAGGGATCAACCCTAAATAAGATATCTCCGTGTATACAGTCCACTAGGAGTACATCAGATCTCATGTATACAGTCCACTAGAGGTACATCAGATCTCATGTATATAGTCCACTAGGGGTACATCAGATCTCCATGTATATAGTCCACTAAGAGTACATCAGATCTCATGTATACAGTCCACTAGGGGTACATCAGCTCTCCATATATACAGTCCACTAAGAGTACATCAGATCTCATGTATACAGTCTACTAAGGGTATATTAGCTTTCCATGTATACAGTCCACTAGGGGTACATCAGATCTCCATGTGTACAGATCACTAGGGGTACATCAGAGGCACTTTCACTAAGATTAAGAAAAACCAGAAGATTGTTCATTCAAAAATCCCACAAAGACATTTTTCAGTGGTTCTGGGTCTCCAGCGAGGGACCTCAAGTGCACTTGAGTTGTTTTTGTGGACAGAGTTAAGGCAAGAACTCTAGCCAGAGCTGTTTCTATAGTTCCCACTGAAGCATTTCTAAAATATAAACCTCCTCCCACAGTCCCCTATAAGCACACTTGTGGACATCTACGTTATGACTCTAAGGACCAGAATTGCAAGTGTGTCTGAGCAGTTTCCATGTGCATAACGTGTGCTCTTGGGAGCCCCTCCACACTCTCTCTGCATCAGAAGCCATGGCGGTTTCCTAACACTCTGCAATGCTCATGCCAGAGACGGCAAAGGCTCATACTTGTAATCTGTGCCCCAAGGACAAGCTGTTCTTGTGTGACATGAAGTACTTGGCACTACCACAATCGTCAATTTTACTTTCCTCCCACTGGAAAATGCAATTGTTTTCCGAACAGTCACTTGATGAGACATTTATCCAAAGCGTATTGCACAAAGGCCACCGTAGCTGGGTTTGCCAACGCCTGCAGCACCCAGGTTCTGCAGCGCAAGTTAGCTGTCTTTCTGGGAAGGAGCTGGGTGTCAGTGGTCCCCGAGCAGGCCAAGCCCAACTTGGGTTTTGCAGAACAGACTCCCCTTTGTGTGATGGAGACCAAGGAAAGGATCCATTTGATTATCCTAACTCCAGGGCAGTTGTTTTTCATCTTAACCAATAATAATTAAGATTGGTATCTCTCTGAAATAGCAGGAATGGCTGCCGGGAGCTATCACTAACCAACTGCAAATTGCATTGTTCTTTGTGCTTAAGTGACTCACAGCAGCAGAACTCGGTGGCTGCCAGGCCCACCGCCCACCGCCTCCTCTCGCCCCTGGCTCATTGCTCATTCTGTGATTCTTGGCTAGCCCTTGCCTCTTAGCTACCTCCACCCACAGTCAAAGAAAAGTTCCTGCTCCATTTCTTGTTGGGGCCCAGGACCCTCACCACTCAGCTTGCCCCTTCTCTGCAGGAGCTAGCCAGGCCTGAGTCTGCAGGGGCAATTGGGAGATGCTGTGGGGGGGCTTTCGTGAATACAGTTAAGGCAGGATGAGTCAGCCAGAAGGGGGCACTTTATCTCAGGGCACAGCTGACCTGCTCAAGCAGGGTGCAGATCCTCCATAGAGCACCTGTCTAGCACGCATAAGACCCTGGCTTCCATCCCCAACACAGATTTTTTTTAAAAAGTGTAGTTACTTAGCTCCTTCTGCAAGGATGGAAGTAGAGAAGGCTTTTGTAGGTGGAAAATCTGGGTTAATGTTCCACATCTGGGGGATGATGCACGGGCTACCTGTGCTTCCAGAGAATACTCCTGTGCAGAAGCCAATGACTCTGTTTTCAGGCAGGGTCGTGCTATGAACTTGAATTCTGAGGGTCGCTGTTCATTTCTTGCAGCTTCTTCCCTTAACTCTGCCAGTTTGGGAGGTAGGTACCATGTGGATGATTGAGAGCACCCAGCTTCACAGCAAGCCTCTGTCTAGAGCAGTGCTTCTCAACCTGTGGGTCACAGCAACCCCAGAGGGGGGTCACATAACAGATACTTACATTACGATTCATAACAGCAGGATTACAGTTATGAAGTAGCAGCAAAATAATTGTATGGTTGGGGGGTCACCGCAACATGAGGAGCTGTATTAAAGGGCCTCAGGACTAGGAAGGTTGAGAACTACTGCTAGAGAGACTTCGTGCTGACAGCTGGCTTCCACGATGTTCCCCTTCAGTCCTGCAGTGTGATCTTAACGGTGGGTACAAGGTAATTTAACACACTGAACTGGAATCCTGGAGGGTGAGGCAGGCTGTGGTTCAAGTAAATCCATCCCAGCCCTCACATGAGGAAAACATGGATGGCCCTGCTCCTTCGGACATAGGTGGAGAAGTCTCAAGGTCCCACTGCTGAGCTGCTGTTGACCGTGATTCATTCCGCTACAGAGTAGGGACTATGGGCACATAGTGCAGCCTCATACCACATGTCCTCCCTAGGACAAAGAGCACTGCGTCACTCCCCATAGGGCAGCTGAGCAAGGCAAACGGAGTTAATATGGACATAGTCTTCTTTCTCTATATGGGTTTAATGTAGACTACTAAAAAGGAGTGTCAAGGTTCATTCATGTGTCACCACTCTGGGGACTGACGAGGCAATGGTGAGCAATATTGAAACTCTGAAAATGAGCTGTGTCCACCAGGAAAATGTAATTCCCAATCCCAGAAAATAAGGATCTTGGAAAGATGAGCAATAATCTGGGCGGCTTTTGTGCTCGTTTAGATCTGGGTATGGCGTGCTTCTTCCCTGAAACGGAAAGGGGCCACTAACACTGCAGTCATGGAATGAAATGGAGAGACCTCTAGGAAGAATGCACCCAACCCTTCCCAAGACGTGGGATCACTGTGTTCCCAGACTCCAGTAAAAATGATCTTCCCACCTGGATTCCTGTCCTGGTTCTGCCTGTGCTGACAGGGTCACATCCCAATCCTTGTACTCTCTGTTCCTGTGCTTCTGCAGACACACAGTCCATGCTTAGTAAACTGATTAGCAAGCAGAACGTGATAGACAGCGCCTAT